TATTATAGCTTGTTTGCTTATTAGATTACTTAAGTGCTTGGTTTCAAGTTATCAAGCAATCAAGTAACTAAGCATACAAGTAATCAAGTGATTATGCTTACTTGATTGCTTGATTATTTGGTTACTTGATCATTTTTTTACTTTTATGCTTGGTTACTTAATTGCATGATTACTTGAAACCAAGTATTCAAGTAATCTAGCGAGCACTTAAGCAACCAAAATAGCGATAATGCTTACTTAATCACTATTTTGGCGAAACAGCAAAGTTAGAAAGTATTAAATTGAGGTTCTGTATTCACAAATAAGCATCAAAGCGTTATTTGAAAGTGATTTTATACAATTTTATCACTTTTTTTTTATAATAATTCCTATAGACCTCTCCGTCTCCCTTATTGCTTCTCAAGTAACTAAGCATACAAGTAAAAAATTATCAAGTAATCAAATAATCAAGCAATCAAGTAAGCATAATCACTTACTTGATTACTAATATGCTTAGTTAATTGACTGCTTGATAACTTGAAACCAAGTATTCAAGTAATCCAGCGAGCACTTAAGCAATCAAAACAGCGATTAAGTAAGCATAATATCTTGTTTACTCATTAGATTACTTGAGTGCTTGGTTTTAAGTTATCAAGCGATCAAGTAACTAAGCATACAAGTAATCAAGTAAGTGATTATGCTTACTCGATTGCTTGATTATTTGGTTACCTGGTTACTTGATAATTAGTAGGCACTTAAGTAATCTAATGAGCAATCAGGCAATCAAACAGGCGATAATGTTTACTTAATTGCTATTTTGGTGGCTTTAATGCTCGCAAGATTACTTGAATACTTGGTTTCAAGTAATCAAGCAATCAAGTAACCAAGCATACAAGTAAAAAATTATCAAGTAACCAAATAATCAATCAATCGAGTAAGCATAATCACTTGATTACTTGTATGCATAGTTACTTGATTGCTTGATAACTTGAAACCAAGCACTCAAGTAATCTAATGAGCAAACAAGCTATAATGCTTACCTTATTGCTAGCCAGTAAAAACTAAAGTAAAAAAAAAAATTGAATTAGTGTAAACTTAAAGTCAAAAGTGGTACTTGAGCACAAAACTCTGCATGGATCTACATAAAATTGTTTTAATGATTTGATAAAAAATTTTTAAAATTTTAGGTGTTTTTATTAAAATATAGGCAACTTGCGTTAACACAGTTAAGATTAAGTAAGCATTATAGCTTGTTTGCTCATTAGATTACTTGAGTGCTTGGTCACAAGTTATCAAGCAATCAAGTAACTAAGCATACAAGTAATCAAGTAAGTGATTATGCTTACTTGATTGCTTGATTATTTGGTTACTTGATAATTTTTTAATCTAAATAAATTATACATTTTACAAAATAATATCCTAAGAATAATCTTAAACAGTAAAAAAAACTTTATTACAAAACAACAGTTACCTTTTTAGTAAAAAACAATCTAGAGTAACCCATTTCCCAAAATTTTAATACCAGAGGTAAATTGAATAATATTATCACCCCAAATGTACATAAATCCGCCTCTCAATCTTCTTTTCTATATACTGGTCCAAATATTTATAATAACCTACCTTACGAATTACGTGATTATAAAAATTATGATATATTCAAATTCAAATTAACAAATTGGCTATTACAACAAGCTGCTGATTATACTCTTATATTGTAAATTTCATAACATCAATTACTCTATTCCGCTATAATTGTATGTGCTAATCATCTTAAGCATAAATAGTTTTTTATCTTAATTTAAGAAATGTATTTAATAATATTTATAATTTGCTATAGTTAAGGCTCATGGGCCTCCACACGAGCTTGCTCAGTGAGGCCCATTATACACTTTATTATGTTACCAATGTAATATTTTGTACTGAATAAAAATAATAATTTCTATTATTTAAAGCCACATAAATTGTTATGTGAGGTCGCACTCTCTTGGGCTTGGCTCGGGGAAGAACTCTCCACTTAGCATTACCTAGGTGGACACCGTTTTGTACTTACCGATCGTTCTGTGTGTTTTATGGGACTGTGGGTTATTTGCACTACTTTTCAACGTCATGTCAAACTTAAGGACCACCCTAATGTATATAATATATATAATATTTTTTTTTTTTGTAAAGTCTGTCGGCCAAATGGACTTGGCTGCTCTCCTAAAACAATGACTTCGTTACGCCCCTGGCCGCCGCTTGCCACAGTCACAGTAACTTATAATATAAAAAGGCAGTACAGAAGGGTCGTGGCGTGGCATAGTGGAACGGGCAGGTCACAGATCTACAGGAATTATTATAACCGAAAGTGATAAAATCACAAACTCTTCGATGCGTTTCTGTGGACACTGAACCTTACTTTCATACCTACTTTCTTACTGTGCTGAGTGCTCAGTGCTGGGTTATATTGATAAGCGATAACTGTGCTAGGTTTGGACCACCAACTAAGATACCTAATATAATATCTTAGTTCGAGGTTTGGACTTTAGTCTGTACGGATTTGTACCAGAGTTTATACCTACCACTGATTAATTACACACTGGTAATTTTTTTAAATAGTGATATTCGCAGTAAATACCTTTAATACTGTTAATCAGTCTATATTTATAACCGTTTTATTTAACTAATTAATGTTTAGAACTAAGATTCAAAATTTTGTTTGCAGTAAAAAAATAAATGAGCTAAATCTAATGAAGCTTTTGACATACAATACAATTTAATTCTAAAAAGAAAAATATCTGAAATAATTTTATGGATAAGAATTATTTATAAATCTTTTAAATTTTGTAAAAGAATAATAATTGTATGAAATTCATATAATAAAATATAATCTCATACCGATAACAGAACCGGTTTTACTTTGCGCACGACGGGTGGTCGTGGCGGACCGGCGGTGTTGAAAATACGGCATAGCAGAAAATATTATTTTGTAATATTGAGCGACATCTATGAATAGTATAAAACACTAAATAACGTGTGTCCATATTTTCTATTGACATGAGCTATCACGATATAAAGAAGATAAGGTGACGCCGCTCCAACCAAATCAGTGGGTCAAAAAAATTACGGCATTTTGGTAGTACAATTTTGTCACGTAGATAGCGCCACCATTCGCCCGGAGGCCGACTGACATGGAGCTAATAGGGTTTTTTACATATGATTATACGTTACTGTCATTTTTATTACTAAATATAAAAATATATTACATGCAATTTTATTTTATTACAGGACTATAGATTATATATTATTTTAAAAACCACAATATTCGTATATGTAGTCTAATTAAATGTACTACTTATTCTAATTCCTATTCCACAAAATACGTTTATCGTCGAACGATGACTATCCTTTTATAACAATATATGAAATTATTCTATACGATATATAATATAATAACACGTATTATGTACAAGAAAAAAATTGTCCTCAACCCCTCCCCCCTCCCCCTTCCTATATCGAATTTTAAGCACCAGAGAAGTTTTTTCAAATTGAGTTTATAGTTGTTGAAGGTCTACAGAATAATTCGTTATAAAGAATAACGAAATTTCTGGACTTATAGTTCCGAAGATATTTTAATTCTTACTTAGGTAGCCGCAATTCCCCTTAACACTTAATAATTAAAATATAATTATTAAATTATTATTTATTTACTTCAAGTTCTAAATTACTTCAGAGAGTAACATTGTAACAGTTATATAATAAATACCTATAATATATTAATTAAAACACAATTTTTTTTGGCTCTGGGGGGTTAAACCCGACCCCCCCCCCCCCTGTAATACACCACTGTACATAACAATACATTCTTTCCGATTATTTTAATTTACCCCCGAAAAATAAGCATCGCTTGTGTAAGGTGGATATTAATTACTTTAATAAACCCCAATTAAGTGTCTTCGAAAGCCCGACTACCGTGTAATTCAAACCCAACCATACGTGCAATGCCTAGGGACGAAGTAGCGACATATTCACTGCATTGTGTTCCTAGAGATGATATTTGCATCACAAATAATTGTTTATATTTTGTGTCTACATAATAAACCGTGGCATATATAATTACAAAATACTGTTGTTCTTATTCATTTTTACAAATAACATTCATTGACTAATGTAGATCTTTTAGATTTATAATTTATTGGCAATATTTGCTCTACTATAGATTTATTCTATTACTCTGATCTAGAATTTAGAAATTATGACCATGTATACTAATGATTAATTAGTATTGGAATACTACTTTATATTAGTAGAGTAGCTAAAATAATAAAATAAATAACTGTGCTGGACAAAGACTAGATCAGAATAAATTTAATTTAATTAATTATGAAAGCTATATTCTAGTGCTAATATTTACTTTAATGCCGTTAAAAAACACAGTTTTCGCAATTAAAAAGTTAACAAAATAATTACTTATTACTAAATAAGACAATAAAAATAATAAAAACTCCAAATAAAGAATAATTAACATAAAAATAAAAAATAAAACGTTTATCGTCCATAAGCCGCATAGAAAATATCGGCCTCCGGGCGAATGGTGGCGCCACCTGTACAGCAAAGCTGAACTACCAAAATGCCTGAAGCATTCGACCCCAGATTTTTACTGATAAGAAGTTGAGTGGTGTCACCTTATCTTCTCTATATCGTGTGAGCTATCTATATTCTATATATACTTAATCAATATACCTACTATCCACAGATTCGCATCAAAGCGTTTATAATAATTCTGTAGACATGTGACCTTCCCGCCCCACTATGCCCCGACCTGTAATTGCTTTTTAAACTTATAATTACATTAAAATATAAAAATGGTAATTTTTTGTAACTGGTGTACCGTGCATGTACGTTTACCATTTATTCCACGCGTGGAACGAATTGCGATTGGAATAATGATATCGGGACAATTGATACAAACTCGTTTTTTTATCAAAAAAAAAAAATTATCTTGGAAGAAAAACACTGTTGAGTTCAAATCACTTATCACAGATTAACTTTACAGCCTACGATGTTCGACGCACGTGCATCTTAATAACTAAATAACCACAGACGTCTACAGTAAACAATAAGTCGTTGTAACTAATATTTAAAAATGGGTTCTAAGTCTAAACGAAAATCTACAGTAAAAAAAAACGTAAGTACACTCAATATTTAATCATACTTATTAAGTTATTCCCCTAAGTTCACCTAAAAATGAGTTAATGGATGGTTCATTAAATGACAAATATTCTATATGCTTCTAATATTCATTAATATGTGTCGTTTAACTGCATCTTATTACACAAATACTTATAAGTTTTGTTATTTTTTGCATAAAAACATAGGTTGTACTTATCATTTGGTCTGTAGCACTGAAACCTAAACATCAAACATAGATTAACTCGTAGATAGCCCATAGCAATATACAAATGGAAACCTAGCTTCTAGGAAATGTTTTGATTTTCGTGTAGCTAATTAGCAACTTTAATTAGTAAATATATCTATTTAGGCATGTTGTGATTATAATCGTAACACATAAAATTATTAAAATTTTACATTTTAATGTTTGTAAATCTTTCAATATTGTTTACTAGTCCAATTACTAATATTATTTAATATTGATATTCTTATTCTTTACAGCTTTACTTTTTTTTAATAGTGGTTGAATGGTAGATTAAAAATATAACATTTTAATTATTTATTTACTAATAAACTAATATCTATATCCACAATAATAGAAGTCATATTCTAAAATCATTGTTTTAATTTTAGAAAAGGTTAAAGCAGCTTAAGAAAACTGTTTATCAAGAACCAGAAGACCTAAAAAGAGCACCTCATTCATTTGTTATTCATAGAGGTCAAATAGGTAAAAGTCTTTTACAACTGGTAAAAGATTTCAGGAAAGTTATGGAACCATTTACTGCAGCCTCACTGCAGGTAACAAATGAATTATATTTTAAAAATAATAAATAACAGTAAAACTCGCTACCCTAAGATTAAACAAACTCCAGAAAAGGTTGTATAGTAAAGTCATATATGTTTATCCTTAGTAGGCACACCTTTCATATTCCAAAGAAACATCAACTATGGAGTATACACATTTTTTGTTTGAGTAGATTAAACATTGTATTGAGTAAATTTTAAAGAAAAAATGTGTTTTTGATTGTTGGTTGTGTATAAAAACTTTTTTATTACTCATGCATAAACACTCCAAAAAAAATCATCTATAGTCTAAACAGAAAGGTAAAAAATTAAGCTGATTTGCTGCTGATATATCATTTATCTGATTAGAGTAAATTAAAATGTGTTTTGATTATCATTTACCAAAATTGTATAAATATAAAGGAATTTTCATCAGAAAGCCGGCTTTCTGATTCCCTTTTAAAAATACAATTTATTATTATCTTTCTTACTAATTATTAGATTATTCAATAATTTTTATCAAAGCAACTTTACCTCAAATATTTAATGTTACAACAAACATAACTAAAATCAGTCTTATAAACCAGGTTTATAAATAATAAGATTAAATGTTTTAAAGAGTTGTTTCTACAAAATTACAATAGACTAAAGCATACACCGATATTTGAGCTACAAATTGAAAAATTCCACTACAATAATGGTGCAGCCGTTTTAGTATTATTGTGTGATAACTGCCATACACAGCTACACACACATATACAGTACACATTCATATAATAGGATACCAAAATTAGCATTGTTTATTGTTTTGACAGTTTATGTTTTTTGTACTTAGGTATATAAGAAAAACACAATAAAGGATTTTGTGTCCCTAGCTGGTCCTTTACATGTTTCACACTTGGCTGTGTTTACAAGCTCTGATACAGGGGTCAATTTCCGAGTAGCTAGGCTTCCACAAGGTCCTACCTTGACATTTAAATTGCATAATTATGCACTCAGTAAAGATATTGTGTCATCTTTACGCAAACAAATGGTCAATCCAAAATTGTTTAGTCATGCGCCGCTCATAGTCATGAACAATTTTACTGGAGAAGGACTACATATCAATCTAATGTCAACCATGTTTCAAAATATGTTTCCTACTATTAATGTCACAAAAGTAAGTATATATTTTTTATAAATTATGTATCGACACCCCCCAACAAAAAGTCGTAACTCGCTTTAAAAAAAAAAAAAAATTGTATTTTGAAATCTGATATCACACGTCTTTTGTATTACCGGCGAATAAGGTCGTATCTTGAATCGACCAAAAAAGTTCTATATAACACAATTGAGTAACTACCTTTTTCGTCGGTAATACAGAAAACATGTTATCCGTAAAAAAAAAATGTTAAGTGAGTTATGATTGTTGAGGGCATCAATATCTATACATATATATATATATCCTTGAAGGCCATCATAAGATAGTTTCTAGGCAAATTCGCTATCTGGGATAGGTCATATATACTAATATTCTACAGAGTCTTAGACATATGATTCTATTTGTTTTCAACTTATTGTACTGTTATAGGTGAATTTAAATGATATAAAGCGGTGCGTATTGATGAATTACAACCCTGAAACAAAGTTAATTGAATTTCGACATTATGCAATAAAAACTGTTCCAGTTGGTTTATCTAAAGGTGTAAAAAAAATTGTCCAAAGTAAAGTGCCAGACTTATCCAATTTAAATGACATAGATGAGTTTTTGTTAAAGTAAATTAATACAATTGTGGTTTGTGTTTCTACATTATAATAATCTTAAATTTTTTTTCAGACCTGAACTGCTGTCTGAAAGTGAAGTCGAAGACCAATCGAGCACTATAGTTGTACCACAAAAGCTTGTTAGTCGAGGTAACATTGTGGGTACTCAATCTTCAATACGGTTAAGTGAGCTGGGTCCACGCCTTACATTGCAGGTATGTGTGTATAACTGTAAACTTACTATGAGTGTAACGAAAGCTAAAGGTATAATTGAAATTAATATTTATAGCTCATTAAAGTGGAAGAAGGACTAATGGCCGGTGATGTAATGTTTCACGAGTACATTCAAAAAAATTATACAGAAAATTCAAAAGATATACCAAAAGATTCAAAATAACACCTTTTTTTGTCAGTTGTTTTAAATAAAATATGTTTAATAAACTAGTATAATTGTTTTAATACATTTTTGATCATCTAACATTAAATACATATTAAGCAATTACATCAAATTAGTTGAATTACTTACAATGTGTATGTAAAAAAAGTATGTTTACTACACATTGTTTTGCATAGTCTAGTATGTGGAGAAGTCACTGGTTTTAATATCATCCATCAACTTATTATAATATGAAATACAAAATGATTTATATTTATACATATATCATAATTTTTGCACTGTATAATTAAATGTGTGAATTCTGTTACCTACGTACAATCTATTATGACTTAACTGTCTGTTAGTCGTTATCTACGCTTAGGGAAACTATTATTTAACCAAAAATATTTACTTAAAATTGTATGAGTTTTCAGTTTTAACGTGTTCAATTATTAAGAGGACTCACATGTTTACAACCCATAGATAATAATATGGATATAGATTAAATCGATGACAGTGCACAGATGTGATACTTTTTTGAAATTAAGTTATGTATAGCAAGAAGATTATCTAATACCTTCCAACATATTGTTAACCAATATTAATAGCCAAGAGAGAGTATTTTAAGTCGTTAAAAAATAAAATATTAAACAAATGTCTAAATAGATATAATAAAATCGATTTAGTAAAATTTCGAATTTTTAGAGTCCTGCTACTTCTATTGACTTTGTTAGGTTGAACAAAAATATAACATACTATTTTAATATTATACACCAAAAACTAAATATGCATATTAGACTGTCAAAAAATAAGGTTTAACATTCCCCCCTCCTTCTTATCGTTGTTACTACGACAACTTAGTAACATTTAAATAAGAAATTCTTCAAATTTCAGAGCTTTAGCTCAAAATTAGTACTTTCTCATGAATTTTTTTATGCATTATTTTGATTAACATAGAACATTTTAATTTTTCCTTTAAAATAAATCTAACTTGTAAACTATTCAACATTTTTCGTTTCAAGCTAAATTTCAATAGGCAATATAAAGCACACGCGCGCGCCCGAAGGTTCGAGAACATATAAATGACAGAGGCATTATCTAAATAATTCTAGATACACCGGCGACAGTATAAAAGATCTTTTCTAAAATTGGAAGAAAATGTATTGTATACAAATTACCAAAGAATCCCTCTGGGGATACTGTATCCCACAGTATCCCCAGATTCGTATTAAAGCGCCTTCAAAATCCACGACTGTAGTTGTTAAGTAATTTTTTGGGGTTTTTTCATAATAAAAAGAAATATGTTGTTATTTTTGTTTTATGTATAGATAAAGGCTACGTTTACCTTTAATCTAATTTTCAGCTCTTTTGACCAACCAAAATACCAATCGCATACGATTATAAATTCCGTAATGCTATTACCTATATTCAGTTTAGTAGGGAATAACAGAACCCTTCGTGACTCCTGTAATTATCACTTTCTTTGGCACCTTAGATATAGTATTTACTTTTTTCACTGGTTCTACTGCTCGATGAGAGAGCCTAATGGAAGAAGTGAAACTGTCAATGAAACAGTTGATACCCTAGTATCTTATCTGTAGCTGCAATATTTACATGAACGTTAAAATATAACAGTTGTTGTGACTTCCAGATTCTTCTTCCTGCACTCCTGTGTTTTTCACTGACAATATTCGTTGTATAATGAAATTATTTGTTTTATAAATATAAAACACATAATATATCAATTATTATAATGGCTCAAATTTTACATCATGATGCAAAGAAAAAAAGTATATATTCATACTACATGGTAAATACTACTTCATAGTAAATTATTATTTTAAAATTGTTACAATATTATTACCAATATATTTTGAATTTTCAGTTTTATTCTAGAATGATTAGATTTGTTTTTATTTTCTTAACAATGGCGATACGCCAAATAATTTTCTGCCAAAGGTGTTTAAATTCCTTGTTAGGCATTATTACGGATTGATAGAGATGCTACTCGAGTAAATCTATTTACAGGAAACTAGTTTTAGTGTATGTAGTATAAAATCAATAATCAGCTGTCCCATTGAAGCTAAAATTCACGAAGAAGCACTTGAGAGTTTAAATAGTTAAAAGTTAAGCAGGGTAACTAAAATTTTAGGGATTTCTTATTTGAATAAGCTATTGTCGATTGAAAGGGTATGCTGTAGGAAAAACATTTAAAAAATGGACGAAACTAGTCAAACCCGTATAAATAAAAACAGTCTGTTATATAATAGAATATGCACACTACTTTATTTGAATGAGTTTATATTTTGACATGACAATGGGTTTATATAGAGAATACTTGTAATGTCTAATAATAATAATTAACATACATATGACACTTTGGTCTTTTGCATTATTTGTATAAGTCTGATACTAATAATACTGGTATTTGACAATACAATGATTATTATTATGCATGTATATATATATGAGGCTTATATCAAACTTCCATGATCGTATTCGATTAGTATGAAGTGTCAAACTAAAATCGAAGAGTTTAAGAAAAATATAATAATAATTTGTCTTAAAATACAGTGATGAAGCCATACTGAGATTATATAATAATTATATCAATAATTGTTCTTATATAAAAATGTTAAAAAAAAAAAAAAGAGATTTTTCTGATAATTATTATATAAGTATTATAATAAAGATTATAAACTTTATTAACAGAAAAGGGCAATCATTTGGGTAGGGGCGATGCTACTTCACATTTTAATAATAGTCTATAATATATAAATATATGTTTGAATATAAAAAAAATGTTCACAATATCTAAGTATGTATAACTAAAATGTTAATGCAGGAACATAAAAGCGCTTAGAGCTATTTGGTTGTCATATATTTTTTGTTTCTCTTAACATATACAAATTACGATAAAAAAGTTCAGTTTTCTAAAGCACATCAATGGCTAGGCTTTATTTAAAACATTTTTTTTAAACAAAACTTTTAATTAATAAAAGATCATTGCACATTTATGTAATAATTTATTCATTTTATTTTAGTCTTACCTCATGAGGAGTTTACAGCTTATTTTTTGCACTAGTCTAAGGTGTTTACTGTAGATAAAAATAATATGTTATTTATTTACTTTATTAATTTCCCTAATTCACATTAATGTGTAATGAGATCGAAAATTCACCATATTTTTAACTGTTAAAATTTAAATGCTGTATAAAAAAGAAACATGTAAACTCCGCTTAACAATATTTGTGTAAAAATGTATATTGTACTAAGTCTTAGGTATAACATTATATTGGCACATTAACTTATTGAAATTGTATCAAATGCTATGTACTGGCATACATTTCATAAGGGATGTGTTCAAGTGTTTGGAAAGGTATTTATGTAATACAAATTTACATTTCATAAATAGTTAAAAATTTAAAAAAAAACCTTACTGTCTAAATATAATAATAATGTATAAAAAATTGGTTGTGTCACAAATACGGAAATAATAATAATATCACTTCGTAATAATAACAATTGCTTACAAAATGTAAATATTAAATTTTAAAAGTATGAGTGAAGTTTCTCACAAATTGCATTTACACCCAAGAATCACCACCTTGAGCAGTGGATACATCAACAGACGATACCTTTGGTTGTGCTTGTTCGTTATAGTTCCACATCTCGCCTCCCATGGATACATTTACTGATGGATCATATTGTTTATTCTTTTTCTTTTCGCGATTCACCTGAGCATAAAGAGGTTCTCCGGGTCTTAATGGCTAAATGAAGAAAAAGTAAAATAAATTATTTATAACGAAAATCCCCATTCACCTAATATTTTAATTTTTGTGAATAAACAACAACACATCTTACATGTCCAGGGGGATAAATCAGTACCCCACCAACTGGTGGTGTATGTGTTGCTACTTCAGGATACGGCATATCTGCTAATGGAATATCGTCATTCTACAAACAGATAGAATTTATTGAATTTTGCATCATATATTTAAGTTTTAACAACACTAGAACTAGTTAAAAAACAGTATAAACTGCTTATAAAGATTTTATTGGTAAGTTAACTTTACAACTGTACAACCAGCTTGATGCGCAACATGCTTGAAATAAAATTATTGCAAATTAAAAATTCAATAGTAGCTTAAATAGTAGCCATAACTTCTATTGGCTAAAAATATATACTATAATTACTTTTAATTCATTGGATCTATTATATTTAAAATATAAATTTCTAACTAGGCAATTTATAAATGACTTACAGCTTGATAAGTAGAATTCGCATTTGAGTTTGGTAATGAATGATTCATCTGGGAAGTGACATTTGGATTCGGTTGCCTTTGTATTGTTCTATCTTCATAACGAGTGCCGCCCTGACTAGCCATTGGTCGATTTAGTGTACTATTGGCATTATTTGGTGAATTTACACCACCAGCAGCATTTCTTGCGGCAATCGTTTTAGTTACAAAGTCCTGTTCTCTCCATCCATGTTTTTTATAAGCATCTCTCAATTCTTGATGTTGCCACATGGCAAACAACACTTGACTGGCAAATTTCAATACTCTAGATGTATACTTCTGTCGCTGTCTAACTATGTTCATTAATCTTTCTACTCCACTTGAATCTAATAGTGACCTAAGCAAAAAAGTTTAACGTATTTAAAACCTACGTGACCAAAATGTTTGTAATAGAAATAATTCAGATTGTGTTACTAATAGTATACATAACAGCTACTATGTATGTATAATATCTATACTTGTTCTGTATTGATTTTAGTACTTACCTTGCAAACTCAGCATTTTTCTTAATAACTTCATTTAACGTGGCCAATACAGCTGCTATAGTATCATCTGAAGTTCCCTGGTCATGTTGAGCATTTCCCGAGGGTAGTTTTTGAACCAAATCTCTCATTGCGTACTTGCCTAAAGTTCAGAATTATTAATATATTTCCTCCGTAATTGCATGAAAACATTGACTACGTCAAAAGCCAATTTTCAACTAACCAATAAGTTCCTTATTTCGTTGATCAATAGCCAAGTTCCTCAATGCGGTTGCTACAGCACAAACGACACGATCAACTTCCATACGAAGGAGTTCTACCAAAATAGGTAAGCCTTTTTCTTTACGAACAGCCGCTCTGATTTCAATACTAGGCTGCCAATAACACGCAGCCAAATTCTGTATAGCTCCAGCTGCTGCTTCTAAAGTTTCTGGATTTGAACAACTTTGAAGAAGTGCCAAATATGATTGAACAACCTTTTAAAACAAATCATTATCAGTATATAGTAACCTTATAAATAAATATGTTACTTATGCACTCACTTCTGGCTGCCATAAAAGTTCCATTCCTTTAGCTGGTTCTGTTCTAGGTATGATACGGTTGCTAGGATTTTCTTTTGGCGACACTATAATATCTTTTTTCTTTTTACTAGCACCAAAACAACCTAGATTTTCTCCTGAAAAAATATAAAACATGAAATTAGATTAAATGCACAAGTATGATAATATTTTCTAATCCCACCTTTGGGTTGTGGACCAACTCTACTTTGAGTAGGTAAAGGGTGCTTGTCATAATTTGGGTCTTCAACTTCTTGACAACGATAAGACAAGTTTCTCAAAATACAAACACAATTTTCAACACTTTTATTTCCAATATTAGATTTTTCTACTGCAGTTGATATAACATACAGAAGTGAGTCAATCAAATGTTCACATTCCCGTAATTTCCTTCGAGCATATTCACCAGCTGAGCTTATATTCCTAAAATCCAACACAGAAGTTTTATTCAATAACGATACAATTTGTTTTTTTTTTCTTTTAGAAAGGGCAACATTCTCTCTGGAGATTTTTAAACCCTTGTAAGTTCTGTGATAGATGTGGTTGGTCTGTTGCCAGCAGTGTGTAGACAGTGCGCTTAAAATGTATGTAATTCAAAGACGTGCAGAAACAGTATGAGCTTTTGGCAGGCAACTTGTCCCAACTATATCTACACCACTGATGGCCGGAGAAGGTGTGGCAGTTCTTTTTTACTGTATAAGTTCTTGCATAGTAAACTGAGCCCCCTATGACCAGAACTAGCGACAGTGTGTAGTATAAACTAACCCCTTAGCCACTTGTTCTCAATACAATAATAACACAAAAATTAAATTATGAGTACCTTAATACTCCAGAAGTATTTCTGAATACAGTTGACCAGCATATATCACTACATGCAGTTGGACTCCATCCTGAATGCGGTATCAATATCTGATTCACAATGGTGGAAAGTCCATCATCAATAATTGATTTTTTCAAATCCTACACACAAAGGACATAATTTATTTTAAAATATGTTTTCCAAACATATCTATAAATTTTACCTCGCATGACGATAAATTCCATAAAACTCCAGTGACCAATTCCTTAACTTCCGCATCGGCAGATTTATGCAACAAGTTTATTAATAATGGTATTCCACCAGCATCTTTAATAGCTCGTTTGTTTTCATCGTTTTGTCTCCCATATGATAAATTTCTACAAGTAAAGAATACAATATAGAAAATACTTATGGTTTTTAAAAACAAGCTAGTTTTTTACCTTAGAGCCCCACAAGCATTTCTGTAAACATCAGGGCAATCATGATTTAAGAGCTTGACCAAAGCAGGTATTCCCCCTAATGCTCTTGTTTTTTGTTTATTTTGATCGTCCATGTAACATAAATGCTGCAAGTAAGCTGCTGCATTTGCTTTGATCAAATTATTTGGATTGGCCAAAAATGTTATGACTTCTGGAAGATTTGGATCTCTCCATCTAAGTCCTAAAATAAACATTTGTTAGAATTTTATTTTAAACTGATATTTTACTACAAAATACCTTGAGCCATTGGATCTCCACATTCATCCATATTCCAGGAGCTACTCATTTGATCTGAATAAATAATATTAAACTATATTAATTTTAAAAGATCATTATTTCTTACAAACATGTTTAAAGATTTCAATATCAGAAAAGAATAAAGTGGGATGCATTATTTTCAAACTTTTTTTTAAAAAAACTTACCATAACAATCACCAGGTGACGGTGTTATCCGATGATAGTGATCATGATTTGGATGCATTTGTGTATCCAGTTCTTCATATCCTGAAGGTGGGTATGGCAATCCTTTTCTTATATAATCTTCAAAATATATTGTAAAACCAATTATTATTACATAGGTAACAATATTTAACATAATATTATGAAACATACAATTTTTGTTGTCTCAAAAAAAAACTACAGCATTTACAAAGTATTAGTTCTCTAAAAAGTAAATGACACATTAAACATTTTAAAGTTTCTTAAATATAATATTTTAACAAGGATGTTTTTGGGCTGGATACAAACAAAAAATGTTGAGACAAAAAAGTCGTCGGAGTCTGGTGAGTTTAGCGTGACCAGTTCATGGTTCAATCACTGGCTGTAAATCTAAACTTTTTGCAATTTTGTTTTAGGTTACTATCAGGTTATTAACGGATGATTATAGGGATTATTACCCGATGATTATTAGGAATTTTTTTCGACCATTTTCTTGGGAGGTTATTATCAGATCTTTTTTTTTATTTTATCAGGTTATTACTAAGTTATTACAAAAAATTGCGTTAAATGGAGTGAAAGTTAGAAGGTTGTAGATATTGGTAGGGGGAAGGAGAGGACATTTTTGAAATTCAATCAAGATGATTTGGTTATATTGTCATCTAAGCTCTAAAACATATCCATGATTCTATGCTTTTCTGTGTAGCAAAGAAAATTACACCACTGACATCACTTTATAGTTTACAATGTTTCTAGTGGCATTGAGACATTCATGTTTATATAGTTTTCGGCCTAGTACTAAAAAAGCGCCTTTTTTATAATTTAAGAAGCGTTTGTACTAGTATAGACCTCACGGTCAGTTTTGAATATCAATCAATGTGATTACAATACTGACCGTGTATGGGGCCTATTACATTGTCACTGTATTGAGTTGGTAGTTAAGTAGAAGAATTTTTCGATAATAATTTTTACCTTGAGCCAAGAGCTGTTGAGGTGGAGGAGATTCGCTACATGCACTAGGGCTGGGAGGTGTAGGAGCTGTTTCATTGTAGTCATGGCCATGTTGATTAGAATGAACACCAGTATCGTACATCTGGTATGCACTTCCATCTAACTTAGCACCTTGTTGACCAACTACATTATTATAATTGGAATACGAAAGTCCAGAGTGAATACCAACATAATGATCATAGTCTTGGCAACCAGGATTATAGTTTTGGTAGTCATTATTAAAATGTCCTGAAGGAGTAAATCATCTAATTAGTTAACATAAATATAAAAACATATAATATTGTAAATAATAAATACAAACCAGATTCTGACATATGAACTGAATTATTAGGTTGAGTAGACGAAGCAGAGGATGATGATACTCCTAATGTATACGGAATGTAATCTATTGAATGACCATTAGGTATCATATGATGAACTTCTCTCACAACTTTAGTAACAGTTGTAACCTAAAGGTAATTTAAATATTTTAATTATTATACAATGTTTCTTTATTAAAATACAAAATAGTGTTGGATCATTCCTGAATGTATCATTACTTTGGAACGAGTACAGAGGGAGGCAATTTTATTTGCTTGTTCCTCGTAGTTCCTACTGGTTTAATATTTCACGTCCATACAGAACGACAATATAACGCTAAACCAGTAATACTGACCAAAAGTTAAACGAAAAGAAAAATGTTACTTCTATGTTAATAGACCATGAGTACATGTTGGTAAATAATAGAATTACGATAACAAACTTGTTAATTGTTATACTGAGTACCTACTAGTTTGTCGTTCATGAAGCTGGGAATTTATTGGTTGTTGGTACATTTTCTTTACATTTCTTATTAAAGTTTTTTTTATTTAATACAAATATAAATATAAAATCAATATTATTTCTAAGGCTCAGATTTGTATGTATTAAAAAAAGCCATAAGCACATAAAACATAATATATATGTAATACAAAATTGCAAGAAACAAACTATTATATAGATACACAAGGGTTGTTTATACTTAATTTTTAACCATTTTTATAATGCTATGTTTTTTTACTAAACTGAGGAGCGTTAGGTAAGATGAAACCCTTGTGGTTTAAAGAACAATTGTTTGTTTATTAATAAATTGTTAAAATTTAAATTTTGTACAAATATTATTTTGGGTACTAAGAATAAATGGCACTTATTTAAATTCTTAAGTCAGTTAGTGTTAGTAATAATGATATAATGTCTATCATTCATAGATTATAAGTACTAATTAGAACGATGGAACAAAACATTTAGAATTGTTTCTTTTATAAAAAAATTTACCAATTGGAACACTTCCTAGAAAGGAACGAAAATTCCCATGACTAATACGAAATAAGATTTAAAACATACTTGTTGAGTTGTTTGATGTTTCTTTGTTTGTGAAACTAACAAAGGTTTTTCATTGCACTGAGCTGATGAATTAGCAGAATGACTTTCTGGAAGGCCGTTGCTTGAATATGTAATGTCATTTGAATAAGAATTATTTTGAGATAAATCGGTCTGCGACCTAAAAACACAAAAACATAAAGAAATAAACATCAATATTTTTTTAAAAATTTTGGATACTGTTTAATTTAAAATGTAAAATATTACATTTTAATTTATTATGGAGTCTTACCACTAATATAAAACACCTAAAAAAAATATATTTCAAACTAAAATAAAAATACAAAATATAAGAAGAAAATGTCAAGCAAAGAACAATATAGATGAATAGTTTTATTTTATTATATTATTGACTGCGTATGTAGGTGTCACACAATATCATCAAAATGGTGGTTTTATATCAGCTTTTATTAATTTGAAGCTCAAGCATTGGGAAGTAGTTTTGGCGTTTTCTATTTAACTCATCCTATACTTCATTTTTATTGTAAACTTTACAGTTTATAAAACAGATTATCGTTATGTCTATCATAAGAAAAATTTAATAAATTACATAATAATTATAAATAAAATATAGTAATATTAATTGTGGAGAGAATGGGCTATGGTAAGGGACAAATAAACAAGTGAAGCAGGAGGGAACTTTGAAGAAAATAAGGGATAGGAGACTAGCATAATCCGTTTTACCTGTAAGGATATTGGAGAGGAAAGAGAGATTACATGCACGTCTGCTGTTGGAGAGACTAAGGACTGGAAAATAGTTATAGAAAGGATAAGGGATTTTGAGTTCTCAGAACAAGCACACAAAGGAAGAGTGTTGCTGGACCCTTTTAATGATGGACTTCATAAGTAGTAGGTGGTTCCCATTGGACTCTACAATATTTGACATATTTGAGAATGAAGTCCAAGAGCTTGAAGGCCTAACAAGATATCAACATTTGTGGTCATGAAAAGACTTTTAAGTTTGGTAGTATCCAAAAGTGAAAACCATTCATGACTAGTGAAAAGTCATGAATGTTGTATAGCAGTGACTTGAAAAATTAGGGGACCTGGGAGTTTTAGCTTCCTAATGTGAGTAAAAAAAGTATGCAAAATCATCATACTGCAGAAATTCAAAGGGGGAACAGATGAAAATTCATACATATTAAAAATGATTATAATACATTTTCGGTAAATGAAAATTAACTCATGTGAATTTATACTCGAATAAACATAAATGATAGACTGAAAATTTTCATTTTAACTATTTAATACTGATTGGTTATCTTTTCATTCAGAAAGTGAAAAACCAACATACATTTTTTATCTAATTAGTTTAAGTTAATTAACTTAAATTATTTACACTCCTAAACATTCAAAGAGAAATGTACGAGTCAAAAATTATTAAAATTTTAACAAATTATTCAAAGCAGTTAAACACCTTGCTTCAAAGCAACCTTGAGGATAAATACTTCCTATTTAAGTTACTTAAGTTTGGAGCAAAAAGAATGGATATAGAATTTGTGAGTAATAATATAATATAAATTAGGTTGGCAGTCTTACTTTTCAAAACTAAACTTTAATTGTTTGTATTACACACAGCAAGTTCTATTTTGAGTTAAATATATGCTCAAACATATATTTTTTTTGATACCTAAGTTTCTCATTTTAATGTCATATAAATTTAGAATTTTTAGATTTTTCTTTCACATAACGAGGAAAACACTATATTTTATTGTATATATATTTTTATTGTATTGATAAACATTTTTCAGTTAGACTATACTTTAAATATTTTTCACCTGCTATTTAGATTGAAACTAAAATCAAAATTTTTTTGAAATTAAATTGTTAAAATTCTAAATTTTAAACTTAGAATACATAGGTTGTAGTTTAGTTTGAATAACACTGAGATTTCATAGATCATGAGAGAAGGCAAGAACGGATTCTGGATTAAGACTTAGAAAGGCACGTTTATATTGTTCTATATTAAAATTATAATAATTTTACTATTCCCACCCTTAGTTCCAATATTAATAATAAATACAAAATATACATAATAATTATTATATTATTTAAGCAAAATATGTTTGCAATAGAGAAGACAATTGCCTCTAGTGCTATCCCTCTGTATTCACTCATCTTGTCATTTTAAAATTTTGACCTTAAAATTAGGCTATATGCACCCCCGCTTAAAACGTGACACAACTGGAAAAATTCCATTTTCCAATAGAGTCATTTAAAAAATTACAACATTTTGTTAAATTTTTTGTAACTTCATTAACTGATCAATTTATTTGTTTTTTCCCCTAAACTTTCTATGTATGCTTCTCTCCTCCTCTTCCCTATAAACTGTCGACATTCTCTATTTTTAATAATAATATTGTAACAGTAAAATATTGTAACACCAAGTGACATGACCAGTGACGTTTGTGCCATCTATCGGTGAAAAATAATAATAGACTTATGAAGTTGTCACACAATAAAAATATGATATTTATTTAAAATACGCTATAATAACCTCAAAAATCATGTTTTTTCAGTTGTGTCACTTTTTAAGCGGGGGTGAGATATGAGCATAATAATTTTTTTTTTTTTTAATGTATGAAAATAGATGACTTTTAGCATTAATTATAAAAAATAATAATACAATTTAACGCAATGGTTAACAAAAAAAAGTAGGTATGTTATGAAACATTTGTTTTTAGTCAATATATAAACTAAGCAGAGTTATAGCTGAAAATGTGGAAAAAGTAGAAACTGTAATTTATTAGTAATAATTATGTATTATTAGATAATGATTAAATTATGAATGATGCACAATGCAGGATTATTCAAATTGTATGTAACAATAATTTTGTCTATAAAATAATTAATTTTGTCAAAAATTATATTTAATGTTTAAGTTAAAAAACTAAGTAAAAGTATTTCGATTTTGCGCCATACAGCGTAAAGGTCGCTCTACTTATCAAAAAAGAAAATGCCAACATTTTTCTGTTATGAAACGTTCATACACTTTGCGTGAACCTAAAATTAAAAAAAAAAAATTTAATTAAAAATTCAGAATAATTTTTAACGAAAAATACCTAATTTTTTTTAAAAAAATTTCTTAAAACAGTATTTATTATTAATTAAGTAACAATAATTAATAAACTTCACGCAAAGGCCAGTAAGTTAAAGAAAAAAATTCGCCAAACTACATGTCAATCAGATTAAAATTCATTGGGCTACATTGTACGGCAAGCAAAATATTTAGTTTTTTACAAAAACGCTTTTAAGATATCAATTTTTCAATTTTTTGACACGTGCTATTGGTAGATCCCCTCCCGGATTTGAAAATTTTTATTTGCATTTTTATACTCTCCCCCTTAACAGGTAATTCAGTCCACAAAAAAAAATTTATATTTAAACTTATTAAGTTAAGATTTGTTAATACAGTGTTTATAAACTTCTATTTTCAAAAGAACAGAATTAAAATGGTTTTTATTTTATACATTTTCAATAACACTAAATTTTAGAAATTTAGCAGAAATATTTTTACTTTATTGTAATATATGACACCTAGCACAAAATTTAAAATGTATAGATAAAATGTGAAAGCTAATCATGCAGTTACTTCTACTATCTAAATAATTTTTTAGGTTTTTTAATTATAAAAATGAAAAGTTAAATAATAAAATAATTTTAAGGTAACAGTTTTAATTGACACATGAAAATTCTTTAATTGATTAATAAAAGAAACTAGACGTACAAAAAAAAAAACAAAAGTTGACAATAATCTACTATATTTATATTTAAATAAAAGGTAATAATTTTGTTGTTCAATGTACTGTATTATATACAACAAAACTATATTATTTGTCATGAGATGCTAATCTCTAAGCAACATTAGTAAAAATAATAACAAGTGTAAATTAAAATGTAATTATTATATAAGCAAGCAAAAAATCAAATTATATTTTGTTAAAAAAGCAATACCTCTGTGTAATTTCAGTGCAAGTAGTGAAGCTTTGCTCTTGGAGCTTCTCCACCCTCCTGTTCACCAACCTGTCACCCAAGCAAATTTGAATAATATAAATAATATGTACAACACAAATTCACACGACTTGCAAGATAACATAAGTACTTAAATTGTACATACGATTATCTCATTTTATAGCCCAAGCCCACATTATAGCACAACAATGACAACAATAATCTTAATGTAATAATATTTTCATGCTATTTACTTTTGAATTTATTTTATTGAACTGCTAGGTTTTGTTTTTTATTACATTAAAACAATGAATTAATGTAGCGTTAATTTTTAAAATTTAAAACTTACTATTTTTTTTTATTTTGTATTTTAGTAGTATTAACATCTAAAATGTCGTAAACTTCATTAAAAATTTGTTCAAATATTCTCAAAGCATATTATATATATAGAAATATATAGAAATCTATTAAAAAAATATATATATATATATATATTATAGTGTGTATCATTACACGCATCTAAAGTGAATACTCTTTACATCGATGTAGCTGAATGACACTGAAGAGCAAATTTGAGAAAACATTGATCTCGGGGAGATGGAAGAAAAGAAGAACTGACAATTATTTATTTTGTAAATGCACATAAAAAAAATGTAAAAAGTTTATATTCAGAGCTGAAGATTGAACCGTAAACCGCACTAAACACACCAGACTAGACTATTAAATGTCTATAGACGTTAATGTTCCAGAGTCGCATAAGCAAAATTATTTTATCTAATAGATAAATGTGGCCCAAATTGAACTAGTAGCAATAAATAAATTTAAGTTTATAATTGAGTTTATTAAAATGTTCATTAACTTGTAAAGAATGATTTATTTACATTGTTTAAGTTTTTTAGAACAATACACTATTAATCACTGAATTCCAACATGTTTTAAAATAATTGAGAATATGCAAAAATATACAATTATGACCATGTATATAATAGTCCATTTTTTTTTAATATCTACTTTCAATATTTAAAATAAATAGTATATAAAATGATTAATTAGATATTGTTGTTAGTACATTATTTGCTTGCATTTAGCATACAATTGCATTATTAATTCAAAAAAAAATAATAAAATATAAACTTACAAACATGAGTCAACCAGCTGATTACTCATTGATAACTGACTCTGGATCTGCCTAAAGAAATTACAAAAATATTAATTAGTTTTGAAGTATTAAAAATATATACATTATAATTTTAGCTATATACTGTTCTACAATTAAAAACACATACTGAAGTGATTAACACAAATTAAACAAAACAGAACTAACAAATAAATGGCATGACAATTATATAAAATTAAAAAAGGAAGTAGTACCCACTTCTTATGTCTTAATGTTTACTTCAAACTAAAAAATATTTGAGTATGCTTAAAATGTTTTTAAAGTGTCTCAATACTATAGATTTTGTTCATGAAATAAGTATTTACAGTATACTCGGCTTTATTGGGACCCATCGGTTGCATGTTATTTTGTCCCAATAAAGCATTGTCCCAATAATCTTAAATTTAAATAGGTATGTAAAAATACAAATTTCCTGATAGTTGGGTACTGATTTATTGATATGGAAGATTATATTTATAATAAATAACATAATGTACTTATTTATGAAAAAAAAGTATTTACACGTTTCATTTTTAGAAACAAATCTGAATCTATATTTAGAATTGTCAACATCTGAATCCGTACGATCACTGATTTTTGTACTCCTAAAATGTCTTATAGAAGATGAGTACTACATCCTAGCAGCAGTAATTATTATTGAGAGTTTCAATTTTTTGCGAGAGGGATAGTTCTTTTCAAGACATTGTTACTGTATGGACCACGCATAATTAACAACTGATAGACTCAATAACGTGTTTAACATAAACACCATAGCAATAATAGCAACAATAAGTGTTCTACTAACCAAAATAACTTAGGGAAATGAATAATTATTGGGCATAATTGACGTACTCTATAATAATATCCCAATTAATCAATAGATATCCCAAATAAGCAGTAAACATTTACCTTACAATCATTAGTTATTTAAGTAAATGAAGAATTGTCTCGATATAGCGGTTATCCCAATTCACGGGTCTTCTTTTTAAGTGGAATCTAATGTATACATTTATGGCCCACATAACATAATATTTATAATAATTTTTTATGATACTACCTATTGTTACTAGTGGTTTAAAATTTATCAAATTAGTTCTATTAAAAACAAAATATACGGTAGATGGTCACCATAGTTTAAATCAGCCTTAAGTCAAAATTTATAATTAAAAAATGATTCTGTACTGTCTAAAACTAAAATTATAAAATCAAAATATTTCTTAATCGTCTATGGAATGGGTAAATCGACACTTGAAATGTACCTAATCTACTGCAGTCAGATATGCAAGTCAACAACGGAACAACAAATACACTTGAACGCAATTTTTTATTTGTTGATAATCTAAGATAGGAATTGTCGTTGTCTAGTAGTTCAAAAGTTATATTTACTTGAACTTTGCATCTGAAACCGCCAGTGATCGGGTTGAGTATAAATTGCTAATTAGCTAATTACAAATATGTTTTGCTCGGTGCTTACACTACGCTCGGTAATGACCCTAACCGATTACGAACATTCAGGCTTGTGTCCAAATGCACTAAGAAACGCTAACCATAATTTATTGACAACATACAAAATATACAGTATTTAAATTGCACAGGTACCCAAGCGAGTATGTTTGGATGTGTTGGTGAAACGGACGTCAGTAAGTACTGTGATGCACGTTTAATTATTGTACTTACCTCAGGTGTTAAAATGTAAAAATATATTAACAGGAAGCTATCATATCCTTGCGTGGGCGTTGTAATCCAGTGAACGGTACTGGCCGACACGACGACATTGAACGTTCGTGATTTCGTCGTCGTAATTGATACCGTTTATGTTCGAGTCGAGACTAGTAATACCTAGTAGTAATAAATGTTAATTACAAATCGGTGACGGCCGACGGCGTTGTTTGCGGCTAAACACTTAACGGCGAATGAGGCTGCGACGACACGACAGAGATTCGCACATACCAACCAACGCACACGGAGATAACGCGAAAAGAACACAAATTCACGTTGAAATCCGCGGAAGCAATAATAAATTTTAATGTGTTCGTGTATTATCATACAGCCGAAACGCTGGTCGTCCTCATTTATACGTCATCAATCGTCGTATTACGGGAATTGTGTAGTAGGGGAAAAAGCACTCGCACACAACAAACGGGGTATTATCATCGTGGGGCGAACGTCAGCGTGATACTTTTGATAGGAGGCTGGAGGGGGAAATGAGTGCGTGCGTGTTGTTGTACACGACGACGGCCGTGTGCGAACGGTATATACGCCCTAAAAATAAACAACAGAAACTATCGTACCGACGACGTACGACGGCGTTTTGTTTGTTGCTGTTATATTTATTACAGTTTCCTTATCAATTTGTAATTTTTAATCGCAATACACCATTATCCATTAATTATATTATTATTGTTAATGTTTCTTTTATATTGCCGAAGACGCTACAGTAATATTAACGCAAATCTGCCGAGTGCCGGGCTGTGTGTGTGTGTGTGTGTGTGTATATGCGCGCGCGCATACTTGTATATTGTCCACGAGCAAACTGCGCATAGATAGAAAGTATAAACCTTTTGGCTTTTTGCTCCCGTTAGGTCATGTGTAAAGCCGCTTCGTCGGTGGAGGTAAAATTATATTAACGCCTTACCGAGCTCACGAGTTACAGGGGGCGGTACGGCGTCTGAGGAAAATAAAAAACTTCCGTTCATGTTAAGAGAGCGTCGCACCGGTGATTTTAAGTGGTAAAAACATGTTTACGCCAACTGAAAATAACTCGCTTAATTTTGGTTTTAAAGTAGAAGCACCTATAATAAAATTAAAAGAGGACAATATTCCGGAGAGCAAAACGGTGCGTTTTTTAAAAAAAAATCTTTTTTTGAAAGTTACAGTCATTTAAAAATGTTAAAATAGCCGTTATTTCTAAACTATGTATTGAGCGTTATACTTGGAATATTGAAAAAAAAAGCACCGTCTCGCCCTCTGGAATATTGTTTTCTTTTAATTTTATAATGGGTGCTTTTACTCTAAAACCAAAATTAAGCAAGTTATTTTCAGTCTGCTTAAACATGTAGAGATGAAAAAACATTTTTAAATCGCTTTCAAAGATGCTGTGATAGTCCAAAAAATAAATTAACTACCAGGGTTCAAACCCCCCCTTACACTTTATTTAGCTTAATACTTAAATTTTATAATACCGTTAGTTCTTTTAATTGTTATCACATATCAGTTATCAATATAAAAATTACAATTGTTCAAAGGGTAAAAACATACCTTAGAAATACTATGAAAGAGGTAAATTGTAATCATATACAATTTTTAATTGTATTTTAATCATCTAACTTATTTTAAACAGGATCGTCTAAATGGCTTAGTTCTTCTAAGCTAGTATCGAGATGAATTTGCCAAAAAGCCAAGAAAAATAGATATTTTGTTATAACTTATAAGTGTTAAAAAGTGAAATAAACTTAGTGTTTTTTTTTGCAATACCTGAAAAAGTATTAGATGAATTAGCAAGTAAGCAAAGAAAAATACAATTTTTTTTATAAGTGAAACTAATTTAATGAGTTTTCCAACCATGAACCCCCCCCCCCATAAAAAAATTCCTGTCTACGCCACTGTAGCGAGTCAGTTTTCTTACTTAGTTATTTTGAATTTTGCATGACCAGTGGCGTATTTTTTTTTTTTTGGGGGGGGGGGGAGTTTATGGTGTCTGGACACCCACCTGGCTAAAAAAAAAATATATTACACATGACAAATTTGTATTAAATATACAACAAATTAATATATATATTCTTATAATGAAACCACTTATTTAACAATACAAAGACAAAGGCATTCTTAGTATAATTTTACATTAAAACTTTTGGTATAAATCTAGTTTAGCGACCACGCGTTTTTTTCGAATTTTTTTTTTCAAACTGTGTGTTTTTTTAACGCTGAATACGATGGTGAAGTCAGATTTGGTCGGTCGGACTTGCTTTTGAAGTTGTAAGCAAAAACTGAATTTTCTTATTTTTTTTTAGTGCAATAACTTCGTGAATTTTAACTTTTTTTGAATTTTGTTTTATTAAAAATTGTATTTTTTTATGCTTAAAAAAATGACGCAAACAGAAATTGAACATCATACTTACTTTTCAAGTTATAAGCAAAAACATGATTTTCGGAATTTTCCTTAAAAACGCAATACTGCGCTAAAAAATTATCGGTTTTTAATTTTTTTTTATTTATTATATTTGTCAATAGATTTTAAAGTTTTTGGCAAAGTCAGAATTCACCTAGCATACTTACTATTTATGTTATAAGCAAAAACTTAATGATTGTAATTCAGCGGCAGCGGCGGCTAGTGTTTGCTGGCGGCGCGATGCGGCAACTGCGGCCGCAACAGCTCGCCGCTGCACTATACATTTGTCGGCTACGCTAGTTCGCGCTGCTACTGTATTATTACTATTAGAATACTATTACTATTACTAATGATTATTATATTATTTGAATAATATTATCAACGATGTGATATCATTATTGGGTATAAATCTACTTTACCGGGCACCCTTTTTTTTCGATTTTTTTTTTTTAATCGATAGTATTTTTAATACCGCGCACTGCACAATAACCCGGCTACAGCCGGGTCGACTATCTGCTACCGCCCGTCGTGATCCTTTTTTTTTTTTTTTTTGCCGTACATTTGAAGCGATAACCCGGTCCAGGTTATCGTGTAGAGCGCGGCCGCCGTTATCTCGAAATTCAAACGTCTGTAACTAAAAAAGGTAGATTAAATAGCTAGGTTTGGACTCGTTAGGTCACTAACCGCTTCCAGAGCAGTATCAGGTTAGTTTTTTTTATCCCCTTTAGGTGAGCTATTTTTTCCTCTGGGGGTGTGGGAGCGTGAGCCCCCATCCAACGAAGAGCCCCGAAGGGGTTCGAGGCAGCTCCCGAAGCCGGCAGGCGTAGGGAGTTGTTTTATATAGCTAAAGATTTTCTAACATCAAGCTTTAATACAGAATACTTAAGAAAATTATTCAAATACAGTAATAATCAATAGTAATAGTTTTAAAAATAAATAATTTACTATAATAAATAATAATACAGTAGCAGCGCGAACTCGCGTAGCCGACAAATGTATAGTGCAGCGGCAAGCTGTTGCGGCCGCAGTTGCCGCACCGCGCCGCCGCTGCCGCTGAATTACAAAAAATCAAGTTTTTGCTTATAACATAAATAGTAAGTATGCTAGGTGAATTCTGACTTTACCAAAAACTTTCAAATCTATTGACAAATATAATGAATAAAAAAAAATGAAAAACCGATAATTTTTTAGCGCAGTATTGCGTTTTTAAGAAAAATTCCGAAAATCAAGTTTTTGCTTATAACTTGAAAAGTAAGTATGATGTTCAATTTCTGTTTGCGTCATTTTTTTAAGCATAAAAAAATACAAAATTTTAATAAAATAAAAATTCAAAAAAAGTTATAATTCACAAAGTAATTGCACTAAAAAAAAATAAGAAAATTCAGTTTTTGCTTATAACTTCAAAAGCAAGTCCGACCGACCAAATCTGACTTCACCATCGTATTCAGCGTTAAAAAACACACATTTTGGAGGAAAAAAAACGCGTGGTCGCTAAACTAGATTTGTTCCAGAAATTGTGGACACCAGGTAGTACAAAAAAAATGGACACCCCCAAAATGATGTTAAAAATACGCCACGGTTTGCATCTAAGGTTACATATAATTATTTTTCCACTCTTTAGTTTCCATTTCTATTTATCCCCCATTACCTATTATCATCCCCTATTCCCCCATTATCATTTATCGACAATAATATCAATAAACGTATTGGCTTGTTAAGTTGTTAGTTTCACTATTGAGTATATATTGTATATATACAATATATACTCAATGGTTTCACCAGTCAGCGAATACTTCTAAATATTGGTAGCATAATACATTTGGTTAATTATTGTCATATAATCGTAAAAACATTACGATTATAAGACAATAACTAACATATGACAAGAATTATAATTAAGGGGACGGACACAATTTGCTTATTTACTGAAAAACTACCTTACGAGAAAACATTACACCTCGAAAAGTAATCCGATTTTGTCATTTTGATTTAAATGTTTTTGTTTAATAGGTGAAGACATCTATTGTTCGCATAGATTTCCGATTTTTTATTAAGTTAAGTACCAAAAATAATAACAATTTTAATTAAAGTTATAAAAAAGAAACTTTTATACTTTTACTTTTATTAGTTATTATAGCATACAGACATTTATTTTTTTTAATCAGATAACTAACGCGGAAAGTCATTTTTTATCATCAAAATGGCTATAACTCGTAAAACATTGTTTAAATACGTTAACAATTATTATACTCTAAAATTAATACCTACAAATTAAACTCTGTCAAAGAATACCTTTACCTCCCTATAAGCTAATTGAGTAAATAATAGTAATCAGCAAAATAATAGAAAATTATCTACCTAATACTGAATATCTTAAAAAAGACAAAAACGAATTGAAAAAGCCATCTACGGGATAGTAATACCTAAATATATACTGAAGACGGATTATCCAAGTTTGTTTTAATTAAGATGAAATTAAAAAATATCGACACCAAGATAATTTAAGTTTAAAACCAAATTAAACGAAGTATAATCGATTGTGGAATATTTTTTAGGTATCAGATCGAAAATGGAAATATTTATTCTATTATTATTGCTGCCTAATAGATAAAAAGCAAATACTTTCTTCCCCATTATTTTTTTTCTGGTCATACCAATACACATGATCAGTGGCGAAGCGTCATAGGAGACAAAGAGACAATGTCTACCCACTTATAATACGGACAAAAATTTGGTTTTATTTTATGTGTATAATAATGTTTTAACCAATTTTAATGTAAAAGTATATTTTTTTGTAATAGTATTCTTAGAATAGAGTAGTTGTGGACGCGGATCAGCGGGCGGTCGCGCTGCCGGCCGCCGGGTCTATCCAAATTTAGTATAAAAATAAATGAGACAATTTCAAAATTGTCTCTTTTGCCGGGCGCGGTATGCAGGGGGAAATGGAAAACGGCGGGGGTTTATCGTTGCGCTATGAGACATGTCTCACCGACCGCCGTTCATATTATTATTGTTTTGGTAGACGGTATCAGTTATCCGTTATCGATGTACGTCGTATCGATTGTCGTGTTGTACGTTTTCAAATATGCCTATGCCATTTAGTTTATTAGTTTTTGAACATTTATTTTTTACAGTATAGATAAAATAAAATATACAGGGGGTCCAAGGGGGCGCAGTCCCCCTGTCAAGTCACGTAACACCATTTTTTTTTTAATGTCTCCCCGATCTCAAGACCCATGCCTCGTCACTGCACATGATACGTGTTTTTATTTGACTAGGTTGCGGTAAAACAATTATTACTATTTGGAGATGGATGGTAGGTTAGGTTAAGTTAGGTCAGTACAATATTTCTAAATACCTAGCTTACCTATTAAATTTCACTTGGTTTATGCATTTAGCTAATATTTGTGGGTATGTAGAAAAAGTCATTCCCTCCCTCTAAATAATCTATTCGTTAAGTAGAAAACTTCTTGTGGCCATAAAAGTTTTGGACAGAATGTCCAAAAAAAATTAACATTTCATTATAATATTAGGTGAAGTATACTAAAATGTAAAATTTACATAAGGGGAGCGGAGGGGGATTTTTTTTGTTGGATAACACCCCTAGAAGAAAATTGTAATTACGCCACTAAATTGCCTTTAATTTTTATAATTTCGATTACACTTCGCTGCCACCCTGACAAGCGAATTTAATAATTTTTACTTCTCTAATGTATTTGACACTCGCTCAAAAAGTTGCTACACACTCGTCGTCGAGTCCCTAGTTAACTCACCTTGTGTATATCCTTATATGATAAAGCATTTATAAATTGAATTCACTATTTGCGCACCTCTGTATATCAGAGATCCGGATCATTTGATTTTTTTTAATTTACCGGCTTGGCATGGTCATTTTCTTAATATACCGGTACCGATTTACTTTTGTCCCATTGTCCAATTCACAGATTTTTTGTGAGAAGCTGATTTTTTACCGAAGGCTAGACGGAGGAATGTTTTGGAATATACCATGGAATTATAACAAATACTTCCACAACTTCAAACTCTTATACTCCTACACTACCTACACATACCTCAACCAAATTATCTTACTATCAATGGGGCACGTATGCACAACCCCAGTAAGTGGCAGTGGATGTTTATGGAGAAACTTGAGCGTATAGCGACAAATAGGGTTTCTTTTAAGTAATATATGTATATTATTTTATTTAATCATTTGGATATTTGAATAATTTGACTCCTACCTATATTAAGTTTTTTTTTAAAGATTATTAATATGTCAATAAACCAAATTTCTTTTTTAATTTACTCACTCTTCAAGTTTTTAGCTATTGACTATTGTGTAAGTATAGATTGTTAAATTCGTAATCGTAAATATAAATTTAGAGCTTATAAATGAATCATCACAAATAAAACTATCACTATTTATTTTGTACTTAATGTTAATCAAATGTTTATAAATTAAGTATACAAAGTAATTATCGCCAAAATTGAACACAAATAATTATTCAGGTATATATACTATATATACATATTAAACACAAAAATTATATACTGTATTTCTTTGAAATTGATATTTTTTTTTTTAATGAAAACATATTATGCCACAATCAAACAGCTATTCATTTTAATACAAAATTGAAATTGTATGTAAATTAAACTTAAACATATTTGTATTATACATAATATCATACCTACTTATATTAAATTAGTAAAACAGGTTTATGATACAAAATCAGATAAATCATTATTTTACAGTATAAATTCTAAAAATGATTACAAAAAATATGGTAGGTAGCTGAGATAAACGGATACTAGTAATGAAGAGTATTAATAAAACACAATATTATCATACATCACATTAAGTATTTATTTATTGTACATATTCTTAATTCGGTAATTAACGTCTTTAAATGCACTTTTAATAATACTTATAAAATAATTTTTTTTTTTTTTGTAAAATAATTTATGTACGATTAATATTACATGCTAAAACTTTAATTATAATTTTGATGTGTAAAATGAACACTACAGAAGTTTTTCGAGTCTACCATTTAATATAATTATGCTAATCAAAGATCTTTAACAAATTTGGCAGTGTTATTCAGTCTTTTTAAGTATAAATAGCAAATGACACTATTATAAAATTTAGGAAATATAAATAAGAATAATATGATGTGTATTTGTTATTCAATATAATTTTAATTTCTGTAATATTTATAATTTTAATTTGGACAAATGAAAAATAGTATAAAAGAGAAAAAATAATTGTATCGAAATTTAACTAAGACTAGAATTATAATGTAAACAAGTACAAAGATTAATATTAAAAAATGTAAAATAGAAAAAACAAACTATCAAATGTTTACATGAAAAATTATATTACTATTACATTCAAAATTAAACCTAAGTATAAAAACAAACACTAAAGTAGACCTGGGAAAATACAAAAACAAAAATTCACTAAATTAAATTATTATGTTTTATTTAAGTAATTTTTTTAGAGCTACATTTTAATTTTTTTTTTTTTTAACCATTAAAACAAGAGAAATTATAATTTGGAAGAGCAGTATGAAATGTATAGTATTTATAAGAATAAGTTGTAACAGTAAAATGTATTATCGTAATTGTGTGCTTATTATATATTTGAAAACAGTCGCAAAAATATTAATCAATAGTTCAATTAATCCGAATCACTGGGACAATTTTATAAAAGAACACACTTTGTGGCATTGAACGTTTCATTTTTCTATACAATATTTTTATTATTTTGACCCATTTATCTAATTATTATCTAATAGTAAAAAACTTTAAAAAAAAGTTATGTTAAAGATTTATTACCATATTATTATCATATGTGTAATCGTATTTCAAATTAATATTTTAATACTGATTTCTTCATATTTCCTATACAATACAATATATTTACACAAAGTTAAACACAATACTGAATAATAATAATTGAACGGTTTAAAATAAAACAGTTGCGTCATTTATTTACTTTCAGAACACATGGTATATTTTATATAATTTATTAGACAAGTTAATTCCAAAATTTAAATACTATATTTAATTATAATCTGAGATCTGTGTTTTATGTTATTTAAATAAATAGTAAAATAATCTCTTGTTTTATATTAAATAACATAACTATGATTATATATGTTAAACAACATAAAGTGATATTATAAATGGTCCATATATCGGTTTTTTTTAATGGTCCACATTTGTATTGCTTAAATTGCTAAGGGATAATATTTCAGTCATTTAAATGGCACTAAATTAGAAATCAGTACCTATATTTTTATTTATGTTTCAAAATATGAATATGTAATTATACTTATTATCATTATAAAAAATAGAAATAATAGAAATGTTTGTCAATAGACAAAATTAAAATGCTCAAATTTAAAAATTCAACAACAAAGTAATCGAATTAATTCTTTAACAGTTCATTCTTATTATTCCTACTTTCTGATATAATAAATTATTGTTTTCATTCAGAAAAAAATGGAAAAATACAAAAGAAACCAACAGAGCATAATTAGACTAGTATATACAAAAACAAAATGACTAATATAATACATAATTTTGAGTTATAATTAACTTAAAAGTAGTGCTCCGAGTTTAATAAATAAGACACAATACCTTGCTTCAATACTTGTAAGGATGTTATCATTGAAGATATGTATTGTTGAACAATGGTCTAGTATTCATAGACTATTTGTTTAGGAAGATTTGGTTACTTTACTATTTTTTTTTAGACACTTATTTGTACCAATATGTATGATATTTGTTCTACAGCCAAGAAACACTGGTAGACTATTATTACTTACATAAAAATATCACAAGAATTGTTAAATATTAAAAACTAAGAACATTTTGTAAAATATAATACATACAATGTAATTATTATTTTCTCGACCGCCGAATAGCTGGAGGAAAAATATTACCAAACAATTTGGTAATTTTGTCCCGATCCTCTGTACTCATAGACATAATGGGAACAACACGTTCAATTATTTCAAAATTTGTATTTTTATCACAGGTGATCCATTCATCATCCAATCTATATACATAAAAAATCCATAATTAAAAAACACAATTTGTTAAAAGCTGCGAAGGGCTGGCATGATTGAAGAATTAAAATTTATAAGGCCTATGGTAGAGATTAAAATCAAATATATAAACAAGACTATATTATTTTTTGGAACACTGTTTTTAAACACAAAAATTGAAAACATTGATCAATTAAAAAAATTGTGCACCTGCATTCGTTATTAATACGAGTTGTAAAATGTGATTACGATGCGGTCTATCTATGTTTAATCAATGCTCATTAACATTTAAAGACAGTTAAAGGATAAGCAATATTTATTCTAGGTAATATTTTTATTATGCCAAACCTATTAAAGGGTTGAGTGTAGAGTAATATTATTTATTCTGACACACTCTTGGAATATTTATTGCAATTGTTTTTTTTTTTTGTAACAGGCTTACACCATGCATTCTCATAATTTAAATTTCAATATTTTCGATTTTTCTATTTGTAAAAAGTAAACATTCCATAAGTGCATCGATTATCAAAAAACATAAACTATAATAATGATATTCATTAAATAAAATTAAAATAACACTAAAATACTATGATTTCAGAAAAATATTTATAACTTTAATGTAATTAATTAATCTAACATCAATGCGAGAATGTTATCGGTTTACATAAGAAAAATTAAGTGTAAAAAAATCAATTACTGAATGCACGAGAGCAAATGCTGCAAAATAGTTTTTAGTACGACCTTTATAGTAACTAGCTATAGGTTTAAATTAAAACATATAAAAATTGTATAACATACAAGTCGTAAACTTACAACTCAGGCGGAAACCAGCGAACCATAACTTCAAAGTTTTTACTTCCATCCAATAGTCGTCGAGCAATGACCTAAAAAATGTACAATATCAAACATTAAAATTGTATATACAGTATTTTATCACTAAACATTTCCATAAAAAAATAATCCTAATTTTATATTATTAAGTTGATGGGCTTTAATGTAATATTTTCACTTAATTTGATATATTTACCATAATAAATTTTGCTTTCTAGATAGAAAATATGTAAGTTTGAGTCATAATAAATGTATAGTAAGGTCAAATTATAAAATACAGCCCTAAACAATTTGGTACAGTATATTTTAAACATTCATAGACTTAACCCTTCATTAGAGTGTGTTGCCTGAAAATATTTAGAAATCTTATATCGCAGGGTTATTAATAAACTTATTTGCACCACGGAGGTTTAATAAACCCCAACACACTAACGGAGGGTTAATAGACAAATTTAAGTTTTAAACTTTTAATTATTGGTTTTAAATCTATATAATACATTTAAACAAATAGTATACTTTGTTTGTATCAACTATTGTCTATTCAGTCTAAGATTAAACCGCTCAGTTGACGAAAACTCATCACCACTGCGCATCCTTCCCCCTCTAGACTACCCGCGCCTAGGCCTAGGTAAAGTATTAACGACCAATCACAGAACGTATAGCAACCGCTGAAGAGGCCAACGGTGTTCGGCAGTTCAGTCTGCATGCGCGGTTTAATCTTACACTTAATAGACTATAAGCGTTAGTTAAATACTTACATTTGGGCGGAATTTAATAGCTCTTCTGCTATAATCAATAAAATCGTGTTGACTATTTTGTGTACTTAAAAATAACTGTGTTTGTAATTCCATCATTGTAGCTTGATCAAAATAATCGAATTTCCGTGCTAAAATCAGAAGAAGAAATAAATAATAATAGTATAGACAGTTTAATTAATAATTATGCAATGTAAATTGTAATTATAATAATAAATAATTAAATAGAAATTAATTATATAATTTTTGTAGAGTAGTATGGACATTAGTTTAATAACTAAAATATTCATTAGAATGATATGAACTATGTACATAACTGAATAGTTCTAAATACAGTGGCGGCTCGTGGGTAAAATAGTTAGTGGTACATAATTGTAAAACATATAATAAAACTGCATAGCAGTCAATTACATTTAAAAAAATTAATTATTTTAACCTAACTGAACTCTGTTGACATATTTTTGCTTTGAATATTTTAGCACTATACACTATCTATTATAATATAATAGATAAACTATATAATAGTGTCTATGGACTATGCATTAGTTTCAAAACATTAAAAGACCATCTGCAGAAAGAAACAGTGTTTCATAAGAAATTACTATAATAATATTACGTTTGTAGAATTCATAATATTATACGTATTTTGATATTTTTAGAAGCTCTTACCACTGTGAAATGAGTAACGACCACCTACTATATAGTATCTATCATACTTTCAATACGTATAATATAATAGCAAATTAATCTTTAAAATAATTTGTTGTTATTATTGAATACTTTTAAATATATATTTATACCAATATTTAATGTTTCATAAAAATAATATTAGTTTTAGATAATTAAATTTTTAAAGGGTCAGAAAATATATCAACCCGTTTATGCAAAAAAAAGTGTGTTCAACATTTTTTCTTCAGATTATTATTTTTATAAAAAGCAGTAGTGAAATACAAGAAATTTTTAGTTTCAATTATGTTGATTCTACAATATTCTCAACACTAAAAGTCATTAAATCTAAAACTATGATTTTGGACTTAATATGTTTAGTATGGACAGGATTGGTATTAGGATTAAACTTTAAATGAACATAATCTATAGTATAGATTCTATACAATCCTGTATAGATAACTTACATTTACATAAGTCTATAGAATTTGAATTAATTTATGTTTAAACTTAACACTTCAATTTTCTTAAGCATAAATGATAATTACCAGAAAATGGTTGGCGACGAAGTCTCAATTTTTTTCCTTTTCTTCTTATCAGTTTGCTCCCACTTATTCCTTCATCTTCTTTATTGTTAGAAACTTTAAAATGTTGATTTACATGTCTTTCTAGCATTACCTAGAATTGTTTTTAACAAAATATATTATTATATTGTACTTATAACACCAGTTTTAACCTAAAATAATTTTTTTGTAAAATGCATCCTTTATACAACAGCTTAAAAAAAGAATTTAGTAATTTATTGTTTCTCAGTTTAAAAGTAATATTAGGAGTCATAAAAAACATTAACTATTGTATTTGTTTACACAATATTCGTAAATAATATATACTTTAATTTTCTTACCTGAGAACTAAACCTTTGTCTGCATTTCTGAACAATGCATTGTAGTGGTTTGTTACCTCCGTGACTCAAAACATGTCTCTCAAGCCAAGAGCGTGAACAAGACGGTTTATTAAATACTTTACAATCATTCCACAAACAAACATACGTTTCACTACTTTTTTGAATGTTAACGTGTTTAACCTGGAAAAGAAATATATATATGAATATTATACATACATTAGAATTGTATTTACAAAAAAAAAATGGAACTTCATATTAATCATACTTGCAAGTGTTCAATGAGTTTAGCAGTTGTATTAAAATAATTATCACAGCCATTCCAGCGACACACTATATTTCCTTTTAACGAAATCCAGTGACTGTCTAATTTAGGAAACCTTATATTATCTGGTTTAATATCACCTGAACAATTTTTCTTTTGAGAACCAATTAACTGTTTGTTAATACTTAGTGAACCATTTAAATTAGATTGGTGGTTTTTCAAGGAACATCTTGATTTTAATGATAATGATGATGCTTGATGTAGATTTTTATTTTGATCTACTAGTTGTGAGGCTTTGCATTGAAATAAGTCGTAAGATGTCCCCAAAGAAGAACGCATAAAATATCTACTTTTATCAGATGTATCACTTTTCATATCCAAACATATTTTTTTTTGAGGACTGCTATAGTTGATTTCATCATTTGACAAATTATTATTAGAACTTTGAGTTAAAGATGAATCTATTTGTCTGTTACATTCTAATTTTTCTTCAGTACATGTTGTGGAAACACTGTCTTTTGAATACATTTCATGTAATTCATTAGCAGTCTTATTATCATTTTCAGAACACTTGATGGAAGTACAAGTTGATAAATGTACAGGTAATAATAGTTTTTCATCATTTAATAACTGAGTGTCATCTACAGTTTTCAAAGAAGTAATAAAATCACTGGAAAATTTATCATTGTCATACAATGTACATTCACGAGATTCTTCCTTGGGCACAATGCAATTTTGACCATGAACGTACTCACATTCAGATTTAATGTTGTCAGTTAATTTAGTATTCTCACACTGTTTTAATGGCATTATGTTAGGTACATTGTTGAGATTTGAGGGATTTCGGAAGAGACCTAATTTATCAGTACATGAATCTTCAACTGAATCCTTGTTAATCTCATTATCGGCAGTGTTTTTTTCTACTTTACAGTCTTCTGTATCAGATGTGTCAGAAAATAATTCAATATTTGAACAGTCTCCTGGCCATTCTTCACTCCACGGCCAACATGTCAAATCGATTTCATCAGCTGAATTTTGTATGGGAGGTGGTGGTGCCATTACAGACTCACATTCAACTGGAGATGGAATTGAATATTCACTTCCTCGGCTATCAGGCGTCATTGGTGATCCAAGCTCAGTAATAAATGTTGCAACACCACTAAAAAAATGTATAGTCCTTTATTCAAAATATAATTAGATATTGTAAGAAATATATTACTGTGAGGTAAAAAGAAAAGTAATATTTAAGACTAGGGTAAGACTAATGTAAAGACTAGGAATGAGGTAGGCTGCAATATTATTTTTATTTGCACGCACATCTCACCCACATGTCTTCCTTTGCCTAAACTTTAAATTAAAAAGTATTTATTCAAAACTAGTTATTCGCCAGTTACATTGTATATATCAGTTATACTATCGTTTAGTAGCTTTTAAGGGGGAAGGGTTGTGTAAAAAACTGTTTTTTCCAGGATTTTTTTTTTTTTTTTTGAAAAGATGGTAAGATTAATTAAAATGAATTAATTACATCATAAAGTTGACGATTCAAAGTATTTTATAAAAAAATTCATATAAAAAAATAAAAAATGATGGTGTCAAAGCTACTTGAATTTGGTATTTCGATTTTGCGCCGTACAGCGTAAAGATTGCTCTACTTATCAAAAAAAAAAAATGTTAACACTTTTCTGTTATAACACATTCATACACTTTGCGTGAACCTAACCAAAAATTCAGAATAATTTTTAATGAAAAATAGGTATTTTTTTTTTATAAATTTTTTTTAAAAATAGTATTTATTATTAAGTAATAATAATTAATTAACTTTTAGGTTCACTCAAAGACCAGTAAGTTAAGAAAAAAAATGTGCCAAACCACATGTCAAATGAATTAAAATGTATTGAGCTACATTTAAGTAGCCAATTTTCTAAGTTTTCGGCGCGCGCTGTTGTTAGATCGCCTCCCAGATTTGAAATTTTTTTTGTGGAATTTTATGCCAAGTTTTATGATTTTTTTCGACAAATAATGTGGTTCTAGAGTCAAAATATCAAATCTCTTCGGTAATGTTGCCACTTAGTATCAACTTATGATAAACTTATTTTTCAAGCAATAAAAAAAAAATGTAAACAAATTTTTTTTCACACAATCCTCCCCCCTTAAGTAATTCATATTTTTATACTTATTTATTAGTGTAGTAAATAGCGTGACCCTTTAAAGATGATAGAATAGAGTTTAGAATGAAGTTAGGTTTGGTTTGACATAGATAATTTCTAAGTATTGGCATATTAGTAAATACTAGGCTAAGAAAATTTTCAGATATACATTCATAAAAAGAATATGCAAGAAAAAAAAATATATCGTGAAATTGTAGTAAATTTATTTTAATTTAAAATATAACTTATTGTTAATTGTAATTGTTATGAAAGAAAATTAAAAATGGTTACAACAAATTAATTAACTGTCATTTTCAAATCTATCATAAGTGATTAGGTTTTTGTAAGAATAAAACAGGTAATTACATTAAGAGTAGAAAGAGTAGAATGATTCACAATGGATGGATGTTATAAAGATATTGAGGTATTAATATGAAGTCGATAAAGAGGTGTTGAATAGAGCAAGCTAGAAGAAGGATTAAGGTCTTTAATTTTTATAAATGGAGCAAATTAATTATAACTATTCTATAGATCTTCTAAATTTACCATTCCAACTCAAAATGTTATTATTTATAAACATAAATTAAAGTAATTATAATAATTAAACAAATTAATGAATAAATTACATACCTATCAGAACTTTCAGAGCTATCATATCTATCAACACTTCTTTTTTTTAAACATTTTTTTAAGGTGAATGACCTCTCTGAAGAGCAAAACGTCATGTTGACAATTTCGTGACAAATATCCAATGTTTGAAGTGGATCTACTGCAAAAACAGAATAAAAAATTAACATATTAGTCAATGTGTATTTTCCATTTTTAAACAATAATTTTACCTCAAAACAATATATTTTAATAAAAATGGTTAAAATAATGTACAATTTAGACAATTTTTATTTAAAGATTAATTGTGGTCTATAGAAAAAAATGTAGTTTTATTTTATAATGTAGTGTATTATATTAACTGTTAAATTTGTTTTCCTTCTAGTAGTTACAAATTTGTAATTTATTACAGTTTGTAAAATAGCTGTATAAAATTATCTTCAATGAAAATTATAACAGATAGTATTTATTTATTTATTTTACGCCTGACGGCAATTTACAAGAAAATACATATGTGTTAGTAAATAATAAAGATAACAATTAAATTATATAAATTACAATTATTAATAATAGTATACAGTTAAAAATAGTGAGACGCATGCAAATGAAAGTAAAAATAAACATAGTATAATAAATATAATTTATATTTTAATTTTTTGCTAATTTATGAAAAGCCAAATCATTCTTTATACACATTGATAAATAACATACACAAATTAATAATAACAAAACAAATATAAAAAGCTAGTACAGTGGGGTCGGGGCATAGTGGGAATGGAGAGGTCACAGGTCTACAAGAATAACTGAAAGTGATAAAATCACTTTTAAATAAACGCTTTAATGCGATTCTGTGGGAAGTGTAAAAATCACAAATAGCAACCTAAAAACTGACTACAGTCAACGTGTAATTTTTCCCTAATTTTTGGTTTCCCTTAATAAAAAAATGAAATCGGTTGTGTGGCTTAAAATATATCGTGGGTACAGACACAAAAATATAAAATGTATAATAAAAACATGCTTTTCAAAAAAAGTGAACTAAAAAGTAAAAAATAATTTCAGATGTTTTATATTGAAAGTTTTTTTGTAATTTTAATTTGGTTCAATATTAGTGTGCGACACATAAATTTCATAATACTTATTTCGGTGAATTTAGACTTTGTTAAATAGGGCCCATGCTTTTCTTTTTAGTCAAAAACTAAAAATGTTTGACATTATTTAAAACTGTACTTAATTTTCGATTTTTTTTAAAGTAATTGACATTTTAAATAAAATGTGCTACAATATTTGGTAAATTGTTCTTGTAGTAAAATTATTTTTTAATTTTTGGTTCACTTTTTTACAATTTTTTAGAAAAGCATGTTTTTAAAAGTTTTTTATTTATTTTATTTTTTACTTTTTAGTCCTATTAAAGGTACTTAATAATTCAAGGGTCGGGGGAAAAAGATCAATGTCAACTTTTTTGTGAAAATGAGATACTATTTTATTTTACAAAAAACGGTGGATAAATGAGAAATTTGAATGGGACATTTATTAAAATTAAATTATTTGAAGTCTATTATGAGCATAAAAGTTTGAAATATATTATATGATGAATTATATGACTTTTATATAAGTATTAGTGTAAGTACAGGGTCTGGCAAAAAAACCTCCCTCATTTAGAAATGGCACTGTATGAGTTGTGGTGGTGGTACAACAGTGGAGTATCGATTGATAGCTGTATACATGCCATTTTCTTCTGACCTTACCTAAACCAGTTTGCTAGGAACCATGATAAGGGAGCAGTCTGGTTCCAACAATACGGTGCCACAGGTTACACTTTGCGCCGTTCACTTTTAACTTTCGAGAATAGCCATAGCTCTTCGTGTCATTTCCGGTGTAATGGCAGCCACTGCCTGTTTGATTGCCTTCTTAAGTCCCCAAAGAAAAAAACCACAAGAGGATAAATTAAGTGACCTTGGCGGTTAGATGATGTCTACTTGCTAGGTAGCGCCGCGAAGTGTAACCTGTGGCACCGTCTTGTTGGAACCAGACCTAACCTACCTCATCATGATTCCTAGCAATTGGTTTAGGTTAGGTCAGAAGAAAATGGCATATATACAGCTATCGATCGATACCCCCTCCACCGTTGTACCACCACCACAACTCACACAGTGCCATTTCTAATTAAGAGAGGTTTTTTTGCCGGACCCTGTATTAGACACACCTACTTTCATGCTAAGAAACTAAACAATCAGTAATTTTGATTTTTTTTTTTATTCAAAAAATATTTAAAAATATCGGTAAAAATAGTAGAAATTGCATTTGAAGAGCAACATGTTATGTTTTTGATTAAAAAGTTCAAATTGTATTAAAGTTTTAATAGGATATTTATTAGGCATGCACCAATACAAAAACCACCTCATCACATTTATTTTTTTATATATTTTAGTTTTAAAGCTATAAAACTTGCAACTAAAATTTTCACCACCATTAGTTGTCTAAATTACACACATATAATCTCAATTATATCGCCTAACTTATGCTAGTGTACATTTTTTAAGATGTATCATAATTCTATTATAAATGAAAAAAAAATGAATAATCACTTCAAAGATTTCTTATCATAAGAAGATTTACTATAGGTTCACACAGAATAATAAACTAAATAACAATTTTTTATAATTGTTAACACTATGAATTATGATATGAATAAGACAAACTAAACTAACATGTTGTTAGTTTAATAATTGAGCAACCTTATCAATAATCGAAGAACTCAATTACTTAACATTAGAGCAAAATGAATAAACTACCAAAAATAGACCTTATTACTAAACTAATAATTGCTTATCACATAAACCTTTAAATTATGATTTTGCAAAAAAATTGCCTACACTTTACTCCTTAGAAATTGTCAGTGTAGTGTGGCCCCTGGATACCGACCATTTTTAAGGAGTTATATAGGCAATATTTAAGAAAAAAGTGGTTTTAATAAATTTCTACCATGTTAATTAATTTACAATTAATTAAATTAATTATACTTCGTCTAAACTTCATGGTATTATTTTTAATTTAAATCATTTTGTCTATGAGTAAAAGCCATTTTAGTTAATATAATATACATATTTTGTTCCATCACACAGGCTGAACCAGTGATCCGATAAGTAATCTGTAAACCGATTTGAATTTGTCATGAAGTTAACTTGAGATCGGTCAGCTTATATTTTTGATATCTTATTCCTACTACGCATAAAACTTGACTGAACATTTTACAAAATTTCAAATTTTAAAACTAAATTTGTAAAAGGCCAAATATAAAAATTGAAAAAAATACTCTGACCAATCTTAAGTAAACTTCATGACAAATTCATATCTGTTTTTTGATTGCTTATCAGATCACTGGTTCAGTCTGTGCGATTGACAAAAAAATGAAGTATTTTGGCTCAAAAAACGGTCGGTATCCAGGGGCTTAAGCTTTATTATAATTTATGTTTCTGCATGCTGTGAGCATTAGGAGAATATTGTCAAATTATTGCTGGTTCTGTTTAATAACTATAAGGGTTAAAAAATCGTAAGAATAAATAATTATATATCAGCATTTTGCTCATAGTCAGTAAAGGAATGCAAAAACCCTACTCTAAAAGGCCCCATACACTAAAACCGTCGTTTTTCATCATCACAATAAAACACATCAGTTAAAACCGAAGTGTATGAGCAAAACCCAACGATGAAACATGACGGCTTTTTTATCTGTAAAATCTTGATTTTTAACACAACGTGTTTTATCGTGACAATGAAAACCATAGTTTTTCATCGTAGCATATGGGGAGTTTATTCATATCAACAAATATTATTGACCATGGAAAATAATATTATAGTTATAGAATTAATAGACAATAATAAAATTAATTAACAAAAAACATTTTCATGTAAGTAAACTTACATAAAATACTTAAAAGTTAAGTTTTTAAATAGAAAATATAAATTTATGTGTTTTTATGAAACATGACAACTTAAATGCTCATTTACCAAAACCTACTAAAAAAGAGATAAGCTCTTTTAGACCCAAAATACAGAATGTATATCTACATAAAAAAAGAAAAAGAAAAAAAATAATGATACATTATAAGTAATACTAAATAGTTTCTTTACATAAAATTTAATCAGTTTAAGTTTTTTTTCAATTTTGTTCTAGAAAATTTGCAATTAATGGGTTCATCGTTTTTTTATAACATTTTAAACAAAAATTATTTTATATATTTTAAACTAGTGAAAATAAATAAATATTTTTAACCTAGACACTCAAGAGTACTCCGTAGTATTATAAATTTAGATAGTATAAAAGCTAATCACACGAGTACATTAACAGGCATTAAAATATTATATTATATCTTGCATATTACATTATGAGATAAGTAAATAAGTAAAACAAATACAATAGGTATTTCTAAAATAATTATATAAAAAAATATAAGGATAAGTGTGTTATGAATATACAATAAAGAAAATTATAAATTTTAGAAGTTTACGCACATTCCAAAGTGAATATTTTACCTACATAAACTTAATTTTTTTTTTTTAATTTACAAAAATGATTAGTCTTTAAATGTTTAAGAAACTTTTATTTAACGTTATTTTGATTGAATATGTTTACAAAAATGTGGCTCTATTTTAGACTTACTGTTTATAATGATTGTTTGCTAATTGGATAATTGACAAATTGACTAAATGTTGACTAATCTATTAGAATAATTTTTAAAAGAAAAATTGTATTTTTCTGATTTTTTAAATAAAATTACCTATTACAAAATATTTGCAAGACATAAAACTCTCAACTTATTAATAAGATAGAAAAGATGGATTAAAATCACAGCGGGGGAGTGCAAGGATAAACATAAATACTCTGCTCAACCCGAGTGATATTTAGCAGACCCACATCCAGGGGGGTTTTTAGGGTGTAAAACTCCCCTGGCCACGGGCCTATATTTTAACAGTTTAACTGGCTATTTTCGGGAGTTAAAAGGTATATCTATGAAATCTAGTCGAATACTCAGGTCATTAAGTGATGGAATAAGTTGCCTTAATAGTCGTGGGGGGTAAACTCGAAAATTTAGAAGTTAAACTAATAACGATTTTAACTACATAAATCTTTTACAAATCTACGGGATCTTACTATCAACAACGATACAAACCGGGTATTGATTATCGAGATGTATGAACCTCTAGAATCAAGATCGCATAGATAGGTATGTATATAATATGTGTGTGTGTGCATATAGACAATACTAAAATCGGTTGGCAGAGGGTACGCGTTAATGTACACCAACAAAATGGATATGTATTATAGTATTATACTCACAGGTATTGTCGTTCAGTCGAAATCGCACTTCTCCAGCCATTTTCCGTCGGACGACAGCAATACCTACGCCACACTTGCACGCCTAACTCGTCTTAGCCGTCGTCGGAGGAGACTTCACCTCACGCATAACGCATTTCTCGTGTGTTTACAACATTTTCACGCACTACGGTGACGGCGTCGGCGGCGGCGATGCATTCAATGCAGTCGCCAGTTAGCGTTCAACAAAGGTGCAATCGTGGTGGGAGGCGGCGGCGCACTCTACGGACACCGTGTGTTGGACGCGATATATATATATATATATATATAAATGTTCACAAAAAGGTAGACGAGATACGCGGTAGTGGGGTGTTTAAGGTCGGGTCGGCGGTGTTACTGCTCCTGCCGCTGTCGTTCATGGGCGTCACAATACGATGAGGCGGTGGCGGTGGTGCGGTGGTAGTGATGGTAGACGAGGGAACGGGCGGGACAGAAGCATTGCAAGGGTGAAGGGCAGCGAGGCCGAGACTGCCGTCGCGTGAGATCAACAAACTCTGTCGGGTTATTATTTCATTCTGGTCATACAGCTGCCGCCTGCCGTTGCGGCGGCGAGTGGCGACCAGCGCACTAGGATGGCGAGACGGGATTCTAACCGTGCGGTAACCATTGCATAACACTCGTTACCGGGTTCGTGATAATGGTTCAATAATCTCCTGTGTCGGTTCTTGCTCAGCGGCCGGCGCTCGCTCTCTCGCTCTCGTATCCGCTAAGGCGCTAACCATTATCCACAGGGCACAGACGCGAGTCAGTAGGAAACGCGTAACGGGAACTGGGATACAACGTTTTTAGCTTTACTTTTGCGTGTGGAGGTTAACGTTTAATGCCTAAAGTGGAGGATAACGTTGACAATCTACGAAGGCTAAATTGAAAAGGCGAGAATTTAAAGAAATATGTAGGTATCTAAACTTCTAGCGGTTTTCTAATATTGGTCTACAATCATAAATCGAAAAATAGTCCTCATAACAATGTTAGTAGGTAGTCTTATAGTTGAAGATATTAAATAAGCACCAATCCAATGGCTTAACAGGAGAGGATTTAGGGACTTTAACTCTACTCCGTTGGCCTTTTTTTAAACTTACCTATCGGTCTATTGCTGCCTTCCTTCGAATAGAAAGTTTCTACGAATTTGTGCGTATAATTTTTTTTAAAAACGATATTTTTGTTTGTGTCGTGTGTGTTCTTCGCCAAATGTTTGGATACGTTACTGCGATCCAATCAATAATTAGCGCTTAGACAGATTATTTTACACACTCCATTACACTTTGATGATCAAGACCACATCAGCGTTGGCTAGATCGGATAAAGGAAGATTTAAATCAAGTAGATGAAACGGCAAGAATTGAGGATGCAGATAACAGAGACCTATGGAGAAGTTGGGTAGAAGCAGCGAAAGGCCTTAATGGCCTGTAGAAGCTTTAAAAAAAAAATCAATAGTTAGCAACAGAATCGTAGTGTTTGAATTGTAAATTAGTTTTTACGTACCATATTTGTTTTAATCTTCTTTATGATAGTCTGTCTGTGCCCTAGTTAAACAAAAAATGTATGATGTTGCTGGAATGCCTGGAGTTGGTGTTTGTATTGACTGTATCCACATAAAAATACAAACTCAGGTGGTCAAAATGGAAAAGTTTTTAGAAATCGCAAAGGATGGTCCTCGCTAAATGGTCAAGTAACCTCATATTACCCTATGGCCTACTAATCTAAATTTTAAAGGCTTATAAACAAAAATTTAATTTAAAAAAAAATTACCATAGGTACTTTATTGTTTTACATTTGTTTCTAAACAATATTAAGGTTGTTTGTGGTTATCAAATGGAAATTTATGATGTGACTAGATGGTAGGAAGCTATCAAGTTAGTTTTATTTTTAATGCAAGCCATGCATGTACAGTCTTTTCCAACAATAATACTAATTTGCTGCTTTTAGATAATAATGGTAATAAGTAATATTAATATTTTTTTTTTAATAGAACATAAGTACTGTACATTTTTGCAATTGTATTATTATAGGTTATGCTTGTAACCGTCTAAGCTCCGATCGGTGGGAGTAACAGACGTAAAAACGTAAAAAATTAAATTAATAATAATAATATACCTATAAGCCAAAAGTCGGCCACCGAGGTCCCTTCTTATTTTGAGCTGAGTATAGTCTGTTTATTATGTATATACTATTAATTATACATGTATATAACCTGAAGATAATATGAACTATCGAAACTATAGCCGAATTAGTGAAGTATTTATGGGGAGGGCCGAGAGGTAATGGAATATATTGCCTTACTTGACCTTTTTTGTTTTTTTTGTAGTTTTCCGTATTTCTCAATATGATATTAATTATTATCTACTTTTAAATATCTGTTTATCTGTTAATATAATATATATATATATATATATATATATATATATATATAATATAGAATATTCTAACTATTCTAAAAAGGCCAAGGGGAGGGATCTATCCCCCATAACCCCCATATGTAATACGCCACTTACTACTTAGCCGAATATAAAATTATTAATAAATAATAATAATGATATTCGTTTTATAAAAATTACGTAGTTAAGCCTGATATTATCCGATCACCAAAGTAAATAATATGTGATTGCGATTTGTAATGTAGAAATTACAATTAGGTCTTCTACCATAACGCATAAGCCGCGCACAATTTTGAATTTACAATAGAACGCCCTCGTATTCGCCAAGCCCCCCAAAAACTAGGATTGGTTTAATATAAAAAAAAAAATAATAATAATGAGGGGTTATGCCGAATGACGCACAACAAAATCCTTATTCAATACACACAATATACTTTTAGATTTTAGGGAACATTGAATATACATAATGTTCATACAAAAAGTATCCAAACATATTTTTGTTCCTATTGGTTTCATCCTTGTAAATAAATACAACATACGCAGTGTAATCGAAAACCAATTTTAATTGTAATTTGCCGGTACTATTTTACATGTAAAGTATTATTAATTGTTACAAAAATACTTCAAAATGGGCAGTGTGCAAACGAATATAAGGACTCGGTATACAGTAATTAAGCTGAATTTTGCAGAGAAAATACTTGTTTTTTAGTTTGTTGTAACTATAAAGTAATATATTATAAGTAGTGTATAAATACGAATCGTAATTAAATTGTATAATTTAAAACACTTAGGGCCAGTTGTACCGTTGTTGATTAAACAGTGATTAAGTTTTAATCAATGATAAAATCTGTTGGGTAGTTTTACGGTGTCGGTTAACCTTCTAGTCACTGATTAAAGGCCCGTCAAGTTAATCAACCATCTGGGCTCGATTAGTTAATTTTGTTGGTTTACTTAGCAGACTACTTTACAATTTTGTCAGAAATCTAGAATTTTACAGTTTTACTTGTTGTAATGCTTTATTTAATCCTACAGTATTCAGTAATAAAGAAGACTCCAGACTCCTCGTCTTGCATTATACATTTATACATTGATGACCTCTTAATGGCAGTTTGGCTATAGCACAGACCTTATCCTTTTATTGTAAACACGCAAATTATATTTTAACATAGATAATATTATATACTAATACTAGATAGTCGTATTTGCCATTTATTTATTTATTCATATGGCGGTTGCCAGAGGGGTGATAGAACTTAGCCGTCTAAAGACGTTGCCCGGGGTACACTACGTGGAAGCATTCTATTATTGTACCACCGTCTTTGCCATAATCACCCTGAAACACAGATATATATATAATAATTAATAAACTAGATTGCTAACTAGCGATAAGAATTGAAGCCGACGGTCTGCCATTCTGGTGAGGTTTATGTGTGTTATCAATGCATATTATATATATATATATATGTATATATTATTATATCAATATTATATATATATCTGTGATTGTTATAAAAATGTATTATTCTACGTGATAAGGTTCTATTTCCCACCAAGATGGTGGAAAGTGGCTGCTTCAATTTGCTCTATTGGTGGCATGTACAGTTAGCAATCTATACCCTGTTCGCTGAGAGAGCATGCCGAGTTTGCGCATGTAGACTGAAGACTAAGCAGCAAGACTAAGGCTAGCAGACAGGGCGGACTTCGGGGGGAATTCTAGTCACACTGGGTGTCGCGGGGGATGCGCAGAACGGCTAATTTTCGTCGGGTCGCACCATGCTCTTTTGGCGAACAGGGTATAGTTTATTATATATATCTGGGCCCTGAAATTAGTTGAAGCCGCCGCCATAAGCAATGTTAAACAAACGTTATCAATATTAGGCTTTATCATCTTGAATAAATTACCTTATGCCTTTATAATTTTTAATTTTACTCGTTGCTACTATATCATCGATAGTGTATTTGATAACGTTTGTTTACCGATTGTGCCTACATTGCATACGACAATAGATAATAAATTAGTACATTCATTTATTATCTATGCATATGACGTAAGATTCATTGATAATTCGAAGACGGCTATCTAGTATTAGTATATATCTATGTATTTTAAGAATAGACCTTTTACTCATAGCACAGAATAACTTAGTTATTCTGTGCTCATAGACCGACCCTCTTCACGTTTCCCCCGTGTCAACATAGGTGGCGCTTTTCGATTACTGAGTTACTCTGATACGGTACAAAAATTATTGTATATTATATGAATATTATTTGAAATTGAATAATTTCAAATGTTTAATATTTTTGTTTATAAAGAACTAATTATTAATAATATTAAAATATAGTCTTCGTTTATTTTATAAGCATAAATATTTAATTTCAAATATTATATTGTCAATGCACAATATTTTTTAATATATTGAACACACGGTTTTATGGTAGCACTGTTCCATAGGCGGTCTGCATCACTGTGCTATGTCGGCTCGCGGCTATCAATGTGTTTGGTAAAGGATGGACCGGACTATGAGTAAAAGGTCTAAGATTTTAACATCTGCTTCCATAATTTACGTGTGATAAGATCATAACATCATAAAATGACAATACTGGTAAGTCAGGTTACCACAACTATTTACCGATTACCGTCTACAAATTATATTACCGTATACAATGTTACTATCGTATTCAATACTTCTGTCTTCTTCGAAAATTCGGATGATTGATAAGCAGCTCTTTTTTGAGTGACCAGAACCATGGTTTGGTTAGGTTGTCCCTGAAATGTTTTGTCTCTATGTAACACAACTTAACGCTAAACGGTGATAACGTATTGGTGTATTTTAGAAAATAAATAGTTCAATTTTTTCTATTTACAAAAAAAATCGTTATTTAAATTGCTTGTTTACTAATAATCATTAAAAGTTGTAACTATTAAGTAACAACTATTCCCTAACTTCTAAATAGTAAACATTATACTCTTCAACAAATTCTATACTATATATTTTTTAAATCTAAAATTACCGATCTCAACATTTTTATATTGTAAATTAAAATAGTAAATTTAGCGCCAAGAATTATCACTCTGGGTGAGTACTTATAATAATTTTGATAAGTATTCTTTGGAAATAATATTTTTATTTTTATTTATTTAATTTATTGTAATACTGTTTTATTTGTTCTGGGATGTATAAAATGTCATTTCGTAACACAATAAATAGTATTTTTGCTTAATAATGTTTGTTTAAACAGAAAAGCCTTAATATTATTATCATATTTATAGTAATTGTATTTTTGTTATTTTTATAGTTATATTAAATACACATAAATTATAATTTTGGCTACTTTTAAATTGTTTTGACTTTTGTCTACCTACTAACGTTGTTTACTATTAATGTTTAAGTAGGTCTATATAAAATCTACTGCCACAATTTGTTTTTATAGTAATCATATTAGCTATATTGTTGATACGAGAAATGACTAAGATTCATTGTTAAATAGTGTTTACTGCCCAAAGTTATACTTTCTTTCTGCATTTGCTATTTTTTAATATATATTCACTGTCGAATCTAAAAATTAAGTGATATATCTAATATTGTATGTCTAATTTTTATTATTATTTACTATGGAATTATTACGCCACTATTATTAGCTTTAAAAAACAGTTTTTTTTGTTTTCTTCAAAAACTAGTATATTTCAACAATTATTATGAAAATAGATAATTATTAAAATGTCGTTCTAATATCTTGAATTGTGTTATCCTTTATTATACTTTTTCAAAGTAAGCTATGATAAAAATCAATTTTATGTTATATTTTTACATTTGTTTGATACATTTTACTCGCATAATAATTATGACATATTTATTATGAATGATTTAGGATTTCTGGGACCCAAAATATTATTTTAACTTTCAAGGATTCCCAGTTATACAAACTGTTGATTTTTGTAATATTTATAATATGTTATTTTATAAATATAGCTAATTTATTTGATTGATTTTAATATATTACAGTATTATGGACAGTATGGAATTAGAGCTTGAAAATATGCTTAACGACCCTTCACTAAAATATTCAAGTGAACTTGCATCTCAAGGTAAAAAATAATTGTTTTTAAAAAATATAATTAAAAAATTATAATTTTTCTATTTTTAAATTTTTAGATAAAATGATAATACGAATAAAAAAACAAGAGCAAGGTGTGGATATTTATACAAAAGATTCTACTTTAGATCATGAAGAAATTGTGTAAGTTGTTTAAACTTTAATATTTCATATCTTGTTTTAGTCTATTTATATTAATAATGTCAGGTGTTGTGGCCGAGAGGGTTACCGCGGCGGTGTTTCTACGCACTAGCCGTGGTTCATATCTCGGTCGCTGGCCGTCTCTCTAGCTGGGCGGGCAACCGTCTGGAGAAAGAAATGGCCTCCTGACTGGTGCGGAAGGCAATAAGAAACCACCGCACCATAACCACTTACCCATGATGGCAACTAGTCTCTAGTAGAGCAAGAATTGTCCAACCGACCTAACAGGTCATTGACTTGTTAGGTATATTAATAATAATTCATTATTAAAAACAAAATGTTATCATTGAAATAGATCATATACTTGTGAAATTGTTCAGAAAGTTGATGAAACTAAATCAGAGTTTGTTGAATTGTGTGATGAACCCATTGAATCTGTTCGCCAAGATGAAAATTTCAGTAAGTTCACAGCTCCCATACATTATAACACTTGTTATGGCCTTGGAGGGGCGGTAACTTGCCCCTTATAAGTTATATGTCTTTCGGTGATGACAATTCTTTCCTTTAAATAGTCTATATTTTTTATATACAAATTAAAACCACGTCATGCTATTATTGATATTTTATTGTAGTCATTTTACTAAATTTAGATCAACAAAAAATTAAAAACAGTATTTTTAAAGATACAAACACTTAATTTGTTAATAATATTTTTTTTTTTAACTTTAATTACGTTTCACTTAATTTAATTGCAATTTAAATTTTTTATTATAATATTTGAAATAAATAATGCAAGAATAAATTACATAAATTCACCAGAAATGTTTTTACTACACTTTTATTGTTAAAAAGTTTAAAATTGTAAATAGTTAAAATAAAATTATTTTTAGTTTAATATAATGATAATTATGTACTCGTGTTGTCATTAGTTTATCCACCAATTACAAATTCAGATGATGAAGATACCACTGACGCAACATGGACTCCACCTTCCTTGAATTCAGGTGAACGAGGACCTCGTAAACATATACGATGTCTTTATCCCAAAGTTCCAAAACCGTTAACTGATCAAAAGAAACGAAAAATCAGTAAACCTACAAAAGAATTAACTGCTAAGCGTTTGGTATGTTATTAGATAATAATAATAATAATGATAGAATATTAGTTGACTGATAATTGTTTAAAATAAAGTTATGAGAATTATTATACGTGTAACATTTTGTTAGAAAAAGGAGCATTTACAAAAAACCAAACCAATTTTAAATAACTTAAGTGAATCTAAACTTATTGACAAAATGGATTCTACTGTCACAGCTACCAATGAACCAAAGAAAGCTTGTGATTCACATACACCTAAAGGTAATAAATTGTAGTTTAAAAAATAAATAAATATCTTATAATCTATAGACAAAAAACAATATTGTCAAGTTTTTCCTAATAATAGTAATTATTCAAAATTGGTTATATAAACATTATAATTGTCATTACATTATTTTGATTTCAATGGACAAATAAAAAATTATGTAGGTCATTTGAATTAAAAAAGTTACTCTCTAAAACAATTTTTTTTCAAAATAATACTTTTAAATTGAACACTAAAAACTATTTTTCATAATTTAATGTAATATAGATTTTAATTAAAGCTTTTCAGCTAAAATAATTATTTTATAAAAAAAAATTATTGTTAAGTAACATTTTTATCACTGTTTTAATGACTTATATTTTAAGTTTTATTGGTTGTAGAATCTTTAAATTCTGAGGTCACTTAAAAAACAACGTTATACAATGTATACTGTATCCGTTTTTGAGTCTGTGATAGAGTTATTTTTTAAATGTAATGACTAAAAATTTAAAAAAAAAAAACAATTAAAAAGAAGCTTTTAGAGAACATAATATCTATCATAATATTATTTACAATATGTTTTTTTATATTTAACTGTTTTCTACGCCACTACAAAAAAACTAAAACAGAATGTTAATAAATGTTTACACTATGGCTAAAATCAAAAACATGTGGTGTTCTATGTAATTTTATCAATAGATGTTAATATTAATACAAGATTGCAGTATTCAAGATTATCAAAGAAATAAGAAACTCAAATTAGTATTTCATTTTTGGTGTTTAGAGGAAAAAGAGTGGCGAATGGGTAAGGTGTTAGCGTTTCTTGTGACCAGTTCTATACTTGGTCAGGCATTTATGTTTGATGGGTAGTAAACAGTATAGTGGAAGGAACCACAATCTTCCCATATAATCTCACTGATGACCTGTCCCAAAATATGTATCTAATGATAACAGTAAATCCATTATCTTTTATAATAATTTATCTTGAAATTAAAAGTTATTAAAAGAGTATTTGCTATAATTTAGTATTACAACTAATAATGATTTGTTGAACATTATTGCTCAAAATTAAAATTAGGTATTGTAATTTTTACAAAATATTTGTTGAAACCTATTTTATATGAACTATAATAATAATTAGTGCAGTAATTAGAATTTATTACTTTTTAACTAAGTTAATCTTTATAATTAATTAATTAAATGCCATTTTATTTTTATTTTTCAGTTTGCAAGCCTAGAAAAGGCATGGCCACTCCTAAACAACGTTTAGGACGTATAATAAAAATTCATAAAATGATGAAATAACTGGATAGTATAAAAAAAATTCCATTATTCCATTAAATAAGATTGAACATTTTAAGTCATAAATATGTGTCACCATGTATTAGTTAAAAAAAAAATGGGTAAAATAATATATTTATTGTGTTTATACTACTTTATGGAATTATAAAAACTGTTATGCCTATGTAGTGTCAATATAATAGTTAAAAGTTCATTTTGGAGTAATTGCTATAATAGGATATCAAATATATTATGTTTACTATAGTAATATATTACAAATTTGTGTTCAAGTCATTAATTTATTAATTTTTCGTAGTAATCCATAAATATGCAGGGTGATACTTTAAATTAAGACACTGACCTTTTCTGATAAATGTTTAAAATATAAATTATAAATTATAGGTATATGTGTTTAAATTTCCTATTAACTAAAGAACAAACTTCTTAAACTAATGACTGATTGATGATCAGCTTTCAATAATCATTTTTGGTGTTGCTGACTTAAATAAGTTTAGGCGGGAGGGAAAATGTGGTTTGAATAAAAAATGTTATCAAAAAATTACTATCACTAACTTTTTTAAACATTTATAGCACCACCTTGAGTAATGATTTAAAACCAATTATTGAAGAGTTCATAATTTTTGTAGTTTTTTCAGATATAATCTTTATAAAATATGTATTTTTTCATTTAGGTTTAAAAAGTTAATATAAGTTTAATTTTAAAATATTAAAAAATGTGATGATTTAATTAAAAGTATACTCAATGGCAAAATATATTAAATATTTCAACTGGTTTCAGAAAAACTGTATGTCTTAGGTCAGTTTGACCTGGTCACCCTGTATATGCCTTTTATAATATATTGTAAATATTATGAACATTTTATTATTTATTGTTTGAACGAAACCAAAATATAAAATATTGTAATAAAAATGATATTTTTAACTTTTTTAGTTTTATTATTTTACTCTGTATTTTTATGTCAGTCTGACACAATATTTTACATTAATTAAAATAATACTTTCCAGCAATTTAAGTATTTTATTTTATACCTTCTATTTTTGTGATGATAATATGTAAAATATAAATGCTGAGGCGAAAACAAAAAAGCATTTTTTATTACTACTTTACATTTATATTAATTTATTTTGTATTGTTAAGCTTTTTAATATAAACGAGATGCAGTAAAACTAAAAAATATAGTCAGTAACTATAATACTTGTATTTTAAATTATTATAATGACATTTTCATATGCAGTATATGAAATATAAATATTTAATCATGTTTTCAATTGTACTGTAATTTCTAGTTACATTTTTGTTGTTTTTAAAGTTAAATACAAAATATAAACAATATTGTGTTGAAACATAATGAGTATAAAACTATGGTTATGCTAATAGTTCAAATTGAATCAGTAATTTAGTTTGATAATTTTTGGACCTATCTATGTTGTCAATTTGGCTAACGTTTCTGACCCATTGCATGGTCTATCTTTAATTGATAGTTGCCATAATCTATAGTCAGTATAGTTACGGCAGTAGAACAGTGACAATTGCTCCGAGATGGACCCTACAATGGGACCAAAATATCAGCTAACTAATGACAACATGGATAGATCCTAAAATGATAAACTTAATAGTTTAATCCTTCATGCATTTTTTATTTTTAACACATTCAAATGAATCATTCATTTTATCCAAACAGTAATTATATGTACTTAATAAATAAAAAGTTAACTAATGGCTGTTTGTATCAACTATACTTAAATTTCAAGTAGAGTTTAACCTATAGTTACAGTATTGTTTAACTACCCATACATTTTAGGGGTAGTTGGTGGAAACTGTCATAAAACAAGCAATTCACTTGAAAAAATGAAAAAAAGCAATTAAAGTAAATTAAAAAAACTAATAACTTTTAAATATATTTTTTTTAACTTTTTTTTAAAAAGTAAAATAAATCGGTAACCTGTTTTAATGTCAATAAAGTAATACAATATTACGCTATTTATTAGTAGTTATTTACCTTAAGACATTGGTGGATAGGCGTATTTAAGTATAAAAAATCAATTACCCCTTGGATCCTGATATTTTTTTATACATGGTAATGAGAATTTCATGATAGTTTTTTTTTTCAATGAGACAATTTTCATTTTAAATAACAGAAAAAAAGTTTAAACCCTAAAATTATTTTTAACTTGGGAAAAAAATTATTCTATTAATTAATGTCACACTTATAAGTGAGTGTGTATAACATAATAGAGATCCAAATTTCCCATTTCTGCCAGAGACCAAACATTCTTATTTTTTTGCACCAAATTCAGTAAACAAGATTTAATAAACTATTCTATTTATAATAGTGTACTCTATATAGCTGTGAAATGGACTAAAATATGTTTTAAATAAATATAGGCCATAACATATCTTAATTTCCACACACTTAAGAAAACTTAAAATTTCAATTTGTATTCTATTGTTTTTCCGTTGAGTTGAATATTTTTCCCAGATATTTGAAATATACTGGCAATAAGTTTTTATTTATTGTAACACACATATATTATTCTACTAAGCACATGTCTGTGTGAATAAAATCGTAACTAATAGAGTTGGTAATTCTAGATATTTAGTTTGGTCATATACTTAATTAGTTTTATCTTTCAAAAATAAAACATAATCTTCTTCTTGGGTGTTATTGGCCACTAAGACCATGCCGTCATACACAACCAATTCTACCCATCAGCTGCTCTTACTTTTCAGTCTGGACCTCCATTTTACATCTCTCTTTACCACATCTTTCCATCTCAAACGAGGGCGTCCAAGAGTTCAAGAGGAAGAAGAAAGAAGAAGAAGAGAAACAATTTTACTAAAACAGGGTAACAAAGGAAATTTTATAAAAACATCAACAAATTTGAGTTTTTTTTTACTTTATTTTAAATAATTGGAACCAATTTGTAAGGCTCCAACAAAACATCATTAATAACCAATTGTTGTTTAAAACTAAAAAAATGAATATACAATCATTCTTAATAAATTTGACACTTCCTTGTTATTTAAAAATCCTCTTTACTGAATGTTAATATTTCAGACTTTAGTACTTCAGCGAAATTATCCGAATTGCACAGATTAACCTATTAACATAAAGAGAGAATTGAGAAAGAAAACCGGCTACTAAATAATAAAAACTGATAACAAGTTGCTGACATATTTTTTAATTATTTAGTCATGAATAAAATATTAGATCTTAAATCAGACACCAGACGGCAATTAGAGTCAACACATTGTGTATAGTTACCGCATTTAAACAAAAAAGCTGGCCAAAAATATTTTATGGAGTTTAAATGAATTAAAAAACGATTTTAGGTTATATTTTTTATAATTTAAATTAATTTTAGTGAAATATATTTAACATTTTTTATAACAAATTATACTTTTTAATAAATTTTAACAATATTCATTGAGTAATTTAAATACACAGTCACACACAATCAGACTAAATCAGAATGTAATTAAATTAATTAAAAACAAATAGGAATTAATCTGTGATTCCTCATTTGCATCGTCTTCTTTGCTTCTGTTAGTGGCTATACTTCGGCGCCCGCCGAATGTAAATGTGATAAGGATTTTAATGGCGTAAGTTGGCGAAGGTTTTTTTACAGATCTTATCATTAGTATCTATACTATATTTTAGAACAAAAATTATAGCTTGACAACACCCGACACATACTATAGATTTACACATACATAATATTACCATAGGCTAAAATGGGAAATACCAAACTTCAAAGTTTTAACATAGTATTTAGGGAGGTGACAAGGAAAATGCACTTAAAATGATTGTTACGTCCCCTTTATACGTGTTAAACTTTTAAAAAACTATTATTTTGGGGGTTTTAAAAAATATATTTTTTGACCAGGTGTTTTGTATAAATACTCCACTGTGCGACGTTGAGATTTGACTTTTTATAGGGATAGCTGATGTCTGATACTAGACTAAATATTTAGTTATTTAGTCAAGGCTGATACTAAATAATCTGATTATACGGAGTGCGGATTGTATTTGTATTTTGTAGTCCTGGGCCCTGGCTTTAATTGTTAATGCATACTGTGTAGACATTTTTTGTCGCGTTTGTTTGTATTAGTCTAATACGTTATAGCATTGAGTATACAATAATATATACTTAATAGTTATAGTTAATACCATTTAGACTCATCTTTGACTGTATTGTATTATCTTGTTATGATAATTTCTACATAATGACATATTGTCAATACTGATTTAATTTTAACTACACAACATTATAATATTATCTTATTAAATGTGTATTAACACATTTAGAGATATCTCTAGCGCAGCGAAATACAGGAACAATTACGTTTCCTAAAAAATCTGACCACAAAAATGTTTCGATGTGTTTTTTTTTAATAGTTATCGTATAAATGTGTATTGTGTATTATTATTATAATATAATGAAATAAATAAAGTATGTATTTCATGTAATGCAAGCCCCCTTCTCCAGCGACTGGCCATGCGGCCAATTCCTTATTGTGGCGATGACCGTCGGCCCAAGCTTGTGTATTAGACTTTAGTGTGTGTATAATGTATATGTGTGATAAAAATTGTATGATACTCTGATCCTCTTCTCTCCTCCCTCCCAGATCGTCCATTTTTTATAATAGTGTTGGTTCATGATTGTTCTTTTTAATTTTTTTTCCCATACCGATTTGCTATAGGCGTTTGACGCTGTGTTAATGTCACTGGCCGACGGCGGCGTAACATAATCAGTCTGTGCGTGCGTTTTCTATTTACTTCTAGTTGGTTTTTACAGCTAACATCATTTACTATTCGCTTCCATTAACGATTCAAACGTTAGTGTTTATTTTACATATATTATTAAACATATTTTAGCATTTTATTCTACTTATCGAGACATTCATTTATTAAATTTATATTGATTGTTATATTTAATTTAGTTGTTCCGCATTGATTGTCGTTGCGTGTGGGCACAATGACGTCGAATGCTGCCGTCAACAGTAACAATAGCAACAGCAACGGGGATCAGCAAAAAAAAGCTGTCGATCCTGCGGAACAAACGATATTAGTTATCGAGCATAAGATAAGAAATTTGGAAAAGCGAAAGGTAAAAGGTGTACGGGTCCACATGTACTTATAAACGATACATATACTTTAGGGTGAAAACAAATTATTTCTTGTCACCTTTTAGTCTTTCTTTATTTCGTAGGACTTCAAGACTTTAATCTTAACTTTTTAACTTAAATTATAGCTGGTTGTTTTAAAGATCAATAAATGAGGGTTCCAACATCAAATTTTTGCCAAGATGTTAGTATAATAGTTAAACTGTGCCACAGTTTTAGGTAAATGATTATATCTTTGCATATATTCAATCTAAATTATCATACATCATGTTTTTAACATTTTTGAACAAGGTTTTCTTAGATTAAGAAATGCATAAATCATGTCCCGGGTTTACATTCAGCAATTGCCACTGCTCCTCATGCTGCTATATTTATTCCCCTACTGCTGATTCTCTTTGACTTACAAAAAAATCGCTGATGAAAGGAAAGACTGGCGACAGAAGGTCAGTGCGAGTGATATTTTTATATACTTGCAAGTTCACTGCCATGGAAATGGGCTAAATGTAAACCCGGCAATAATATGGACATTCAGTTCATGAAATGAATATAGTTTTGTACACTTGGGTTTTCACAAAATAAAATAAAAATAATGTACTAATAAGTTGTATGAAACATATTTAGTTGTTTACAATTTGTATTTAACCCATAAGCGCCTAGCGTTGCCATATGGCAACATCCAATTTTTTCTAATTTTTAAGTACACAATTTTTTTTTTTTTTTTTAATTCCATCAATTATTAAAAAAAAAACTCCGGCGTTAATGGGTTAAATCAAATTTAATATTATTATCATCATTATTCCTACTATAACAAGTTTTTGCATTTTGTTATGTTTTTATTATAAACAGAAGCATAATATATTATGCTTGCATGAAACTTGCTCATCAGTGGCATAATGAGATTCAATTTTTTAGGGGCGTAATTCTATATCAACCTACCTATCAAATTACCTGCAAAGAGTTATAACTAATTAGCAATATAAGTTTTATTTCATTCTTTTAGCCTCCTCTCCCTAGACTATTTCCCATTTTTTATTTTATAAACTTCAAAAAAAACATTTTATTAGTGTAGCACTAATTGGCATAGTGTTTGTGTCACAATTTTATAAATTACGATTCAACAAATGGATTTTAAGATATATCTATATTATATCAATAAAATGTTATTTGTTTAATAAAAACTCATCAAGATAATGAGATAAAAAAATTAACTACACCAAGTCTTCTAAACATCTCTACATGTAAAAAAAGCATGTGTTTAGGTAGACCTAAATTTCATAAAAGGTGTTATGAAAACAAGGTGTTATTTACAGTTGTGTAAATATGAGGGTAGGGTTAGGGGACTTAATCCCTAAAATATATTCTATGACTTCATGCTTATGGTACAATTTAAATGAAATTGTTTTTGTGTTACATTCTTCCAATGTTTCTAACATTTTATAATTTGCTTTTAATTTTTGTAGATTAAATTAGAAGGATATCTTCAACAACAACGAGAAGGAATACAACTTAGTGATGATCAATTAGTAGCTGCATCAAAGTTTAATGAAGTTCTTAGTACATTAGAATTTGCAAGAAATTTAAAAAAACAACTGAATTCTATTTATACGTCATCTAAACAAAAGAAAATTAATGTAGTGGAAGAGAAGTCAGAACAAAGACCAATTAAATTTGACAATATTATAAAAGAAGTTTTGATTTTCCAGGTAATCATTTAGTTTTGATATGATAAATTTGCTAACAATAGAATATAGTTATGTTAGTTATGCTATATAGATTAGAATTCTAAATTATTCCAATTATAGATAACAATTTTTTTTTTTAATAATAAAATTATTGTTTTGAATACATTTTATAAACATAAGTTTATATACGTTTTGCAGCAATAGTAAACTTTTAATCCTAATTTAAAAAATAATGATGAATTTCTGTTGGACAAGAAAGGGTTCAATAAAAAGATATTTAGGTTTTTTAAATAACAGTAAAAAAATATTTATAAATTAATAACAGTGAGAACTTGGTCTATTTAATGTTTTTAATTTTTTTTTTTTTAGAACATTTTACAGAATATCAAAGACGAAAAAGTAAAAAATGACTTATTGTTAGGTGAAAATGGAGCAGTTCAACTCTCTGAAACAGACCTTTTAAAACTTGTTCTTTTTGCTAAATTGACATCCCCGAAACGTCAAGTAGAAGAAGGTCGGCCACTTTTTGAGGTAAGCTACAATTTATTTATTCTAAAATAGTATTTTAAGAAGTTCATTAAATTTATTTTTTCCTATTATAAAGTATAGGAATCAGGAGTTTTATTAATGAATTACATTTTCTTTTTAATACAGAATTTCTATTTTTAGCTGTATAAATATATTAGTTTCTAAGTGTTATTAAAAGGTACTTAAAATAATTTTAACTTTTGCCGTGTTTCAATTAAAAGTCACAGAATAAAGTTTTGTTTTATTAAAAAAAAAATTGTTCATTGGAAACTGAACTTTTCTTTTTAATGTAACATTACCCAAGAAAAAATATTTTCAGCAATTATGGACCGACAATCAAGGACTAATAATATTTTTTTATTAAAAAAATTATATAATTTCTGATATCTGTATAAAAATTATTTCTGAATATCCATGCTGAAAAATGTAACAATACTTATTTTTTTCTTACTGATTTATTTACATCTGTTAATGTGTTTAAAAGTTTAAAAATTTCAAAAATAAAAATTACAAAATGTGGCTAAATTTACGTCTATTGTATCAGATTGGATCAAACATTGTTAAATTGTTATTCCTTTTTTTTCTGAGCTTTGGCAACTGTGGCCATCTAAATTAAAATTAAGAAGAGATGCTGGGAAAAAATATTAATTAATGTTGCACTCTTCGGCAATGACATAATTGCCTTATCTGGAACCTAATTGTGGAATATTATTGACACAAAACTTGGCCTTTGTTCCCAAGATGTGATGTTCTCGGTACAATGATGAGAGGTGGTAGTATGTTAATAGCAAACAAATACAAAAACCTGTCATTGTATTAGTTAATAAAAAAAATTCTGTCAAGCTATCCTTTTTGAAAATTATTTGTAAGTCTTATTCGTTGACTATTTGTTCCGTTTATATTCCACCAAATTCTGATATTGATGTTTATAACTTGCATATTAATTCTGTTACTAGTGTGTGATAACATACATTAAACATTTTTTATATTAGCTGATTATTCAGGTATTATGGTATTAAATGGAGATCAGTTAATAATAATGTGTTACGCCTCTCTTGTCTAATTTGAATTTGCACGAGTTTAATGTTTTAATTAACATAGCGTATATTAATTTAATGAAGTATAATTTTATACACAATCGCTTGGATTCATTGTTAGATATTGTGCTTTCCTTTTTTTTTATGTATCCGTGTCCTCAGCAGTTTATTCACTTGGTACCTTTAGATATTAAATATCATCTAGCTTTGCTAATAAAAGGGGGTGCTATAAAACATTAGAAAATAATTTTGCGGAACATAATAATACGGAAAAAAAATTGAATTATACAGACTGTACAAATACGGAAAACAAAATCGCTCAGACCGTAATTGTACGGACAGTCAAATTCTGGTATCTGAAATCTAAGAAGTGTAATATCACGTAAAGTAAATATGTGGAACGTAAAGTCACAGACTGTAAAACACCGGACCGTGAGAATCCAGAAAATATAATGTGATAACAGCGCTTTTAGTAATACAAATATAAGACTAAGTACAGAATAAATAATATTAAATAATTTTAGACATTTATTTGTTTAATTAATTTTAACGCACAATTATTATATATTTGTATTAGAATTCTAATTACACACCTATATAAATATGAATACTTAAAAATTATATTATTATTTTAAATTAAATAACTTAAGAAATGGATTTGCATGAAAAATATAGTAATTATTGCAATATGCTGGCAGCCATATACGTTAAAATAATTTATACAATTATTATTACGGACCAAAACATGTTATGTATATTTTAAATTTATCTAGACTTTAGTTTATTTTTATTTTAGTCTTGAATTAAATATTCATAATACCAAATATTATACTTTCTGAAGACACTATTTATAGCATTATATACTAGGTTGTAAAGGAACGAAGACCATATTTTTTGTTAGGTTTTTGAGGTTGGTTATTGTACATTTATTTTTTATGAACAGTATTAAAAATGTGACTAATATTGATTAAATAATTATTTTAATAATGCCGATTCACATCATAATGTCGGGAAATAGAAGTACAATATTATCTAAAAATCGTTTAAAAATGCACAAATAATAATAGCAAATTTGAATTCTTGAAAATAGTAGTATCCATCTATTCTTAAACTATTAGTATTTTGGAAATCCTACAACTAATAGTTATAAATCTAATATAATATTATATCTATATTATATACATACATATTATGATGTGCATAATGCTATAACCCTGTTATTTAGAAACATTTTTATTATAGAACGACTTGGCTCTATCTAAGATAGGTCGTCCACTACTTATATTTTTAGTTATGTTACGTATTACAACTTTGTATTTAAAGGATACACTAAATATTAAAAGTAGTAAATTTAGTATGAATAAAATTTGTTAGTTTAATATTTTTATAACATGATTTTCTCAGTTATTCTTCTTTATTTTAGGATCAGCTTAAGACTGTAACCAAGCATTATGTTAAACTAATAGAAAGCAAACCAAATCGTATAGCAGGTACAAGCTATGCAAATATAAGAGAATCTTTATTGAAGATAGAAAATAGTGGATATCTTGATCAAGTAGTAAAAAAATTAGACAATGAAGTGAGTAGTAATACAAATTTTGTGAATCGTTTGTTGTATGTAAAAAATAAGCAAAGTTAAAAACATGCATGTTAAAATATGTTATAGATAGCTTCAAATAATGATATTAATAATACTGAAACAAATGTGCCTCAGGATTTAAGTCAACCAACAAACTCTATTGATAATGTTCCTTCAAATAGCTCAACAGGTAATTTTATGAATTAATTATGATAAGTAACAACAAAAAATAACATACGTTTGATAATATATTATTTCTAATTTTAAATATTTCTAATATAGAGTTCATTGCTGATAAAATCGAAACAATATACTTTACTAATAATAACCTATGTGGGAATAATGTTGAACAACAACCTATTCAATCCAATAATGTTGTTGATCCTGTATTCAACACTTCTTTTGATTTTTTACAAGTATGACATGTGAATTAATTTAAAGAACATATGTATTGACAGTAAATTAATTTTATTTTTGTATGTAGGATTCTCAACTAGAAGAAGAACACTCCAGTGAGAATTTGCATTCCATCCCCACTCAGACTTTTTCATCTTCTGCTTACAACAGTAATAGACCAGCAGATGAAGCGATATTAAAAATTCTTGCAACTCCACCTCAGACAAGAGTACCGCCTGCTGCTGGTTCTTACAATGTTAGTATGTTTTATTATTGTATGCGAACATAGTTGCTGAAAAACAAATGTTTAGCATTTCTACTTAAGTGTAACATTATTGTGTAGGACACGAAACTAAATCCTGCTGAAAATGTAGTGAATGCTCCAAGTTCTTGGGTAGAGCAACCAGAAACAAATTGGCAAAATAGAGCATCAGTAGTCACTGGTGATACTAATAGTTTACCTAGGGAAAATTGGCCCATGGCGCAAATGATTGCTAACAATAGGAGTAATAATGACTGGGCCATTAAAAATAATTGGGTGCAGATGGCTGAAGCTGATAATTTAGAACAACAACAGAAGCAGCAGCAACAGATAGAGCAAGTACCTAAACCAACTCCACCGTCACAACAAAATACCTCTTCTAACTTCGGTGTAGTTACTAATGGTAAGAAATAATATAAAATATATATTAATAAACGTATTAATATTTATTTATATTAATAAACGTATTAATATAAAATTATTAATCTATAATAATTAAATTTTTGTATGTGTCTTGTTTAAACATATTAACGTTTCAGGATACCAAGAGAATCTCAATGAAATATTACAAAAAACTGTGGTATTTAGCAAGCAAGAGCAACAACAATATCCTGTTACTACATCATCTAATAATTCCTCATTCTATCAAAATAATTATAGTCAACAACCACAGGAGCAAACTATTGGTCAGTACAATAATTCTAATAATTATGAAAGAAGCAGCCATCCTAATGATTTCAACAAAAGACCAGCTCCATTAAGATCTAGAACACAGTATTCAGGAGGAGAAGGTATACAAATTAATTAATAATCAATTTTCCCTTATAATATGGTTAATATATTCTGTAATTAATAATGCACAATTATAGGTGGTGGATCAGCTCGTGGTTACCAACAAGGCAATACTTATGTTTATAATAATCGTTCATTCAAAAATAGTAATTATTCCAATAATGATTACTCTCGTACTTCAAGACAAACATAAGGAATCAATTTTTCCTATTCATCATTACATCTAATTAAGAAAATAGAAAAGTGGCTTAATTATTTCATTGTTTTTATTTTTCAATTTTAAGTTTTACATTGTTCTTTAAAGTATCATTTATTTTTATAATCATGTAAACCGTTGCATTTCATTAGTCATAATTAATTTCTCAAAAGTTACTTTAAAATTCATTGCACCTAAAAATTCATTACATTTGATATCTAAAAAAAATTAAGTTTACTTAAAAGTTTTAAAACTGTAATTTTAACAAGATTCAAATTACAGTTAAGTATATTGTATGGTAAACCAACAATATTTCCTTAATATTTTTTTTTTCTTAATATTTAATTCAATTGCTGGGATGTGGTGATTCTATTAGCATACTATGTCTAGGTGGTGGTAAAAAATGTATGTTTCTTCTTTATATTCAAAAATATGTTCTTTTTTATGATAAATTTGTTTTGTTTTCTTATTACAATTTTTATAAATGTATCAGCATTCACACATTTTACCGTCCGCAAATTAATGAAAATCATTGATTATATATGAAAGAAATATGTGTAATCAAAATAGATATTTCAGTTACTCTATAATACCATTTACTGAACACTTTATACTGAATTACTTATATAAATATTATGTGTTGTATGTTTAAACATTCATTGTTTACAGTTGTCTTTAATGATTCATAAAAGATTTATCGTATATATATATATATATATATATATATATACGATATATATATATATATATAGATTAATCTGTATACATTATAGTATATATAAATTTTAGTTAATATTTGTACATTTTATTACAAGTATAAAATATAAGTAACGTGTTTTGCAATAATAGTTCTTCCTTTTTTTTATAATAATAATAAATTAGTTGTTAGTCAAAAATCTTAACAAAATATCTATAACATTATATTTAATGTTTCAAATAGCCAATTAAATTCTTGTAATAGTAGTACATTGAGTTAGTAATGTCCATACATTTGTAGCATTATGACAAGTTGATATTTGTTATTTCTTCAATTTGAGTAACTGGTAATACTCGATGATTATTTTGATTTTTTAAACATGATTACATTTTAGGAGATGAATAGTTTTTGGATTGGATGCTATAATTGTTCTATATTTTTTATAAAGATTTTTTAAAAAAATGTATTTAAATCTGAAAAAAACACCTTCACATTTCAAAAATTTTTTATGAATATTGTGTCGTTTACTCCATTGAACACACATTTAGATAATATATAAATACATAATAATTAATATATAAAATCCAGGCCTTTATTTTAACAAATTTATTATAGTTTGTGGTTTCAATCAGAGATTAATTACTTATATTGTGGTTCGGAGGTAAAAATAGTAATCGTCAACCCTATACCCAAATTTATTTTGCTTTATTAAGTATAAAAAAAAAAAATATAGTTAGAAACCAGAAAGTGCTTAAAAAATGTATTTACATTTATTTAATTGTTACAGATTAAATTCTGATTCTTAATTAAAGTTTTTTTTATGGAAGCTTTAAAATATATATAGCTTAACTACAATTTTGAGTTTAAATAAATTATGTTAAAAGTTTCGTAATTCGTTTATTTATAAAGCTAACAACATCTGGTTAAATAATATAATAAATTGCTAATATATAATTTTTTGAATAGTGATAATGTAGTAAAATAATAACATCTCGCACAATGAAAATTTGTACAAAAAAAAAAAATTATATTTTGTAATGAGTTTAACACTTGGTAAATATCTTGGAAGATTTTTTAAAATTATACTTTAAAGTTAATAGTTCACCTAATTGTAAATTGCTTGTTAAAAATATAACCGCTTATGTGTTTAAACATTATAAGATATGTATGGTTGTATAAGATATGTTGTTTGAAAGATAAACATGATTTTCGTTGGTAAAACTTACAAGGTTTAGCTAGGTAATTAAACAATTAGAAAAAGTAGACTCGTGCCCTTTCTGCAGTTATTGATTTAAATACACTATATAGGTGAAACTGGAAACCCATTTAAATACTATGTTAAGGTCTTGTTAGAAATCTAACTTAATTTAATTAAATAAAAGCCAACTTTTATTATGAAAACAAAAAAATTCCATTATAAACATTATTTAAAATATTACCTAAATAAAATTAACATACAATTTTTTTTGATAATTATTTTAAAAATATTAACGTATCTATTATTTTAAAATTATATTGAACGCGTCCTGTGGGGGTCATATGTTGTTATTGTAATTTGTTTATTTCAATTACATACATAGTTATGGTAAAATACTAAAATGTAATAACAAATATTCCACCATATTTACATTATAAATCGCAATTTGTGTATGAGGAAAAACTTTAAAAGCACTGTTTTTATTATTATTGGGAAGTGTGGTTAAACTGTTGAGAAATTGGTGTCATGCGTTGATTTAAACATCAGTTTTGAAAAAATTTAAAATAAAAGTAAACATTTTGTTTTATTTTATCCATGTATTATTTTAACTATTTATAAGTGCGTGAAATGGTTTTTTATATAATACTAACTTTGATAGCCATTTCACTAAACCCCGGGATAATGTTTTTGCATTCATGTAAACATCTTAAATAGTCAAAGGTAGGGGGGATTAAATCCTTAAATACACCTCTGGACGCTAGTCGCTAGACTAGCTACATAACCGCAATTGTTGTTTTGTTAAAACTAGCTATATATAATAGCATATTTTAATCATTTACCATTAATGCGTATTAAAAGTGGTTACATAATATTCTCTCTGTCGCTGTCTCTGTTTCCATTTTATTGTTTTTTATGTAAACAAAATGTCTGCATTTTGTTGCTGTTTCTATTTTGACGCCAAATTAAAAAAATCAGTTTGTTGCTGTTTTCTTTATTTTTTGTTTTGTCGGCTTGGTGTAAACCCGGCATTAGGGTTTTGTTAGAGATAATATCATTCCTTTTGCTGGCTATAGTTTGATTCACGCGGACGCCTCGAAGATTTTGCTCCAATACAATTTTACTTAGAAAAACGACACTTGCGATTTTTTTTTAACTTAGAACAAACAAACGAATTCTCCGACGAAGAATAACACGGTTATAAGGTACATGGACGAAATTAAATAATGCTATTACTACGATTATTGAAAATATTCTGTGTTTGATGACCGATAAATAAAATAGAATAGAATACAATTACGAAAACATTATGTTTGATAAGTATTTTCTGTAAAATTACAAACAATTGCTTATTGCCATAATGTAATTTGTAACACTGTTTAAAAAAGAACTTTTGTTTCGGCGGTACGGTGCGGGAATCTGTGATTGATTAATAAAAACCCGTGATAATCTAATCAAGCACAATTTATGCGCGTCACTTCATGCATTTAAAACTACCTACACTCCCTAAAGTGACATTAATTTTGAAAAAAATTGCAACTTTCAGATTTTCCCCTTTAGTTACACTATAAGACCTGCCGTTGTGCCAAATTTCACGTTTCTACCTACATGGGAAGTGTTTTATATTTTTAATGATGATGAGTGAGTCAGTAACAAAAATGAAAACTTTGAATTTCTCCCTTTTTGAAAAGGCTTACCATTAAGAGCTCATTTTTACAGTGTGCTAAGGTACTCGAGCTTAATCTTTGTTTCAAATTTCAAAAGCTCATCTTAAGAGGAAACAGAGATATGTGGGTTAGATGCTGGAACTTGCCCTGGCGCACTGCCGTGCGTTCAGATAATCTATACATATTACATAGCAATTACAATATTATTTATATAATTTTATTTTTAGATATAATCATATTTTGCTCAAAATACAAACACTCTTATTATGCTGGAACAGTTAGTGTATACTAAGTATGTAGTATATTATTGTACAATATAATAGTCAAACTATACTCTCATATTTTAGGACTTTTTTCCACAAAGTTTTTTAATGGTTTTCATACCACGAAAATGTACAAAAAATCGACACTAATTATAAAACAATGATTTATGACGTTTTAATAACAATATTATACTGTTTTAAAAACTACTGACTGAACGGTAGTGCTAATACGGAATGTCATTGATACTCAATATTTCATTACTCAGCAGGAAAATTTAATGAGAAATACGTGAACGGGCAAAGGAAAAATAAATTAAATTTAAAAACTGGAGAGTAGTCAACGCCCTTTGTATTATGACTTATATCGATCTGTATTTTAAATATATATATACTCAGCTTTTTCAAACCGACCCTTTGTAGCGTTGCCATTAAAATATTTTTATATGAGATAAATCCTTCTCTCTCCCTCCCTCCCCTTTTAAGACCTGCATTTCATTTCCCCCTTATCGTGAATGTATAATATATATATATATATATATATATTTATTATCTTGGCAACATTTCAACATCCAGAGCATTCCCTGCTTTGTGTGAAGGCAGTACGATTCCATCCGCCGTTCATAAGTTTTGTGCGTTGTAATTGTTTGCGTGTTGTATGGAATTATTATTATCAAATTCCATTAAATACTACCTATCTAATTAACGTCACTAGCATGTAAACTGTTCTATTATTATTCCTGTTCAAACAGAGGCAGTATTTAAAGGTAATTAAATTCCAATTATGTTTATTGTGTTTAAGAAACTTATAAACAAAAGCCTAATAAACTTCTAAAAAAAAAACGCAGCTCGCTGACAAATTTGACGCGCTCGTATGAACGTTTAAAAATGATACTAATAATAGCAATAATTTATTACCCTATAGATCAATCCAAATTCGCCATCTACTTTACTTAAATGTGTAATCATATAATATTGGACATTGATAGATACTTCTAATAAATTAAGTTCAATGTATGTATGATAATTATTTATTAAGTAGATACTTTATGTGCAGTCGATATGTACTGTAAGATAATGCGTTAAGTTTATTTTGGAACAACAACAATACTTTTGACATTTCACACATCTACAGTCTGTAATTAAGTTGTAAACGTGTCTATTGGTCTATTTGTTTCTTTACTATCGTTCTCATCAGTTGAATAGTGAATATTTACACACCATGTGAAGCTGTACGCCAAATAGTTTTTATATACACAACTAGCTGAATGACACGGCATCGCTCGTGTGAAAAATAGTTACACGAATTTTAAATAATGATTAAAAAAATTATTACTAACTATAAATTATAATTAATGTTTTTAAAATACATGTTTTTACTTATATGTATAAATTCGCCAACCTAAGTTTTTATTTGTTAATTATTAAAGTACCTATAGAATTACTATTATTATTGTAGGCTAGCTATTACTTTTGCCCTCGCCTTGTTAAAAATGGAGAAAGATAAGACGCTTGACATTCGGGGTGTTATTTGCAACATCTCTTTAAAAAAAACATAAAAATATTCAAATTTCTCGCTAAAAAACTGGAACATAAAACACGTCTGTTTTTTTATATCCAAGAAAGCATAAGGATAACACTTATATGCCTTAATTTTGTTTTACAGAGGTTTCATACTCTAGTTAATGTTAACATACAACAATAGTAAATACATTCCAAAACGTCAAAATATTATAATTTTAGGTCACCATAAAAATGAAATTTATCACAAGTTATTAAACATTCCAGTAAATTGAGTATTTCCTCGAAAAAGTTGTTTAGAGGATTTACGAAAAGGTTAATGTATTTTTTCGGGACGTACTCGGGATATGCCCAATCTAACATACCTATGGAACGGACTGTGATTAGGGAGGTGTTGGGGACAGAGATTTCCACGGCTAATATTGACTTCATTATCTTTTGCACTTTCTGGGAAATCTTGCACTACAGTCGTAATTCCTATATACGATAACAAAAATAGATATGGCAATATATATTGGTATATATGGGTCAAAACCAACGAACGTTTAACTCGTTAAATTTTTTAGAAAACGCACTGCATGTCTGTTAAAATGAAAAGAATGTTCTCAAATTTTTTTGGTTTTTTTTTTCCATCTTTTTGGGTATGGTCGTAAAAAGTTTTTATATTTTTTTTCTTGACAATTCATTTTTATAAATTTTTTTTATAGATTCTTCGGCCATAAGAAAAAATGATTAAAATCAGATTATGATGTAAAATAATCTCAGCTTTCTGAAAAAAATATTGTTTTATTCTTTCAAGTAACAGAAAGTCATAAAAACTGAGTTTTTAATCTAAAAAGTTAATTTTGTTGTATTGTTTTTAAAATTTGGAAATTGTTTTAATGTTTTTTTAAAATACTATAACAAAATTATAAAAAAAGTGTCAAGAAAAAAACTAAAAATACATTTTACGACCATGGCCAAAATAGATGAAAAATTCGAAAACATTTTTTTTATTGTAACAGAGTAGTGTGATTTTTAAAAAAATCCGGGAGGTCGCTCCAAACGTTCGGTCGTACTCGCCGTTTTGACCGATAATATGTCAACCTATACATTATATACCTAGTACATATAGACTATTGTAACTAGACTATAGTTATTATTTATAATAACAATATTAAATTCCCATCAAATTGCTTTGGTAAAGATGATTTTTACTCTAAAAGTTTAATTTGAAATCATATGTTGCAGTTCATCTATCGCGACATTTGTATAATTTTTAAGCAGATGGAAATATACAGATAAAGCATACCTTGCATTTTTTTTATCTTTGTTACCATGAGAACATTAGTGTAGGAACTCAAAAAACATGTCTTGAATATTTTTAGTCCAATAGTTATATTTTACATACATTTTTATATTATATTTTATGTCGTAATTTTAAACAATTTTACTGAACAAACTTCTGTTGTTGTTTAGCCTATGTATTAACTATATTTGTATAGGTAAAAAATAAGTTTAATCCAAAAATGAAAATATTATTGAATTTCATTACTAATGTTTATGCGTTTCGATTATGTCTATGGACAGTGGAGTTTAGGCTTAAGTCAAAAACACGTTATTCAAATTTGTTATTTAGTTGACAATTTCGTATCTTCATTATGAATTCCGAGGGTAGATCCAGCTGTTCTAGGTACACAGGGGTCCCACAAATATAAGACAAATGAAATAACATTTGTTCTAGTAAATTTTTTAAAAATTATTTTATACTCATTTGCGCTATAAGCACCACGTTTTTTATTGCACTATTATCTATTTAATTTTTAATTTTAATTATTTATAAATTATAATATATATATATATATATATATATAATATAATATAAATATAGTTATAAATAATTATATTTTAATCAAGTTCTACATTTCACTAAGAATCATTTGCTGGCAAATTGACTAATCGACAACTAGTTGTAAATAATTACTTTTAAAGTTATGTAAGTTTAAAGTGTAGGATAGAAGGTGGAGTGTGGTAAATAGTTATTTTTTATCTGCATGCATTACTCTACTGCTCTCCACCTCCCATCCTACACTTTAAACTTACACAACTTTAAAAGTAATTTTCCAAAACTAGTTGTCGACCAGTCAAAATTTCCAGCAAATTATTCTTTTAGTTATCTCGAATTTTTTTAAATAATTAAATAAAGTAAAATAGTTACGTGCAATAAAAAACGTGATACTTTGCAAATAAGTAAAAAATAATTTAATAAAAGAAATCTTAAAAATATTTACTAGAACAAAAGTTATTTAATTTGTCTTATCTTTGTGGGACACCTTATATATTTGCTCTTCCAAACTATGGTTTATCATTAGTGAAAAATAACGTTAAAAGCTAATGAACTATACTAGTTCATTAGTACAGACACAAAAGAAAACGTATCAAATATGTTCTAAATTGTGGTCATGCCAATTATGGATAGTGACGGAGTGAACTAAATAAAAATAAATTGGGCACTTATAAGTTGTTGGCTAGACTGTAGTGAGAATAGGCAATTTTTGAAATTGTTTTCATAATACTTAAAAAAATAGCATCTTGATATATACAAAGTACAAACCTATAAGAAAAACATTTGTTTTTCAAATATAACCTACTATCAAGTATGTTCCAAGTAAAAGAAAACAATACTCTGTGAAATTATTTCGATTTTCTATTATAACTCAAGAAGTTTCAGAAATCAGAGTTCTATAGAAATTAAAGAATTTTTTTTGTAATTGTCAAAAATACAAATTAAAAACGCGTAATAACAAGTTATTGACATTTTATGTCTTTACTTTGGCACACAACCGGAAAAAAACAACATTTTTTAGCGTTACCAAAAACCTAACAAAAATTCGCGTGATCTAGCGGTTTTGAATGAAAGAATTGATAAGGATATGAGATCTGATAAGATATGTGAGATAAGGGATAAGAGATTAGAGATATGTTTTTACTTTGGCACACAAGCGGAAAAATCGACAGTTACCAAAAAACCTAACGGTCCTTATATATATATATCCTAATATCCTCATATATCCTTATATATCGTTATATCCTTATACATCCTTATATCCTTACATATCTTTATAGCCTTATATCCTCCCGTGGTTGCGGACTCGTACGCAAGCTGTTGTAAAGGGATGGTTTTTTTTAACTTCTTTCATGCTCCTGTTTTTGTTTTTATTCATTGTTGTTTTATAATCAGTATATTTTGTTTCAAATTTGATGTAAAATAAACTAGTCTACAATACATAGTGACTTATTTTTCTAAAAAACCTTGTTATATACTTAAAAAGCGAAGTCAAAGTTAAAAGTCAAAATTTTGGCGATTATAATATTAAAGTAATACGTGTGTATTACGCAGAATGTAAATTGTAATTTACTACTAAACTATAATTTCTTAATTTCTGTAGTATTGGTACTCTTTGAGTTATGGTGGATAATCTAAATCATTTACTGAATTTTGTTTTTTTGACTGGGTGGAGGAAATATATTTTTAAGGGGTTACTTTTGTAAAGTACCTATCGTGAAAACGATTTAAAGAAATTGCTTTTTTTTACTACACCTTGGACTGGGCATTATTTAAACTTTCACAAAATATATGCAGATGAACTAAAATATAATTGCATAATACAAATATGTTAAATTTTTGTTATAGATACATTATGTTGGGTAAACTAACCATCATCCTCATGTTTGTCGTCCAGCTAAATTTGCCACTGTCGGCGATGAAGGCTTGCGATTTAAGGCCAAACGGTATAACAACACCGAAAAGCAGAAGTTCGCATCCTTTTAGAATCGTTTTCAAAGGGAACACTGAGACTTATTGGCCTGGAACAACTTATACAAGTAAAATAAAAAGATTACCAAATTCTGATAAAATACATTATTAGTTTAATATTTTTGTGTATACCTATGTCCAAAACGTGGTAGACTTTTGTATTTATACGTAGGAAGAAATTATAATTTTTTTTTAGTTTTGGCTAACCTATTGAAAAGTATATCGGATGACTACAAATTCTTGGAGTAGTTGGAGGAGACAGAACACATGGAAATAATAATAATTAGACAAAATCTCCTTGTTACTTTATGGGTGGTACTAAGAATAGATTTTAAAAGATTTTTTTTTAAAGCAATAATGATAACAAAAAAAAAAAAATTGTTTCTTGATATTGCCTAATAATTATTATTCGTCGAGAATGGAAAAGACTATAACTACCAAGGAAGCAAAAGCTAGGCAATGTTTGAAAAAAAAAATCTAAGAGACATAATACTAAATTTGATTACAAATGAGTAATGACTTTAGTAGAAGTCACTTTCTGGCGTAACTATTGAAATTAATTATTTAATCTTAGATGCGATTGCTAGAAGCTATTGAGTTTATAATGATTTTTTGTGTGTCTGTAGACACGATAACTTTTTTTCCTGTGGACCGAATTTCTCGTGTAGCACCTGTGATAGATCCAGAATTGTGTGCAGATGGTACTTTGGTGGGTCAAAAGTAGAAAAAGTCAACTCTTCACCACTGAAACCGGGTAAAACCCAAAACAAATTAAATAGGTTTTTCAACCATCAACTTTTATTTGCTAATCTTTGCGAAAAACAGTCGGATATAGTCGAATTTGTAAAGAACGTTGATTAGCCATGCTTCTATCCACGCATGCCCTCAAACACAAATTTTAACAATCCCCAGCATTTGGGAAGAATTATGGTTAGTTGAAAAAAAAACAAAAAATATCAGTAGAGCCTGGCTGGATATGAACCAGGCATATTTTAAATACTTTAATTGTTGGTCGAGTACTCTGACCATTAAGCTACATTCATACTTGTATTTATCATAGTTTATTATCAACTATATTTTTCCAAAATATGTAATACTCAAAGCTTAGAACTTAACGTCCGTATTATATCTTTAAGAATTCAACGTGTTCCTCAATAAAGACGTTCGGGTGATGTATGTATAGCATATTTTATTAATATAAAAGCATATAGGGTGGCATGGTGGTCACCTCAGTTACCATTCGGCACCTGAGGTTAAGCTGTGTCCGTTGCTCTTAAACCACCCGGGACTTTTAGTAGCGGCCCATGCCTTGAACCTATCTCATACGTATTTCACACCTACCAACCAAACCAAACCTCCAAAACTAAGCAATAAATAAATTTAATAGGTATATAAGTAGCCAACCTAAAATAAAAATCATATAAATGCTAACTCTTGTTCTAACTTCTTATTGAAAATCAGATTATGGTTGACTGTTGCGGGGTATTTTGTCTTTAGGATGGGGGCGAACTCCTCCCAAATATATGTGCATACTTTTTAATTTTAATAAAATATAAAACTACTTATATCAAGCTTATTTCGTCAAAAACCAACAAAATGTATGGTTGTTATAATACTTATAATGCACAATTGTTTAATAGTTATATTACAAAGTGTCAAAACTACGCAAACGATGACACCAAGTTTTAGTGGTTTTTCTTTGATGGTGGAAGCCGAGGATCACCGAAACTACGATGAGGAGAATGAATTTTTCGCAGGTACTTTTCAACTTACTGGTGATGTGAGAACGAAAATTAGTGAAGTTTGCCCGAACACCATCACTCACACGTCGATGATACCAAAATCGGAAATACAAGTGTTTTGGGTAGCTCCACCGTCTGGTAGTGGCTGTATATTATTTAGGTAAGTCAGCTTTCAATAAATGTTATTCAGTTATTAAGTTTGTCTATTTTTCACCATTTCGCTTTGTTTACGTCACGGTTATTATAGATACATGCTTTATTTTGTCTAGTTGTTCTACCTAGCTTACACTTTTCAATAAATCATTCTCGTTCCATCTTTATTCTTTATGTAAATCTAATAAATTAATTGTTTTATTGTAAAAAAAAAGTTTTAAATTATAATGGTTATCAATTCTTGTTAGTAAAAGTTGAAATATACATTTAATTATTACATCATGATTAATATTACATTGTACCTATTGAGAAAATAGTTCTACATGTTCACGGCTGTATATTTCCTAAAACCTATAAATTACTAATTATTTAGAGTTTAGACGTCCTGTCGCAAATCACCTACATTAGTCACAGTTTTTGGGTTTTCTAGTTTTGTGCGATAATCGCCTTGAATAAAATTATTCATTCTACTGTAAGAAACTTTAGTGTGATTGACATTTATAAAAAAATATGTGATGGTGTTGACAATTTCCAGGGCCACCATTGTGGAATACCGTGACGTTTGGTACATGGACGACGAGCAGCTGAGTAAAAGGATATGTGAAGAAAGCAATGAAAGCAACGACGATAATTCCAACGTAGTATATGAATGTTGTGCATGCGACGAAGCAAAGTTCGAGGTATGATTCGAAGATGATAGGTTAGAATTCAATTGTTTAATAAGTAAGTTGACTGTCGTTTTTTATTTTTTAGCTTACTTTTGAAGGGCTGTGGTCAAGACACACTCACCCAAAAGATTATCCGGATGATAATTGGCAAACCAAATTCAGCGACGTCATAGGTGCTTCGCATACAATTGATTACAGGTGTGCTAGCCTGCGGTTACAATATATTATACACCAATGTCCAATATATAATAAATAATAGTATATACCTAAAATTCGTGTGTTCCTATCGAAAGTATAACAAAACCTTTATTGTTATCAGGTTTTGGGAACAAGGACACGTTGCTTCAGAAGGGATGAACAGCATAGCTCAGTATAGTGCTACGTCTACGTTGGAATCCGAACTGAAATCTAAAGTAATAAAATGTCAATTAATAATAATAGTATAGTTTGTAAACCGTATTATTTATCGTTGTTTCAGAGCGATAAGATCCGGACTATAATCAAAGCACGAGGTATAAGTTATCCTAATGTAACTGGAAGGACTTTTGCTGTGTTTCGAGTGGACCAAGAACATCATCTGGTATCCGTCGTATCATTTATGTGTGCGTACAGGTCTTAATAATTAAACACATCGGGTTTCAAATATTTATATCATTTTAAAATATTAGATCCGTCGCCGGATTGGTTTGTCGGGGTTTCGGGCCTGGAACTATGCTTGCCCAATTGCAATTGGATCACTAACAAAACGGTCAACTTGTACCCATGGGATGCAGGCATCGATAGCGGAGTGACGTACAATGTATGTTAAGACTCATAATATTTTATTAAACTTCAGAATTAGTCTATAGAATACATTATTTATATTTTTAAAGTGTACAATTAATACAAAGTTAAATATTAATGAAATATTTGTACATTTTATGGTAAATAACAAGGAAGTTGCATTATTTTTTGTGTAAAACTAAAGTTTTAACGAGTCTATATTTAACATATTTTTGTTTATTTATTTAGAATATGTGATACCGGTAGTTGATCTAGAAATGTACATAGTCATATGTAGTAGTTCTCTGCCTAAAGACTAACTAGTATACATGTAGAAGCGTACACCTAGTTATTTCACCATATTGTGTTTCATCACTAATTTATAATTGTTTAAACTTGGTATAATGTTTTCTAGTCATCCGATATGCCGACAGTGCCTAGAACGACCGTACAAAGAGTTTGGGTGGCAATGCCTAACGAAACTAGGTCTCCGTTTTACAATGAAGACGGTGTACCGTTAAAACCGATAGCTAAGTTACACCTTACAAGACAACGTCTCTATGAAAAAAGCTGTGTAGAAGAGAATATCAAACCGGAATCGTCTGGTAACTGTTGTTTTTTATTGGTGTGCTTGTAATACTGTTTTGTTAATTTCAGCTTGTGCTGTTGGTCCTTGGTCCGAATGGGACACGTGCACGGCAACATGTGGCAGAGGATACACTAATAGGCGTAGACAGTACCTCAATCCAGAAACTTACAAGCCTCATTGTAGTGAACAATTATTGCAGCGCAAAGGATGCTATGTTCTCCCTTCTTGCACGTTAGTTTTTAAAACCATTTATTAGTTTTTAAACCTAATAATAAAAATAAATGAAGTAAGTTTTACATATTTAACTTTCCTAAATATTAACCCTTCAGTCGTTAATTATGTTGCACAATACTCAAATGATAGCGAATTTCAATTATAGATTTTGCTTAGAATAACATAACACATATTTTTTTCTGAAATAAAAAAGTATCTAGTTATTCGTGTTTATCAGTTCATCAGTTCACCTGGTTATACTTGTGCATGCCCTCATCTAATAATAATTATTATGGCTACTTTGACGGGGTAGCTCGTAGCGACATTCACAGTAATCACTACATACCTTCTCTATATGGTGTAACATAACCCAATGCGATGTTTTTTCACTTGTGCTTTCTTAAATTAATTTTTAGGGAGGATGTGGAAGAAAAAATGAAAATAGATCCGAAATGCGATACGACTGCTTACGGTAAATGGTCAGATTGCTCTGACGAGTGTGGTAAAGGTGTATATGCTCGATTTCGATCACTTTTGAACATTGACGTAACGCTAAATCACTGTATAAATCAAGGGGTGTCGTTGGAGCAAACCGTAGACTGCCTGATGAAACCGTGTATGGACGATCGAGACAACACGGTCAGTAACATTAAATATTTATACATGGGGTGAAGAATATCCTTCGTTCGACTATCACTGTTATAACTTATGTACATATTATGTGAGAGTAAGATGAATTAGTTTTGAAGAGTGCCTGCCAAAACAAAACGTTCCCTTTCTACGGGATTTCAAATCGGATCAACTGCTCTTATATAACAAATTGTGTCTCTTTTTCAACGTTTATTTCAGGATTTGGACGTGTTGTGCAGCAGCTGTCGGCTTTCAAATTGGTCGACATGGTCGCCGTGTAACACTACTTGTGGACCAGGGAGTAGGGAAAGAACCAAAGTCTACATGGGTGTGTCTGGCTCGTCAGACGACTGCGACCCGCGTTGTTTCAAACAGATAATCAACTGCCCCGATAATATGCCTTGTGAAACTACTCAAGAAGTCGGTAAGTTTATACTGCGAGTGTTGTCGAACTAAATTAAACTAACCATAACAAAATTTACACGCTGCTCGTATAGAGGATACCGGTTCGTACGATAACGACGAAATGCTAAAAAAGTATAATGTCTCCATACAACGCATTTATCAATTTACCAAAATAAAACCGATTTTGTGTAACACTTCTCGCGTTTCTTGTACGTTAAAAATTACATGAAATTTTGAAGTTTAATGCATTATCAATCGGCAATTAGTTTATAAATACATAGGAATTGTAATATTTGTAAATTCGTTATTTTAGATTCGACTACTGCGTCACACCAAGAAAGTACTTCCGAATCATCGGCTACTAATGGAATAGATGGAGATACTGAAGCTGATGTAAGTACATGCATATTATACCAGTAGGCAGTAGGTAATAAGTATGTATCAAGTGTTGATCATAATTTGATTTTAAGGAAGGTATAAATTAGGAAGGTAATAAATTAAAACAATATTTAAAAAAAAGTAGAGAATGATATATATATATATATATAACATGGACGAATTCTATTCAAAGGATATCTAGTAATCCGGTGATATACATATTTTCTTGTAAAGAATAGGATGGAAAAGAACATTTATTTAAATAATCCAACTTTGTTTTTAGTATTTATGTAGTATTTTTTATCTAGGTTTCGGATGAATCCGAGTGTAAGATGTCTAGATGGGAAAAGTTTTCAAATTGTAGTGTAATGTGTGGCCTCGGCTTTAAAGAACGAACACGAGAAATAAAAGTAAGCTTAGTTTTGTTTAGAAAATGCTATTATCACTGTTATTATCGCCTGTTTTTTATTTGCTTTTAACTACTTTTAATTACTTTTTAATTTTCGATAATATATTATATTTATATAATATACAGGAGGAGTGGCCGAGTGGGTAAGGCGGCAGTGTGTTAGCGCTCACTGTCGCCGGTTCGACACTAGGTCACAGGCGCTCCGTTTGCTGGGCGAGCAATCGTCCGGTAAAAAGGAACCGCCATCCCCCTCTCCGGCGACGGATTGACGACCCGTCCCGGAAGCGAATTCGTCAAGAAACCATCTCATGATAGCAGCATTAGGCCTTCATGGCCCGTTAAGCTACATGATGATGATGATATAATATACTGAGTTCATTTGATTTTTAGTTTCCTAAGGATCCGCTAGAACAAAAGAAATGCCGAAAAAAGCTGGTCGATCGACGGAGTTGCCGAGGGAAACAGTGCAGTAAGCGCATTCATTTATAACAGTTTTTACAATATTAATTTTTATATTCATTTATATACGGTATACGGTTTTTTTGCTTTAGCTTTGATTTTTTTTATCACGGGACACTCAATATCTCACTAGGTTTAATTAATAATTGAATTTTTTTTTATAGTGTTTTCAAATAATGTGATTTCAATTTTCCACTAATCTTTATGTTCTTACTCCCTTCCCAAACTACCTATTTTTATATCAACTTAAATGGTAACGTATACGTTTCATTAACTTTTTAAATTAAGAATAATGTACTAAACATTTTGACTGGTCGATCACCGGTTTTTGATTAAATTATTCAAGTTATTGAAGTTTCAAGTTTAGGGCAAGAGAAAAGGTGGAGTGTTGTATTATTTTTATCTGTGCGCACTTTCCACCAGCACTTCCCCTCCCGTCCTAACTTTTAAACTCTTTTAACTTAAAAAATAGTGGTTAAAAACTAGTTATCAACCAGTCAAAACTTTTAGTAAAATATTCTTAATTTAAATAGGTAATAAAATATATATGTTACCATTTAAGTTTCAAAAGTTGCTACCAAAAAAACTAATTTGGGAGGGGGTAGGAACATAAAAGTTTGTGAAAAATTGAGACCACATTATATAAATTTACTATAAAAAAAAACAATTAAATTATTAATTAAAACCAGTGAGATATTGAGTGACCCGTGATAAAAGAATCACCCTGTATTTATATATATATACATATTTAATTTATCTATATATTCATAATATAACATTTAAAAATATAGTAATGAAGATAACAAAAGATTGTTAGCACTTAAACAAAGAGAGGTAAAAAAGGTGATTAGATTGAATAAGAGACTGTGGGAAAAAGAACGCATACAAACTATAGAAAGACTTATAAGATTCTGTCTAATATACTTCTGATCAGAATCAATCCATATATTAAAGAAATAATGGGAGAATATCAAGCTGGATTCATGATAGGGAGATCAACAGTTGATCAAATTCATATAGTTAAACAATCAGCTGAGAAAAGTCACGAGTTCAATAAAGATGTACACCTTATGTTCATAGATTACAAAGCAGCATAAGATTCGATTAATAGAGAAAAACTATGGAATGTCGTGAGCCATATGGGAATACCAGCAAAATTAGTCAGAATGATAAAAGCATGTACATATGAATCCAAAAGTAAAGTAAATTTTGGAGGAGAGATATCAGATGAGTTCCCAGTAACGACAGGACTCAGACAAGGAGACGCGCTATCGCCAGCTCTGTTTAATATCGCATTAGAATCAGTTATGCGAAAGGTACTAATCCAAGCTAAAGGAATAAAAATGGACAACAATAATGAATTAACCGTAGTAGCTTTTGCTGACGATATAGTCCTTATAGCCGAAACAGAAAATGAACTGAGAAATACAACTAGCATCCTACTAAGTGAAGGTAAAGAAATTGGTCTGAAGATAAATGAGTCAAAAACAAAGTATATGATACTTTCGAGACGAAATTACAATACTAATTATTTAAAAGTTGATGATTACAAATTTGAAAGGGTACAGAGCTTCAAGTAGCTAGGGGCAGAGATCAATGAAAATGCTAATAGCCATGAAGAAGTTAAAAAACGACTTATGGCAGCAAATAGATGCTACTATAGTCTAATGCCACTATTCAAATCAAGATTACTATCAATAAAGTCTAAAATAACGTTATATAGTCATAATTAAACCAATTGCTCTATATGCATGTGGTACATGGGCCACGACAAAATCGGACGAAGGAAAGTTAGGAGTGTTTGAAAGAAAGATATTAAGAAAAATCTTCGGTCCAAAGAGAAATAACGATGGAGAGTATGAAATGAGAAACAACGAAGAATTGGGTAATCTCTATAAGGAACCTACCATTATTGGGTCCCTGAAGAGCACGAGGTTAAGTTGGGCGGGGCACGTATGGAGATCAGAGGGAATGATTGGATCAATAACTAAATAGAAACTCGACACTAAGAGACCTAGAGGACGCCCCAGACAAAGATGGATGGATAGAGTACAAAAAGACTTGAAACTTTTGAACGTAAGGAACGCACAAGAATGTGCAAACGATAGAGAGCGTTGGAGACAATATGTTGTTGCGGCGATGGGCCTTAAAGGCCTGTAAAAGCCCCGAAGAAGAAGAAGCAAAATATAATATATTATTTATAATATACAAATTCAAATGGCGATGATTTATTATGATTAATATACGAATAAATAGTTATAATTAAATAGTATTTAATTGTTTAGTTTTTATTAATAAATATTATTATTAAAATAAATTTCGGAAATAATTGAAATATTTCATGGCTTGTGAAAATTTCACATGAAATGAAAATGTCTAAATTTTGTTGTAACCATAGTAATACTTTTTTTATCATGTTAACAATTTTAAGTAATCGTAAAGCCGGGTTACTTGGATCATTCATTTTTTTTATAAATTTAATTTAAGCTAATAAATACGGTAATGATGACCAAATGTCTAGAAGATGAAGTTATATCTTTATCAAGATATAAAATATGTTCTATGTATTCTAATTTTTCAGGAAACACAAAAAACGACGCGTTTACGTGAAAAAATCAAAATAGATAAAAATAGATTTGTTCCCTTTCTGTAATTAGCAATTCAGTTATGGTAACCTTTTTTAAAAATAATGTCTATGTCTTAAGATACACTTAGATAAGTATTACTTGGGAGAACCATATTAAATGGTTTTAAATTTCATGTTGAACTCATAAGAAGTAGCTTGTTTTAATTTACATAGAGGTAAATCAGTACTGTCAGACGGCATAATTTACCGGTGCTTACCGGTTTAATGATAAATAATAAATTCTTAAAAAATTATCGAAATCATTAATTTATTACCATTTAGCTATAATCGATCTAATAATATCTCCCTAATATTATTTTCACACGTGTAATGGGGGTAGTTTCAAACATTATTTTGTTTACAATAAAAAAATACCTGATTTACCAAACATTGCATGAACTATTTTTAAATAATAAATGTATTATTCATGCTATGCTTTCTTGTAGCCTACCGATTAACACGGGACTACCGAAACAGTAAGCATCGATTTGTATGATATATACATTAGAATAATCGTTACTTTTTAACTGAGTAAAATAAAATAAAAACTATTCGTTTTCAAATATTTACAGCCATCATAACTGTTAACTAACATGTTTTATTTACAGAGTGTAAGTATTCAGAGTGGTCAGAGTGGTCGCTGTGCTCGGCGCCATGCGGCATGAACGCCGTTCAACAACGCACCAGATTACTTGAAGATCCGTCTCAAATGTGGTGTACCGACAGATTAGAACAACGCATTTGCTCGGCATTAGCTTGCAAATCTTATTAGTTATGACTTGTCCACAATTCGTTTGTTATAGTATCTCAAACTTCCGCTAATCCTAATGATATTTTATTGTGCTATCATTAAAATATTCACTATCTATAATAAATATTATATTGTTAAAGATTAAAATTGAAAATACATATAATATATTGTGTCGATATAGCGTAGCAAGAAATAGCTTAATAAAAAAATGCAATTATTAAAAACAGTATAATATACCGTTTTATAACCTGCGTAATTTATTAATAAGGTCTAAAATTCAAACTGCGTACTAAATTGTGTGAACTATACGATTTCTTAAACTTTTTGAGTTATTATTATATTTTTTAGTATTATTTTGTTCTTTATGAATTATTATAAAATGATTAATTAACACATTAAGTTATAAATTTCGTATTATATGTGTTCAAAATATCAGTTGTGTTTGGATGTTTTACAATTTATTTACAAAAAATGATTGATTTTACAGTCCACTATATTGATTGTATTGGCTATCACAATAACGACGTACTAAATGAAATCGTGATAGACGATAATCATAAATGCCAGACGAAATATGCTAAAATCAGGCATTGGACTTAAATTTGTTTACGAGTATAACAAATAACCCGCCGGTATAGTAGCAATTTGTTCAGAAACACTTGTGGTGCACGGCTTTTGGTCCGTGTTCTTCGTATTCTGATCGGTTGACCCACATGTGCTTGAAGGTAGACAGACTAGCCAAGATCGAACCACCAATCCAGGTGGAGAACTTCCGCTCGGGCGTGGTGAGCAGCCGGATTTTAGTAGTCGACAGCGCCAATTTCGCCAGCATCCGTTCGACGCGCTGAGAAAGCGATGGCAGTAGGCTATTACCTCCAGCCATCACAATGTTATTGTACATGTCGTTTTGCAACCTAATGTCGCACACGCCTATTGATTCATAGACCATGTTGTGCACGCCTGCCAACTTAGAAGGTATGTTGAATATGGCTGGATCGAACATCACTTCGGGAGCTCTGTAACTATAAACACAACAAGAACGGCTCGGCGTGGCGTTAAACCGATGACAGATTCATATCGTTAAATATCGATGGCATTTGTTTTAATTTTAAAGTGACGAAATTTTATAGACCTATTTTTATGTATTTAATGAACTTGTCGTGGCTTCTAGAAGCAGATCTTTGCTTCCAAAAGACACGTATTGCTAAACTTATCACTCTTGTGCGCTATGCCATCGATATAATATACATCAACATTAACATTGGGCTTAAAAAGACACTCACGCTTCACTGTAAATAGTGATCATTTGTCCGTCAGGCATTTCGTAGATTTGTTCGATATCCGGATGGTTGAAGTTGTTGTACTCGATGTAATCCTCGCTGTTGGGGTCGATTACGCAATAGCAGAGTTTTTCTTTAATGGTGTTCACAATTGCTTTGTCCGCGGGAGTGGTAAAACTAAAGCCACGGGCGTTCATCATATTCGCCAAGCACTCTGTCACCTGTCGGCCGCCCACCGGCAACGTGCGGACCGCGTGTGGTAGACAGTAACCCTCGTAGACGGGTACGGCCCTTGTGCTATCGTATCCGAAATCCACCACTATGCCTGTAGTCTTGCCGGAACCGTACAGCGCCAGTGTGGCCGCAGGCACCATAAACATTCCTGGCACGTTAAACAGCTCGAACATCATCTGCATCAACATTTTTTTTCTTATAGATTAGGATTTCGTTTGTAAGAAAAGAAAATTCTAAAACCAATAATTGACCTCTGCTAATTTCTCACGACAAGGTTTTGGATTCAACGGTGGCTCGGTATGAAGAATGTTGTAGCCTTCTGGTGGCAACATCAAGTCTTCGTAGTACATATGGTAGTACATTTGTTCCATGGCCTCCCAATCGGTAATTATTCCGTTATCTATGGGGACACTAGTGTCTAACACTCCTCGGTTTTGCACGGCATAATCTCCGACATAGGTAATCCTTTGTCCATATCCCGGCATGGAAACCTAAAACGTTATACACCTACACGTGCTGTAATCTATAAAACGACTCAAATAGTTATGGTACCTCTTGGCGTGGAGAACCGACAAATGTGGGAATTATTGTACGAGGAGCATCATCATCGGCGAAACCAACTTTTAAGGAATACGTTCCGTTGTCGCATATCAACGCCGGATTATCCAAGTATGTGAGTCCTAGTAAAATATGTCGAAACATAAATTTGTAACTTCGAAAGTACTACTATAGCTTTTAAAGTAACATGCGTTTAATTTTGGTGAACATTTAAGTATAGTTTAGATTTTTAGCATGGTTAACCTTTCGTTTGAAGATTTTTTACCACATTATAATGTTGGTTGACGTTCCATACCGTCAGGTGAACAAGAAATCAAGAATTTCAAAAGGTAGTAATTGAGTTAGGAGTTTAATACACACAAAACAATGTACTTATGATTTCCTTCTTCGACTGGTTGAATACTGAAAACCCTGAACGAGTGGGTGGAATGGATCTTGTACTCTCAGATTGAATAATATTTTCTTCTGCAGAACCATCGGAATGAACGGACATTTTTCTTTAATTGTTTAGCTGTCAAAATCTTAAGCAGGAAAATAAAAATGTAATAGGAAAAATGAGCGTTATCAATACTCTATAGCGACTGCTTGTTGATTAATCATATGTTAGTTTACGACGACTTAAAATGTAAAACTATTTATTCTATATATTTATACTCAAATACTTAATCGTGGTTAATTGCACCTCCTATAAAAGACGTGCAATTATTTCTGTTCTGTGAACAATCATACAAAAATAAATGATTTCTGTTAATATATCGAATCAAAATATTGTATAAATAAATAACCAAGTGCAGGTTAGGTCAGTGCCTAACATAACTAGCTTTATAAATCGATTTTACATGTTTACAGTCCTAGGCTTAAGTGAAAATTTCGTCCTATTGAGACAGCACTTTTGAGAGGATTTTAGGAACCTGTGTACTGCTGACATCTTTTTCACTTAAGAGACATACTGTGATTAGGTAGGTAGCTAGGATTATTAATCAATAATTATAATAAAGCAGTTTTATATTTACATGATAAAATCGAAAGTCCAACGGCACATTTTTAGGATTAAAATTTTATTATGTAAAATTTTTACTGATAATTTTTAAATTATTTTATTTATGCACTTCCCGGAGAAGCGACCGTGTTAGCGATTGTTACCGTGTTACCTGTCATTGTGTTCATGTGTTAAACTTTGTATAACTGATTCACAATTTATAATTGTGTTTAACTTATTGTAAACTATTAATCATTATTAATTGATAATCATTTATTTTGTTATAACTTTATATTTTCTGATAGCTTGTTGATTTATTCATTAATTTAATTGAAAATGGAAGGTTCAACAGGAGTCTTTTTGTACTGGATTGTGTTTGAAACGTCGGCTAACCAGCAGCATGTATTTGATTCGTTATATCCGGCACAACCCATTTTAGCTATACCTTATTAACCGAAGCCAGCGCCGGTGGATTGGCAGCCGTTGTTCCCGCCGGTCTTCATTGACACATCGATACCGCCGCCTGCGGTAATTGATACGAGCATTCCACCTCCATCGGTATGTGAAACATCGGTCCAGTCGATGTTGAATATATCGACTCAGAAGTCAGACGTCGACGATGTTAAATGCATTTTGCTTATAACTAGTGTTAACTTCGTTTGTTTATTGCAAATTTGTGTTATTTCTCTTCGGTAAGTTCTACTCTGTCGCTGACGGTGGAGCGGGAGCGCCGAAGATTTAACATAGGTATAGTTGTGTTTAGTGTTTAATTGCGACGCTTAAAACCGTTGTAACATTTTTTTTTACCGTTGTTATATTGCATAGCAAGTGATAGGTAAATACGTATAGGCCAAAATGTTTCTTTTAAAAAGCTTTGCTCTTATCCCTTTTAAAGTTTGATTGTTATTTGTATTATAAAAGTAGGTAAAAAAAAAAATTGTAAAAAAATTATATTTTTTACTTATTCTAAGCTTATTTACTATTCGAAGTATCAAAATAGAAGTCGAGTAGATGAAGAAGTGATGGCAGCATTGCGTCACTTGCGAGAGTGTCACATCGAGCACTATCTCTAAGCAGGAAAATGTCTTGAGAGAGTAAAACAAACTAACGAATTATACGAATATTAGGCCTTAAAGCAGCTTATGCTCGGTTAAGATAGTCAAACAAGCTATAAAAACTTGGGATAGGCCAAAATTATATGTTTAATAAATATAATTATATATAAAAAAATTAAATTAAAAGCATTTTTCAGCCGAGCCTGCAACCACGAAAGAGTATTTTCATGTCTCGTTGAAGTACCGAATAAATTTAGAGTAGTGGTGGAATTATAGATAATGAAATAGTATATTAACAAGCAGTAACAAGCTGGTATCTAAGGTGGCTAGTAAACATACCAAGTTTCTGGCTAACATTTAAGTGTTTACATAATATCTGGCCTAAAACAATTCATAGGGAATATGACCTGTTAAATTATTGTTCAGTTATAGTTTGATCGTTGTGAATACAACACATAGTTTAAAAAAATTAACATCCCCAACCCTATCCCCACCGCGTATTGCTTTTTTGTGACTTTTTTGTAACTAATTTCGGTTATGTACCAGTAGAGTTACGCGTACGAGTCGAACCACACGGGACATTTTTATGTGTGTTATATAAGGATATAAGGATAAAGAAGGATATTAGAATATATATATAAGGATATATTTTCATTAGGTTTTTTGGTATCGCTGTATAAACAGACATAAAAATTTCAAAAATAAAATAAAATAAAAACGGCGATGTTGTACGAGGTGGGAGGCTATCCAGTGATAGAACCCAAAACAAGCCTTTCAAATACCTATAATAGTAGAATAACAGTATTTTAGTAAATGTGTAGAAAACAGGATAGACATTTTATTTATGAATTGTTACATAAATATAATTATTAGACAACGTTATTATGTCGGGCTACCTGTTAGCTATTTGTCTTGTCCCTATAACAACGTTTCAAACATGTCTGAATAGGAGGAATAACTCTCATCTCTTTGTTTTATTGAGTTTAGTGAGTTATTCCGAATGTTGTATTAATAGCGATATTTTCTGTCCTGACAAGACATTAATAGCGAACTTGGGTTCGTTCGGTTTTTTTTTATACCGGACCCACAATGACTCTGTATTCTGACGGGATTCATAAACTCTGTTCGCTGTACGTCCAAAGTGTTAAGTTTCCCTGCAATGTCGTGACTCGTGTCGACCAGATTAGACGCTCTTTCTGTGGCAATATGGTCTCACCCGAGTGTAACAAAACTCGAGATAGACATTTCTCTTGCTGTCGATCACCCACGGGTATACCTATTACTCTCAGTAATAAAATGGTGGGTATTCGGTAGATATCATTGGCGGCGGCGGCGGCGACGGCAAGTTCATTATCGAAAACAGCTTAGGGACTGCCGTAGACGTGCTGGCATGTTTCTGCTCCGTGGTCGACATTAACTTATTGTTGAACGGGGCGGTGATTTCGGACGCCAGATCTGTCGATCGCCGGCAAACGTGAGAGGTCATCTGCACTGTAACCGTGTCGCGGGTATAGTCTATAGTCCACTTGGCTCCGGCCTTCGACAGAAACCCATACGTGCTCGGTTCGAGCTTTTTTTCAAAAGTCGGTGTTGCTATAGGCAACTCAACGACAGTAGTACTCTGGGCGGTGGCGGTCTTATAATTCGACGTAAAGGCTCTAGGGCGCGTGGTAGGAACTATGAAACGGGACTTCATCGCATAAGTCGACACTTGGTTATGTCCATCCAGCGTAACGATGCACGACTTACATTTCTTGCTATGGCGCGTGAAGGTAGCTCTCGTTCGATACACGGGTGCTGATTTATGAGTACACCTTTGGTACGCGGCCCGTTTGCAAGTTGTCGGTTGAAAATGGGTCATTAGCCGCGGGATTGGCTTGCAAGTAGTCGTTCGGCGCGTGGTCCGTTTGCAAGCGGTCGTTCGGCGCGGGGTCGGTTTGCATATGGTCCGAACGGTCGTTTGATACGTCCTCGGAGTGGTTGTCATACGAGTATGTATCGTTGTCGGGCTAACGAATTTAGCGGCATGCGTTATTTGACACATTTCCGATTTGCTACAAGTACACAAGTTCGGAAGGCACTTGGCCAACATGCGATTCAAAACTATGTCGTTCCATGCTTTGTTCTCCGTACATCTGGTAGTGTACCTGAGTTTGTAGCAGTACGGACCACCGGTAGAGTTGGTCGAACCCATATTACGGTATTTGAACACTCTTGAAGCGCGCAAGTGTTTCTTTTCCGAAGTTTCAAAACCATGTTCGAGCAACGGCACAATATCGTCTGTGTCAAAGTATGATTACGAAATAGTCATTCAACTTATAGATTACCAATATGTGGATACTACATACTGACGAATGTCTACCAACGAATGAGACATGAATCATTTTTGTTTTTTTGTTTAATAGCACTAATGGTTAATTACCTTGACCAGTGAACTCGTACGACGAATAGTCTATGGGTTTTGATTTACACAGTATACTCTGGAAAATAGCGAAATAAAGAAAATAAGTACTAAAACTGTACATTTTAATGACTCGGCTTAATACAAATTCATACAATATTAATCGAGTTCAATTATAAACTGGGAAATTGTATACGTTTTGGTGTTTAAATTGACTAGCAACCAGAAATACTAAATTGGTGATTTTGATATTTAATTGACAAATAAACCTTTGTTACCTTTAGGCTTCAGTATACGAATCACTCATGCTTACACACAATAAATAATGAACACTAATCACTAATGCTAATTCATATTCTGTGGATTATTATTATTCATTGCATATAACTAATTTCATTGCTTGGCAGTTGGCATGCAAAAAGTTATCAAGTACAATAATATAACCAAGTCAACACGCACAGAGTAAATCTAATCTGCGACCTAGCTCTAAGCGCGTGTTGAGGAAAGTGTGACAACTAAATTAAACGAACTGTGTGCATGCAAAACGATTATTTGGGAAGGTTTTGTTTGGAAATCTTAAGAGTAAAATATAATTAGAGTCCACGGTTGTACAGTCTAAACTATACCGCTCAAATGTCATACAGCGTTGACTTACCTACTGAAGTTCAGACAACATACAGCAGATTTTTAGTAGAGTAGAATAAATAGTCAACAATTTGTGTGGTAAATGTTTTTTAAAAATATTTTTTAAGTGTCGATCGTTTTTGCTTGCCCGGAATGAACCGCACACGGGACGAACGTCCTTTTGTATCTTAGTTCGTCGTCATACTGGGATGAAGCCAATCGTCTTAAGTGACGAAGCAACCGGAACCGAGCATCAGCCGAACCGTCGTGCTGCAAAGGGTACTTAAACTCGCCAGGTTCAGCCAGTTGAGTCACGAAAAGATTTTTAACGTTTTTCTTGCGCCACATAGGCTTGGTCGGAGGACACAATTGACTGGGTAGACACGTGGGTGTTGGCCACTCCAAGCATTGCGGTCGGCCCATGCATTTAGCTCGTCTGCACTCGTGTTGCATCCCATCGTTTCGGATACACTTGCAACCCACGATGATTTCGCCACCCCTAAACTCGACTTTATCAAATTCCGACTTTGGGCCCACCACACAAGTTAAATCCTCTCCTTGCATTTTCTTTTTTTTCCTACCGGTAACATAATATTAAGTATTAAAACTTGAAAACTATTCAAATTTGGTAATGTATAGGCAATAAGAAGTAGGTACACTGAAATAGGTACAATATAATTTCATTTAACCAATATCAGACTAACGTCTAACAGGTAAAGTTCTCTACTTCAAGTATTCTAAAATTTCGTTAGTAAAGTAGTAGTAAACTATTTTTTTAAAAATAACCTCATAAAATAAGTTCAAAAATCATACAGCTTAAAAAATGTAATGAAAACCACACTGTTCTTTTACTTTAAGAAAGATTAAAAATTATAAGCGTTCATGAATATTTATACAAACTTCACCTTAATTTTAGAAACCCTGTTCCCAGTCTATGCTATACAATTACACAGCTGTACTCACTAATTTGATTTGAAGAATTTTAAAGCTTATTGAGATCGTTTTAGTTTAAAACTACAATTTGTAAGAAAAAAAAAATTATATATGTTGACAATAGGTATTTGTTTACTTCTATCCAAGTAACGAAAATACTAATTTAAAATAAATATAGTAGTATAAGGGATTGAAAGTTATTTAATGGGTATAAATTACCAGCTATGTATTCGTAATAAATTCGTGGGTAAACATCGTTTTTTAAACTATAATTACTAAAAAAAAAACTTTTGGTCGATAGTGCTTACTTTACCTCATTCTACTCAAATGCATAAAATCCACTTTTTCCTCCAATGAGCTATTCTATAAAATTGTCTTTTTAATTTATAATTTTATAAGTACTTCATACAGTATACTCACAAATAATTCAACATTTTCAATATATCTAATATGAAATATTCTAACAGTATTTTTTTTGTTCACAAAAAAAGGAGTAACAACTTTTTTCTTTAAGTTAATGAGTAGGTGCAGGTTAATTTAATCACTTTAGGAAAGTAAAACGTAATTTTTGAGACACAATTTTTTCTCTTAAGCTATTTTTACAAACTAATTACAATAATAATTTTTTAGAGTATACGTTTTCTATAAGACGTTTACACCGTATCACATCATTTTAGAATAAAAAAAAAAATAATAATAATAAAAAGAGTATACGTACGTTTACTTGTGTATAGGCCCCAATACACGACTGTAAATTACCTTTATAATTTTATTAGGTAATCTAAAAACCTGTTCGGAAATGCTGATGGACAACATTATACAAATCAATTTTTATTAAAAATTGAACTTATAATAAATTTAATAAAAATTATATTTTATCTTGTTCGTGAAAATTGCAGTTACAAACTAATAGCAATCTTATAACTTTGTTTATATGAACTTAATTTTAGCTTTTTTCATATTACCTATCAGGTTCTTTTTTCCCCCTATGAATTATAGCTATTTTGGTTGGAAAAAATGCCTTCCAGTAAAACTATCACGTCTTGTAGAGTACTCAGATTACAATAATTGTTCTTTTATTAATAAGAGCAAGACTTCTTACAGGGTGCGCTGGACTTCAACTTTTGATTATTTTACTAAAACCGAAAAAAATAAGTAAAGAATTGTCAATATCAGTCATATTCAAACTCTATAGTGATTAGATATAGAATTTTGAAAATCGAATTCCGATGCACAATGGAGAAAGTCTTCCTCTTGTTAACAAAAATAAAAATCATTGTTATCTCTACAAGGCGCTAGTTTTCCTCGTTTTGTCCATAAAAACAGGTGCAGTCCCCTTAAAATAATGTTATTCAATCAAAATTTAGGAAGTTTAATAGTATAAAGTTCATTGCATTATCAATAAGGTATTTTATAATAACAAATGAAATACTTACATCTTGTTAATCGTGTTTTACATCGAAATTGTGACTGTTGTATGCTTTATTCATTCAATAAAAAATATAATATTGAACAATTTTATTTGAAGCATCAAAAAATAAATAATTAGAACAATAAATATGTAATTAAAAATAAAGTACTAAGAACGTACGTTTTCATAGATCAGTCAAAAGGAAAATGTTTACTACACAAATAAAAGTAGTAACGACTAAAAATTAACAAATTACAAAATATAGAACAATAAATAATTAAAACAAGTTGAAATAATACTGATGTATCAAATAATCTACAAAAATGGTAAGTTTATCTACTTCAAAAATTAGTTCAGTTGAAAATTGTTATTAAATTAGGTAAATTAACTACCTCTTGATATTGAATTCAAACGAAATAAGCTCCGACTCCAAACTGGAAACCATCAACTATCCTATCTCCAGTCATGTACTGCAGAGGAGTACACAAATTGAATTCAAACCTAATTGAATTGCCTAAACGAGCCACTAAACCAACGCCAGAAGAGAGTCTAAAGTTTTTAAAAATATTGTTAACGCTGTTTTTGGTATTGTTACCTGAAAAATACATAAAAACAATAACATTCATGTTAATATTATGAATTTAATTATGCAAATAAAAATATTAATTAAATTCATATTTACCTAAAAATGATATATTTCCAGCGTTACAAAACAAATGGAGCCTAAGTGCCTCATTTATTCTATTACTCTCCATTCCAAACATGGGCTTCACATAAATGTGGGCAGCCATTATCCAGTAACTCTGGAAAAAAATAAAATGGAAATTATAGTTTTAATTAATTTAAGAATTATTTTTAAAAATACCATTGCTCCAGCTACAGCGTCATCATTCAAACTACCAACTCCACGAGATTGGAAACCGCGCAATGTCATTGGTCCACCCAGGAAGAATTTATCCATAATATTAGGTTTTTTGTATGTTCCTAAATCAGTCAAGAATCCTCCTCCAAATGATCCTTGGAATACCTATATTACAGTTTAAATTGCTAACATTAATACTATAAATTAGTGTACTGTATACAGTATAAGCATATATTATAAAATTTGTATATTATAAAATTAAGTACTATCTAATTTACTGTACATATGAACATCTGTGGTAAAAAGGAAAAATAAGTGAAAATAGTTTGTAACATTATTTTTAAAATGTAGCCATGAGCAACACAATTTACTTGCGTAACTCACGCTTAATCTGGTATCAATAGCTACAATAGTGGATTATATATTTCAATATACACTTTTAATACGAACAGTTATAAAAACTAAAATTAAAATCAATAGCTTGGTGTAACACTAGTAAAAAATGTATAACGTATGTAACCAACACTTATCTAAATACAGTAATATTATAAAAAAAAAAGTTTTATTTAATTTTTTAATTTAGTTTGAGTCATAAATGCTAAAAAAAGGTAAAAATAAAAAAAAGGTTGTGAGTAATATAACTATTTCAAACTTTAGTTTTGACAATGTGTAAAATATAAAAACATATTTTTTTATGACATATTCAACAAGTATAGTTTAATTATGTCTAATAAATTGTTCTTTGATAAAACTGCATCACATTACCTGTTTCTAATAAATAAAATGGGTAATAATATTGGGTTGGCTCTTCTGTAGAATTTAAAAAATGTTGCTTACACCCTTTTCTTAACGCTCAATATGTTTTAAACATATTTTAAATAATGACAGATTGCCATAACATAATATCAATATATATATGTATAATTTATACAAATATTTTTTTTAAACTTACAACATCTCTACTAATTTTTGAAAAAAATTGGGTAATGAAATGATTTCTCAGAAAAGAAACATCTCCGCCAAAGCCAGCTACTTCCATAACCATTTGACAGAACACACCTTCACTCGGTAATACTTTAGAGTCTCTTGTATCTAACGTAGTGATATGTTTTATTGATGATTTGATAGAAAGTCCGGACTCTTCACGTAGTCTAAATGGACTCTCTTTTGATAACATATTAATATCACGGATGACAGCTTCATATTGCAAATTTTGACTAAAGTGATTCTGAAAGTAAAAGACAATTTTTACAATTGTTAACAAAAAATAATTTTAGAAGTTACCTTAAATGAAGCTAAAAAACAAATATCAAAGAGAGTTCCCCACTCGTTAAATATACCATGAACAGTATTCCAATGTGATATTTTCTTAAACATATTTCCGGAAATGCTATAATTTATAAATACTGTTAATGAAGATTATAGAATAGGTTATTCTAAAATTTATATTTCTTTTTACCATGAAGTTATTTTTCCTGGAACATATTTAAAAACACAACCATTATAATTCCGTGTACCATTATTTCCAAGCGAAGTTTCTAACTTAAAGTGATCAGCATGCCCTGTTAAGTTATTTAATTGAAATCCAATTTTCACAAAACCTTCATTATCACTAGTTTCTACATGGTGAACACCAGACAATAATTTAAGCTCCCGAGTTTTGAAAGTTACCTATATAAAAATACAAATTTTGCACAACAATATTTAAGTTATTCTTTTTATTAGTTTTTTTTTAAGCATGCATATTTGTAAATCTAACAGAACATTTGTGTTATTTTTTTTTAACAGTTACCTTGTAACCATATGGCGTGGAGTTTGATGCATCGCTTACATCAATATCAACATTTACATGTTCAAAACATTTCAAGCTCATTAGATTTTTACGTACTATTTCCGCATTTGCTAATATCTTTTAAATAATCATATTATTAATAAAATAATCTAAAATGTGAATTGAGTATTAAATTCACAATAATTACTTACAGTACCAAATGATTTTGAAGTAAACATTAATTTAACCGATGATTCAAGTATTGAGTCTTTAGTTTTTTTTAACCCTTCCACATACACTTGATCAACTCTCGCCTAAATGATAAGAAAAACAAATAAATAATATTGATTAGCCTTTGGTAACGTGCGCATATTAAAAATTTCCCCCATTCACATACAGATGCGTGACTGATGTGAAAAGTTTACCTCAGTCACACTTAATTGAAGTGTAAGTTGTAACTGTGAACCATGCACGTCAATAAAGTAAATGGTGTAAACTGATAGATAGAACATATTAAATTTAGTTGACAAACTAGAGAAATTAATAATTTAAAATATATTTTACTTTCTGATTTTCCAGCAAATAAAGCTCTTGCATTGAAAGTTGTGAACTGTCATTGTATTCAAACTAAAAAAAAAAAACAAGTTTATAAATAATTATACATCATTTCCTAGGGCTTATAAAAATATTTTCAATTCTAATATAATATATTTATACTAAAAGAACTAGCATAATAAGCCTATTATAGATAAATAAATATTATATAAGGTTCAAAGCTAACCCTAGCTAAGGTTATTTTAGCCTTTAAAAATGGAGAAACTACTTTTATTTAGAAACTTTTTACTGATATGGTCAGGGGCGCATTTAGCATTTTGCCTTGTTAACAATTATTAAATGCTGCCTTTAAAATTTATAATATTTAATACATGAGTTTTGAAATAGAAATTTAGTTTTAAAAGTTAAGTGGTATCATTACATTACATTAAACATTAACCTTCCAGCGAACACACTGTCGTAAATAATACTTTGTACTTATTAATTTATTTTACTTAGATTGTTATCTTTGTACATGTTATTAGAGGTTTAAGGTACAGTAAATGCATTAATATTTAATTAAAATTAATCAGATGTACAAATATGCCTTTCTTTAGAACTGTTGTAAATTGTACAACACGCTATTACTTATGTTATTACAAATAGCTGGAAGATTAATATTGTAGAATTTAATAAAAATATGTTTGGCTAATATATAATTTATGAAAAGCAAGTATGTAAGTTATCAAGTACATAAAAACAAAACATTAATTTTGTTGAAACTTGTTTTACTTCTTATATTTATATAATAACAAAATTTTTAAATACCAAAAATATGTTCATTATTAAATTATTCGTCATCACTTACCTTTCCTAGAAAAATACCCATTAATAGGTAATTTGAAAGATCGGTTAACGAAAATATTGTCAAAAGTTTTTTTTAACTAAAAAATTTGAGAATTGGGAAACATGAATTTTAACAAACTTAGAAACAGTTGAAAATCATGACTTTAAATTAGGTACTTTGAGTATGGACTATAATATTTTATAATTTATATAATTAAAAGGGTTGGATAGGAACTTCGAATTTAGATGTATAGTAAGGGTAAATTAATAAATTGAGGAACTAGATAGGTAGGTCAAATAAAAATAAAAAAGAGGTCACTGATAATGAAAGGTACCAAAGTAAATAGTAAAATTGATTTGATTGTCTGATAACGTCAAAACTAAAAATGTGTTATCACGAGTTTTAATTTATAGATTACAGAACGATTAAATTTAAGAACTAAAAAGTGTAATTGATAGTTTAGACTTACTATCAACCGAGTACTGAAAAGTGACAACGATGTACTGACTACTGACTATACAGTATACTACGTAAAATGTGTGACGAATCCTATTATTAGGGTGCACCTACTTATTCCTAATATCTTATACGGTTTAGTGCAACGGGGACTGCACGCTTAAAATATTTTTTTATGCTTTTTTACTTTTTTGTTGTATTGTAGTTAATGATCATGACGAATGAAAAATAGAAAACTTGTCAAGGTTGACAAAAGTCGTTAAAATAAATAATTAGAAATAAACAAACAAAACTAAATGTCCTATTTGTATATCACCGATACGTCCAATTTCCAAAATAATTTTTACAAACATATAATGTCACGTTTTAAATATGGTTCTATAACATTTTTTAACTATGTAGTACCATTGATTTTAAAATATATACTGTATATATATATTATATATATTTATCATACGTATGTTGATTTATCAGAATAGTTAAAAAATGAATTGCAATACACTGAAGTACTGAACTAAAAACGTTCTTGGTTTTAGCATAAGTATGCGAATTGCGAGTAATGAGTGTATTGTAAGGCTTTATCGTAGGCTCTTTTGTAATTGTTGTAGTGTAGTTTATTACGTCAGCAAGTAAACAAATGTTATAAAATATTTTGATTGGTAGTTGAAATAAAGATAAATCGTAACATAATGGCCATTGCAATTAGTATGACCACTATTTAGTACTAAAAATACAATGAATCCGTTCAATTTATAAATTCTTTTTTTTTGTAGTTAATTATGCCGTCAGTGCACTTTAGAAAGAATTAATTATTATCAGCCCTAATATTATTATTAATTTTTTATTCTATTATTATGACGGCGTATGTCATGCGTCTGAGCCGCAATCGTTCTTGGCTCGAATGACAAATTAGTAATTACTTTGGAATCCGTCCGACCTGGACAGAACTCATCAAACAAGTCATTTGAGCATTTGACCTATATAAAATAATTATATCAAATCAAACAATATTGTGTTTTAGTATTGTTAGATATTTCCTAAAATGTATCGGTACAGACTGAAGTTTCATCGGCTAATCTGAAAAATGTTAATCCGTTTAATCGTCACGTTCGACTGTTTCTGTTGATAACAAACCACCAACAGAAAAAAACAGCCATATGTACCTCCATAAATGGTCCTCCATAGGTATCGATGGCGCCCTGGGCCCCTCCCCTGTTGGAACTCTGTGAAATAATGCTGCAATGATAACACGACGGCAGTGCGTGCGTGTCCTAGTCTCTAACCTCTTAATCTTGCGCCGTGAGAAAAAATAATATGATATATATTTTATTATAAAACAAAACCGTGATTCACAGTGAATCATTCACTCTTGTTGCCGCCGTCGACTACACGTATCCATATTATTATATACATATATAATATAATAACACTATTACTTATCTAAGCGACTAGTCTTGGATTCTACGAATGGTATAATTCTGTTTCATTCTAGCCGAATTATTGTATAGTTGTTTTTGTTTTTAATAATTACCTACACTTTTTCTCCATTGTTATACGTTTTTTTGGCATTACAAACGCCAAAATAACTTTTTATTGTACGCTTGAAAACAATCGTATTCCCGTAAATTTGTGGCTGCGCCTTTAGTGTTGACGTCTCGTCTGCATATCTTCAACGTTTGTTTGGGACTGCAATTTGAAAAGAGCTTCCAATTATTTAATCAACAATAATGGCTATGGAAGGAGAGGAAATCATTTCGGATCAGGAGAAGGTAAAGTTTCATCATTGAGTTTTATACTTATACTTAATGCGAGCACATTTACAACAGTTAAGGTATGATTCACAACCGTCAGTTGCTACGAGTTTCTATGTTTCTTAGAATGTGGAAACAAATAGAAAGCAAAGTATTGTCACAAGTTATTGTTTGTATCGTAGACCAAATTTAAAGTATGACAGGTATTAGTTGGCCAATTACTAATTAAAATTAAAAATTTGATTTTCAATCAAGTTGGTTAATTCTCTATTTAATATAAGAGCGGAAGTGCGCAGAAACCAAAACCCATTACTCTTGTATGTGCGTGCGCAGCCGGCATTGACACGTTTTGGTTTTTGCGCAGTACCGCTCTTATATTGAATAGACTATAGTAAGAATCTAGAACCAATACTTCCTAAACAAATGTTCCTAATTTTATTAGATGAATAAAGTGTCTTCAAATAAATAATAATTACAAATTAATAATATAATTTTTAAAAAATTACCAATAATTTGGTTCGCCTATTAATCTATTAAACTTAAACAATAAAATATTTAATTTTTTAATTGTCATGAATTACGATTTCTAATAATAAAACAATTATTCAATCAAAAACATTTTGTCAATTTAATAGTTATTAATCAGCAGGCGTATTAGAAGTTGATAAGGAATTATTTTTTAGTTTTGTATTTCATTTAAGAACCGAGAGTTGAATACCATTTATATTTTTTTAATATGATTATATAGTTTGATCATTTTAGGTTCTGTCTATGTAGTTATAAGTTAGCTGATGTTATGACCCATTGCGGAAAAATAGTCATTGTTCCAGTAGGCTCTTTGAAATATAAGTATAAATGCACTATACTTTTTTAACAATTTTTTTTTTATTATCTTATATTTTTACGCTGATTACGGAGCTGAAGTAAAAAATCCGGAAATGCTGCTAGTTTCAAAATTATAGCTACTTGAAAATTGATATTTTGCGTGTATTACATTAGGTGGCAGTTAAGGACGCCCACCACCGCACCATACATTTGACAGCTAGAATAGCTTAGGTTAAGTTCAGACTCGTTAGGTCGCTAATACTTCCAGAACGGTAAGTTAGGTTAGTTTAGTTCTCTAAGCAAGCTATATTTTGTTTGGGGTTTGGGGGCGTGAGCCACCGTCCAAGGAAAAGTCCCGAAGGGGCGTCGGCAGGCAAAGGGAATTGTTTTAAACAGTTAACAATTTATTAGTTTAAAGCTTTAATACTTAAACAAATTATATTGTTGTTTAATACAATATTGATATTACATCATTGATAGTATTATTAATAAAAAAAATAATTAAATATTAAATAATAATACTGTAGCAGCGCACTCGCTTCGCCGACAAATGTATGGCACAGCTGCGGGCGTCCACAGTCGCCTCCTATTGTTATACACACGGAAAGATGCAAATTTCAAATAGCTATAACTTAGGAACTAGATAAGTCTGCCAATTTTTGTTTTCAAATTCGTAATCAGTATTAAAAAAAAGACACGATGATAAAAAAAAAGGGTGTCCGGTAAGGTGCATTTTTTTTCGAAATAATAATGTATTTACAACAAGACTTAAAGCTATGTCTATTAGTTTTTGGAAATATTTTATTAATTGTTTATATAATTTTATCATAAAAAACACTACTATTGTTTGATAAGAACTTTTTGTTTTAATAGGTCAGAATTGTCTCCGATTTCATTTTGCATTCACCTCCTGGCGAATTTAATGAAGTTTTTAATGGTAAGCATTATTTATTTACTGTGTGACTATAGTTATTACTAAGTATGCTGTATGGACTCAAATAAAGTTAATTTACTCATTTAGTACATTTTTACAATTTATAATCACAAATTTGATAAAAATATATTTTATGTTGGTATGTAACTGAATCAAATAACTCTCAAACATGGGCAAAGAAAGTACCTGGGCATTACTCTATAACTTAAAATGTAAAAAAATTGACTTATGCATACTTATTGAATACATTAATATCTAAAGATTAATAAAAGGAAGTATATATGTAGAATGTAGATTGTAGATACTTAAATTATGCATTTCCCTCTATATTATACGTTGTCTCAAAGGACAAATCCTGATCCAATCTTCTCACCTCCTCATGTGTGCTTGTTTTTAATTTCTCCACAAAAGGTTTTTTATTAACTGCCTATTCGCTCTCCAGTCATGACCAAACCATTCTTAATGTTTACGTCTGACTAAAGAGAAAATATCCTACTTGTTGTGTAATTTTTGTAGAAACTTTTTTTGTCCTTTCAAACTTATTTATTTCTTTATTATAGACAGAACTATATATGTTACAAACACGCTTATCTAGTCAGGTTAGAAAACGATTATTATTGCACAGTGACGAGAGATGGACACGCAACTATAGCGCTTATAGTTTCTGGCCATACTTATTCACATAACAGTATAATATATTTTATTATTTTTTGGCTTATCAAAATAGAACTATTGTATTAAATTTTTACATAAATGAAAAAAAAAAAATATGGTTAAGTGTTGCAAACATATTTATAATTCATATAATGATTTTATAATTAAATGGGTACAAAAAAAATGAATACAAAAATAATCACTTACGCCTAAATATTTGCCTATCTTTTTTAATATTTACAGTCGTTTTGTTTTTTATTTAATAATTACTTAAAGGAGACTGCTAAAAAAGAAAGTCAGCCTGTAACATACAAATCTTAAATCAATTAAGAAATAAGATGTAATAGTAAGCAAGAATAAAAATCACATGATCAAAAAATAAGAAAATTAGTTAACAACACTATGTTTCAAGATTTTTGACAATGAATGTGTTACTAGTTTCTTTCAAACCCACCAAAATTGGTCTAGATCACGCCTTGAAATAGCGGTTAGTATGTAAACAGACATGAATTTAAATTGTTTTCTGAAAAATATGATTTTTCTATCATGTGAGTTTTAATTTCAACCTACTCATATATATATTTGACAAAAACAACATTATCATTAACAACATTATTATTATTTATTACATATAATCTTCATATACAGTATAGAAATAGCAAATAATTTGTTAGTATTATTAATATTTTTAGATACAATTTTTTTTATCCATAAGCTTTGGCAATATAGCACGAGTCCCAATCTGAATAGATAACCGTAGTTACGAAGAACTTTACATTCAAAAGTTATTAATTTTCTCTCGTCTCCTCATGTTGCATATGTCGCTATTAGCCGCAAATAGCTGTAGTATAAGTCATTGGCGTAATTAGAGGGGGTCTGAGGAAGTTCAAATCCTTCTACAATCGTACAGGCTTTAAAAAAATGACAACAACCAATGAGGCACAGCCCCGAAGTATGGTTTATAATTTTTACCAAAATTCTGAGGGAGTTTTCAGAGTTATTAAAAGGTCCAAACTTCCTTGGCCCCTCCTCTACTTATGCCAATGGTATAAGCATGTCTTTGATAATTTTTATTTTATGAGTTTTATTATACACCTATTTTCATGCATTTATTATATTATATTCCTTTTGTTGTTAGTGTTTACTCCCAGGTATTTAAAGCTGTCCACTATTCTGACTCTAAAATTATCTACTGTTAAATTGTTTGCATTTGAATTGTTCCTTGACATGACCATGTACTGATGTTCTTTGGCTTTAGTGGTTCGCCCCAAAGGGATCCCCTACGACTGCGGACCGACTAATAGCACTGGGTGCTAAGTGCGGGCCGGAGAAGGTGTGTCACAAGATGAAGTGACCAGTCAGAAGGCCACTTGTCGGAGGGCTCTACGTCAAAACTTTATTGCATATGTATAATAGAGATATTCCTGTTATTTTTTGCCTTTGCAAGATTTCCCTTTTCAAGTAATAGTCAAATTATAACCGTGTTCCATTCATCCTGGATACTTTCTTTTTCCTTACAATCAATAATTTCCATTATCTTTCTCCTTTATAGTGACCCACTCATCTTAATATCTCTACCACTTTGCCAACTTAGAGCCTTTTTAAAATTTAACTATGAAAAATAATTTCACAATTATCCACTAAGTACTACATATTATTAATCCATAGGTAAATTAATTTAACAATTATGCATGTGTTGATTTATTTTCATTTAAAGTTATAAATATAATGCTGATAAAAACTTTTGATTGTGTTTGGAAAGTTATTTGATTCCTTGTCTTCAATTAATTTAATTTCTTGTACTAAAATCTAATATATACTATGTAAGCCTTGTAATGCATTTAAAATGTAAAACGTTTTAAAAACATTAAATTGAGTTCTAAGCTGTTTTTGAATAAATGAATTTAGCTTACAATTATAAATTTTGATTTTAGATGTTCGAGGTTTGGTAAACAATGATGCTCTACTCAAAGAGGGAACCTGCTGGTAAATAAAACCACATAAGCACAAACATAAGCTTAGTAATAACATTGTTTATAAATAATATAGATAGCCCACTGGCATGTATTTTTTGCTGCACGTCAATTGTCAGCACTCAGGTATTTACTGCAATAACTAAAAACGCTAAAAAGTACTCTATAGCGGCGACAATTTACGCGCAGCAAAAAAACACGGGCTATCTATATAATTTATAATCAATGGTAATAATATTAACAACTAACTCCAATGTGAAGTGTGTTGTTAATGTTAACATTACTTGTATTTTCTATAGTTAGTCACATATCATGTTATTTTTGTGTTATAAAAAAATACATATTTTGTTTTTAGGGCGTTTGCTTTGTATAATAAAGAACAAACTTTGCCAGTTAAAATAGAAAATAGTGATCAATCAGTGTTAATAACACAATTTAATGACTTGGGGTCAAATAGATTTTTCGATCCCAGGTCAAAGCAGTCATTTAAGTTTGATCATTTAAGAAAAGAAGCATCCAACTATGAAGTAAAGATACTTCATTTGTTTATTTTATTTATCATAAGTTAAACTAATTTATTATAAATTTTAGAGCTGGGAACCAGATACTGAGACAGAAGCTTGGCGTTCAGCATTTGAAACCGAGTTTACCAATTATACTACATTACATTATAAACATGGAACCTGTAGTGTTTTTACCAAGAAGGACGGTGCCTCTACTGTAATAACTGCTTGTATTGAAGATCACGAATTTCAAGCAAAAAATTTTTGGTAAATATATTTTAAACTATAATTTGATAAGTACCTATTAAAAATACATTTATTTTATTTGAAGGAATGGCCGCTGGCGATCGCAGTGGACAATGACAATTGGGTCAGCCAATATTGAGATTCTTGGGTTTTTAAGGATTCATGTTCATTACTACGAGAATGGTAATGTTCAGTTAGTTGCGTCCAAGGAAGTCAAGGAGTCTATTGCATTAATGGTAATAATATATTTTTATAACATTATGCAGTGCAAATTAATACTCCAAGGTTATTTTTAAAATAATAATTTAGAATGAAGAACAAGCCGTCAAAGAGATTTTAAAATTAGCTGCAGATTCTGAAAATGAATACCAGATTGCTATCACTGAAAATTATCAAACAATGTCTGAAACTACATTTAAGGCTCTCCGCCGTCAGTTGCCAGTGACAAGAACGAAAATTGACTGGAACAAAATAGTGTCTTATAGTATTGCTAAAGAGTTTAAAACTCAATGACCAATCAAATATGACAGTAGTTTTATCTGGTAAGTCTTTTTAAGCTTACTGAAATATCTTGCTAAACAATACGCATAATACATTAAATAAAAATTGCCGTTTTCAGTTTAGTTGTTAGAGAAACAATTGTACAAATGAATATTGTGCTATGTAATACTTCATAATGTTATTCATTTTAGTTTCCCAGAATAGAGTTGTAAATTAGTAAAAAAAAATTATTATTAATTTAATTTAATTTTTATATTTTTAATTATCATTAAATTATTTTGTTAAAAGAATAAAACCATAAAAATATTGAATGGTTTTTAAAATTAGTAGATTTTGTGCTTATTTGGATAATTATGCTTGAAGGTTGTAAACAAATGTTATATAAGCAATTTAACTTAACAGTAATTATAATAACAAATGCCTAAAGTACTTTTTTGATTACTTATATAAAAATGTTATTTAATATATGTTTTGGATAATTTAAAATTTATCATTTTTCATAAATTTTATGTAGGAATTATTCAAGTATTTATCGGTAGCAAATAATAGATAAATAACATGTTTTGTGATTATTTTATATTGATGAAATAATGATAGGCACACAATGAAAGTATTTCAATACTTGGTTTTTACTTATAACTATTTAATTGTTCCTCGTTATTTACTATAAGCATTTTTGTTACAAGCTCAATTCACTAAAAATGCAAATTTTTTTCATTGTCCACATCGATTTTTGCTAATTATCACTGCATTTGTAAACGTTACCCTATTATAAGTATTACATTTTTTTTTTTTGCAATCCTACATTTAATATATTAGTTATTATCATTATCATTTGAAAGAATTAAAAGTTAAAATTGTTAACATTATATGTATTGTATATTTATTGACCAAAATTTATGTGCGTTGTATACATAAATTTCAAAAGTTGTTGACTGTTTTTCACGTAAAACAATATTGATATGTTATAAATTGTAATGCGATATTGAAATTAGATAATTCTTACCATTATTATGCATCTTTTTATTTATGTACAGATCTGTATTTGTATAGTCAAAGATTTTAAATAAACAATGAAAACAATGTTTTTGTTAAATAATTACACATTATATATGTATATAATAATATTTACTTCTATACATTTAATAGAAATAAAGTTTGTCATTGTACATATACAAAAAAAAAAAAAATCCAGATTGATGGGAATTTAATATTGATACTTTGGTTGAGGGATTTGAGATTTATGTATAATTTAAGACCAGTTTTGAATAACTAATAATAAATTATAACATATGCGCGACGGTTTCGTAAAAGATATTGTAGTGTTATTAATGTCTTTTTTGCTGCCAAAATCGTGTCTTCCGGCAATAATAATACTGAAAAACAATGCATACTTGAATGTGCAATATAATTAAAAATAATAGAGAACATAATGAGTGTATTCCATGTATGATGTTAAAATATTACAAAATATCTTGAATAATTGTTCATTTATTGTCTTGGAATATTAATTCCTTTATTATCTGACTATTGTATTTCTTTTGCCATTGTTAGTTATGTCAATTATTTATTATTACTACTATTAATTTTTGTATTTTTATTATTACAATCTATTATTTATCACTATTGTCACTATTTATTGTATATTATTTATATTATTATTTTTAAACAAAATGATGTACTAAAGGAGATTAAAAACTCACAGTAAAATTATTTTTTGGAGAATTATAATGTTGAAATAAAAGAAACCTAATTATATTATTATATTTAAATACGAGTGTTTTTTTTTTAAAACTTCACAATAATAAGTAAATAGCTTGTGACACGAATTTAATTCATTTAGCTTACTAATATGAAATTACAAAAAAAAAGTACTTGTATAATAACTCACGTTTACATTCCAAAATATTTATTATACTAATAAGATTATATTTTAGTATTCTCTTGTTTTTGCTAAACAAATTTAAGAGGATTGCATGCGGTCTGTTTTTTTGACGTTTTATACCAAAAAGACAACAAAACTTCGTCTACAATATACACGAGTTCTTTAGGAGCTTTATTAGATGATCTAAGAAACAGATTTTTGAATTTTTTGCTTTTTTTATGTACAAATTTAGGTTTAATAATTATTGAAAAAATTGTAAATTTAATTTACTAAATTACAAGAAACTGAAATTTTTAAATAAAAATCGGCTTCTTACATAACATAGTAACAATGTAGTCGAGATTTTATCTGGCTTTTTGGTCTAAAATAAACCAAAATGGCTTTTACATAAAGAAAAAAATATTTTAATTAAAAATAATACCTTGAGGCTTGAAGTTCATACAAATTAGCCGGTAAATTTTGTTAAACCTATTTTCCTTAAATTTTGCTTATACAAAACTTCTTAAAAACAGCCCTTTAATAAAATATTTTTTTTTTATAGACCAATACATTTTTTTTAAATTTGTATTTGAAATATTTTAAACAGTTCTTTTGAATTTATCTCGAGCAAATAGGTAACAACGTTAAAAATAAAACCAGTGATAAATTCCTCTCATTATAATATTAGATTGTGTTATTTTTAATATTTACAATGATTTCTGACCGACTTATTTCTCAAATACAGTATCCTATTTAAATAATTAATTAACTAAACTAAATGCTATGAATTATAAAGAACCATTGGCCTAGACGGCATCTCCCCCCTTATGCTCAAGAATTTTCCTGCTTATGGTTACGATATCCTTCTCTCAATCCTTAATTCTCTTTGGATTAACGCCATTGTCCCTGACTCTTGGCGCCAGTTTAATGTCATTCCTATTCCTAAACACAACTCTATTTCAGCCGCCTTTCGTCCTATTGCTCTTTCGTCGGCATTATGCAAGACTGTGGAACATATAATTAAGAACCGATTGGATTGGTTTATCGAAAAAAACAATTTTCTTCCCAATAATCTTTACGGTTTCCGCAGAGGCTTAGGAACCATGGAGTGCCTTTCCACTCTTACTGGTTCCATCTACAAATCATTTTGTTCAGCAGCTTTTGTTGATATTAAGGGTGCATTCGATTCGGTTCATATACCTATCTTGATTTCTCGCCTACTTTCTATTTCTATTCCACCTTTTCTTTGTAATTTTATTTCCTCTTTGTTTTTTCACCGCTCTCTTACTTTTACTTCTCCTTCAGGTCTGGTTTCTTGCCGCTCCTCTTTTCGCGGACTGCTACAGGGCAGTTGCCTTAGTCCAATTCTTTTTAATATTTATATGAGCAAAATCAGCTCCGCCCTCTCTACTGAAGGCGTCTCAGCACTTTTTTACGCTGATGATATCGTTATTTTCTCATCCCACAAATCTGCCTATACAGCTATTGATTCCCTTAATAATTCTCTCTCTCTTTTATCCAACTTCCTTGTTTCATCATCATTTGATCCCGCGCCTGATAAAAGTCAATTAATGATCTTTACCAGAAAACGCATCCCTCTAGACCTGCCTCCTATTTGTCTCGAGGGACATATCATTCCTCCCTCCGGTAATGTCACCTACTTGGGGCTTAAGTTGGACCCAAAGCTCAGATGGGTACCTCAGCTTAACCATCTACTTTCATTTACCTATCGTTGGGCTAACTTCCTCCGTTGCGTTACAGGCACCTCTTGGGGCTGTCATCCTACTTCTTTACTTCTTATTTATAACTCCGTCATTCGTTCAAAAATAGACTATGGTTCCTTTTTATTTGTCTCTGCTTCTCACACTCATAGAAATAAATTAAACTCCATTCTCGCCTCCTGCCTACGTAGTATCATAGGTGCTTTGAAATCCACTCCCATTTCTAGCTTATTTGTAGAATGCTCCTCCCCCCCTATCGAAATCCGCTGCCGGGATCTCGCTGGTAAGTTTCTACTTAAATCCCTCTCTTCTCCTAACTCCCCAATATATAATCTCTTCACAGATATAAAATCTTCCTGGCGTTACGTTCCCAAATCTCTCCCTATTTTAGCCTCGGTTTGCCACTCTCTCTCTCCTATTGCCGCCCTTGTATATAAATCGCATTCGAGACTACCCTTATATGATTGCCCATTTAATTCCCTCACTCTTAAACCCACCGTTCTCTCCAACACTAGCTTTCTCGGCCTCCACGTTCAAACCCTTCGTTCTCTCCACCCTTCTACAGTCAACAATCTCTTTTCCGATTATATCTCTTCTTCGTTTCCTAATACATGCATAATATACACGGACGGTTCGGTATCAGTCAATTCGGCAGGCTGTTCCTTTTTTATTCCTGCTTTGAATATATCCTTTTCTTCCAAATTACATTCAGTCTCATCTTCCTTTACGGCGGAAAGTCTTGCCATTATCCATGCCCTTACTTACATTTCCTCCGCTCCTAATACGGCTTATTTAATTTGTTCTGATTCTCTTTCATGCCTTCAAGCTATATCATCCTTTCCGTTTAATTCTCATCTTTCCCCTTTTATCCTAATCATCAGGTCATTAATCTCTTCAATCCTCACACAAAATAAATCAGTTATTTTCCATTGGGTCCCAGGTCACGTTGGTATTACGGGTAACGAGGTTGCCGACCTCCTCGCTAATTCCACTTCATCCCACTTATTTCCGACCATCTCCAATACCCCTTCTTCTGACTTCCTCGGCCTTTTCCGTCACACTGTAGCCAAAGCGTGGCAAGTCAAATGGTCCAACGTTAACCTCAGTTCCACCCGCTGGTTCCGTTCTATTTCCCCTTCCATTACCTTTCGTCCTTGGTTCCATAATTTAAATATTCCCAGAAATGTAATATCCTCCTTTTCATGCCTTAGACTTGGTCATAATCTTCTTCCGTCACATGCATTCCATCTATCCCTTAATTCTGCTCCATATTGTCCTCTTCATGATGATGAAGCCATTTGCGACTTCTTTCACCTCCTTACTACCTGTCCGGCTTTGACCAACAAAAGGCTCTCTCTTTTTAATTTCCTCTCTTCCCTTAATATTCAGCCTCCCTTTAACGTTAATTTGTTAAACACCCGTTCCACTCTTGTCATTTTTTCTATCCTTTCCTTTTTGAAGAGCTCCGGCCTTTTAATTTAGTTTAAGATTATATTAACTTCATTTAGTTTTATGCACTTACTTTTTGTTTGTTTTTCATCATTTTATATTTATTATCGAAATCATGTTATTCTGTAACCGCATGTTAATAATGTAACCTAACATTTAGTGTTTAATTGTCGAGCCAAATATTTTATAATAATAAAGGCTATAAAAAAAAAAATAAAGAACCATAATATTAAAACTTGCAAGTTTTATTTTGCCTGTATAATTTGTTTTTTTGTACTCAAAAATTTTAAAAATCTATAGTCCAAAAAATTGTTTGTAGATAAAATTGCTTATAATATGATTATTAACTAATTTTTTGCTTGTATAGTGATCATTAGTTTTTATTTCTGAAGAAATCAACGGCCCCACTAATAATTATTTCTTATTTATGACAATTCAATATTTCAGTATTGCAGCACATTTCCTAATGGAAGCTCTAGTCCGGTCTGTAATGACTAATCTTTGTCAGAAAACAAAAAAAGTATCATTATAATTTATAACTAGATAAATGTACGATTTACACAAGGTGTGGTGTAATTTAATTGCATTGTTTAGAATCCAATTTTTTTGTCGAGGCCCTAGGGTTACCTCTTAGGCAGGGGTTTAATAGTTTTAAAGGTGGGACCTCATCTAAAGCTATTCAAAATCAATATTTTTATACCATCAAGAAACCTAAAAATAAAACGAATAAAACTTTTAAATACCTTAAATTAAAAAAAAACCAGTGGATTGCGCAAACAGGAGATTCTGGGTTTGAAAGTTAAAAAATTAAACACTACACACTACGTCATATTGTATATTTTAAATAAATGTTTATATTATATTGTATTATTAATATTATTTATTTATTTTTCATACTATATATTATGTAAATGTATTACTGGCGAGAAAGCGCTGCCATTAAAAATTATATAAGTAAGTAATCGATTTTTATAATAGCAACAAGTTTTAATTTTAGTAGTAAGGATTATAATGGTTGTTTAAATAAGAGCAAATGCAAAGTGGATTTATAAATGAAGTCTTAGGTGGAAAAATGTGCAAAAGAGATATGATGATTTATTATTTTAAAAACTATTAAGTTATGAACATTTGAAAAAAAACATTACCCCATGAAAACAATTGCCATTTACAATTATGTCAACAAGTTATTACTTTCAATAACCGATGTTTGTGATTTTTGTCACAAATGTAAACTTAAATTAATGTTTAATCTTATCAAAGAAATTTAAAAATGACTATTAAAAAATAAGAACTTGTTAAAACTATTACACTACGTTAACATATTACTAAAAAAAAACTCCAAAGCCTATTAAAGTTAAAAATTCCATGTTTTAAAAAATTGAACATCCATGTTTGCACTTGAATAGCTATATATTAAAAGGAAAATTACATAAATTATGAGTTTTTAAGAGTCTGTATGTTCTATAGAAATAGTAATGACTATATATTATACAAGTAGATACTAATAATGTATTTTCATTGCATGTAGTCATTAGCTAATATCAGAGTTATTACACAGTATTTTAAATTATCTTTAATCTATTGTTCAAAGCCCGTAGAAGAGTTGTTACTTATTTAATACCATGGTACAAACAGAATTGCAAAATCTTTTAATTTTTTTTTCGAAAAATAAAAAAAATTTAATTATTGATTTTTTTGTTTGTGCAATTCAACAAAAGTTTTTTTTCCTACCTAGGTTCTAAAATATAAATCCACTTTATGTGTATATTTTTATTTTACAAAAAAGATGTCCAGTAGGCGACATTAAGAAGGAAAAAGGAAAATGGAAAAAAGAACCGGGAAAACTTGTCAATGTACAGGGCGATGGCACGGCCGTTGCAGAATGTGGGGTATTGTGGTGTTGCAGCTACGGCTGAAACGTTTTTCATAGCATTTCGGCTCTTCGGGTCCAACTCCTGTGAAAAAGAATATAACACGTTAAATCTTTTCTCAATTTCATTAATTATCTAGTTCATGTACTAATTATGGGTTCTTAAGAGAATTATTAGGTTCCATATTGTTGTAGATACCTAGGGTTAAAGAAACAATTTAGGGTGGTGTGGGGGGGGGGGGTATAAAAATATACCTTAATGTACAAGTGTAATAAAATATAACATAACAGGGAACTCTTTGGAGTTATAGGTGATATCTTCGCGGACCCTAGTAATGTTGAGCACTCCACGGTGTCGTAGGGCTACCATCATACTTGTAAAAAAAAATCGGTGAACTTGATATACCTCGGTGAAAGTGGAGCTTCAGCATTTTGCGACTGGAACTTGGAAAGGGATATCGAAATTTAAACGAAACATACACAAGTTTGTATACAATTGTTGACATCTATATTATATTATAAAACCGACGAGAACTTAGTCAAACTTCTTCTTTTCTAACGGTTTCAAAATGTTTCCTATGATTATTTCACATACACCTACATATTTTTCCTTAAATATGGTTTTACAATTTTTTTTAAAGGTAATGATGCCCTCTTGGTTTCATTAGAAAAATTCGTAAAGGTCATAAAAATGTAAAAAATGTGTATCCGTTGATAGAACAAATTAAAATTTTTCTATTAGTTCGTCAAAAAGTGACAAAAAATGGACTCGCAGCCATTTTTGAAATGGCTGCTAAATCAAATTACAGAATTACCAGAAGGGAAACCTAGACCGGGAATGATAAGTGTCCAACATTTTGTTTTGGCGAATTACTTACAATTATCACGGTTTTTCATGGGTCATTGTCGCGAGAACAATATGGTAGCCGGTCTTTTACAGCGGCTCATAAAAACCCGTGTATTTCTTTTTAAAGGTTCCCTCCTGGCTATTCTGTGATCAAATCCTTTTAAATATTGCTAATATTTTGGGCCTCGATAAATAGCATTTTTCGTTTCCCTTAATTTAAATTCAATAATATTATGGAAAACATTTTAGGGCCGTACACTGAGTTCATCTCCACCGCGAACGTCGTCATCTGAATAACCTTTCATAACTTTGGTAGCCACAGGTCCCATGTAGTTGTTGACCACAGCAAACTCCATCAGAGAGAGGAACACGAAAATCGAGCATGACGACATCCAAATGTCGATGGCCTTTACGTAGGATACTGGAGGCAGGGACTGCTGTGATTGGGTGTTTTGGGTGGCTGTAAAAACCAAAAACAGCTGTGATTAGCATACACATCCCTGTAAATTGTTCAAACGACCTTAGGGATAGCCGCAACCGTACCTAGAGTCAGCAGTGAGGTAACGCCCAGCGTGACTCTGGCCGGTATGGCCTCCGGTTTAATCCAAAACGAAATCCATGACATGACCACAATCAAAGCAGATGGTATATAAGTGTGGAACAAATGATATCCCAAACGTCTTCGCAAGTTGAACACGACGGCTAAGCAAGTAAAATTTCCTGCAAACGCCATCGTTTATAAGTATATATATTATATATTTTGTATTTTCATAGTCTTTCTTTAAACAAAAATATACAGCTCAACAATATTATTATAGAATAATAGCATAAAACAACAATATTGCTATAAAATAAAAATGAAAAGAAAATACAATATTTTAAATCGTAAGACTCGCGCTCAGAAAGAAGGATAAAAACGAGTGAGTAACAGGGATGGGTTGAGAGTTAAGAACAGAATCTGGAGAGGACGTGAGGATACTGTAAAGGGCTAGAAAACTAATTAAAGTGGTTCTATTAGTAGATAGGTTAGAACACTTTAGGAGGTAATGGGAAAAGTCACCAACCATTTCCTCCTCATAAAGGGAGCAGAAAGGAGAGGAGTTAAGAGATAATAGATAAGCGTGAGCTGGCAGAAGATTGTGGTCGAACCTAAAGCGGCAGAACATACTAATTGTTTTTTTATGTTATATATTTAAGTTATAAAACTATGTGTGTGAAGATACAGTAGGATAGATAAATCGGTGTCATTTAGCAAAATTAAGTTTGAAAAACTTAATAAAAAGAACATAGATAGTCTTTAAAAGGGATAGAATATATTAAAGAATATAAGGAGGTAGATGAAGATGTGGCAAGGATAAATAAGTAGATGGCTAAATAGTTTTGTACGAAAAAAGTATATTATTATTAAATAGTATTTAAAATTATAGTGAAAGTGTATTGAGTATTTAGAGCTTCTATGATTGAATAATACTTAAGATATTATTTCTAAATGTATAGCAGCTGTTAAGACATAAAAAGTTAGACGGTGTTATGCATAGATGATTGTGCTGCATAAACATATATGTTATGGAATGGTTGCCTATTAATTTAATTGATTATACTCGTCATTAATTAGTAATTACAAACATGTTGTAACTTGTAGGTAATACTTGTTTAAATATATTTTATTAGTTGGAACTCAGATTATAACAAATATCAATACAAAAAATATGAAGCTTATGTTAATTTACTAAATGACTTACAGATCATTTAGCTTAGACCATTTTTGAAATCTGATTTTCAACAAATTTTTTAAATTTGCTCTTGTGTAGAAAATCTCCTTTTGTATAATATAGATACACTTAAATTTTAATTTTAATTAAGCTGTCAGTGATAAATTGAATACAATTACTCAAAATCGGAGATCAAAATAGCTTTTATAAATGCTTCTGAGATGTTATTAACAGAATAGAGTTTACCTGTCGAATACTGTATTGTGCAATCGGATGTGACATTATTTGATATGTCCAGTTGTGGCAGCTCAATTTCCGGATTTACCACCAACGGGTCCGTCATGTTCCATATAAATACCAAATCGTGAGTTGTGTGAGACACTGTAAAACATTAAAAAAAAAAACAAATTACTCATTGTATTTTATGTTTTGTTAAGTACTCACGGCTTTCGATCATCATAGTACAGATTTGGGTGTCGTGCGGATACGATTCAAATTTCATGGCGCACGATAAGACCAGAGTCAACCTATCAAAAAATACTCATTCAAATATGCGTGTGCTTATCGGAATTTATAAAAAAGGAGAAAGACATGGAATATTTTTGTAATAGAAGTATGACAAAACTTAAGGTAGCGAGAATAGTATACAAGGAATTTAAAGAAACTATGACGTGCTGAATAATACATGACAAAAAAACAAGATGTGTAATATTGAACGGTGAATATTTTTTAGAATGAAGGAAATTTGTATAAAATTAGAGGTATATAGGTATACAGTATACAATGAAATTGAGTATCGACTAAAATTGCAGTACCGGAAATGATAATTCTATGACAAACGAACAGACTATTAAAGATGCATAATTAGTTTGCAAGTTGAGTAAATTGTAAGAAAAATAATAGAGAAGTGAAAATGAAACAATGAAAAATGTGAAATGGTCTATATTGTTGGATTCTAAGCAAGTCGTATGCGTATTGTGAATTAGGATAAGGTGTCATGAAATTTGGTTTTGCTTGTGTGGGCAAAGATAGTTATTATGGTTGATAGAAAAAGCTAAAAAAAAGAAACATTTTTCATTATTTTTACTAATTTATTAATAGAATTAGTCAACACGTGACGTATATTATTTTAAACTTTATAAGAAAAATAATAACGCGTACTTGGACATGTACAGCAGAGTCTTGTCGTGGTACAACCAGAGGTAGTGGTTGGGTATGCTCATTTCGTGAAAAGTGACTTTCTTCGCGTTCTTAAAGAAACAGTCGGGTCGCCATATCTGGTGCAGCCAGTCCACGTCCAATATCCGATACTCTTCGCTCATGTTCTCCGGCATTCTGAGCCGTGGATCCCGCCAGCTCTGGGCCAAAAATATGTCGGCCACGTACGTCTAAAACAAGAAGAACAAGTTAATCAAAGAAAAGAATATGTCCGTTAGAGAAGTGAATAATTATTTAAGACGCTCGCCATTGATTCCTCGTTGATAGAGTCCAGCGATAGCACCGTTACGTGAAAGTAAACGATAGTCGGCTGGCCCTGCACTTTAGGCGCACGGTTCTTGTCGTAATTTTTAGGGTTGACCGGCAGGATATCGTTTAGCGATAAACTCGTTTCGAATACGGGATTTTCCGTCTCCGCCACATCCTTTGGTTCACTGAAAAAAAAAATCGAAAAGTTTCAAATAAGAAAACAGGACACAATACAAACATGGCTGGCGAACTAAGTTTAATTGCTTATAGAGCGTGAGGAATGGATTGTTATGTTTTTTACGGCTGCTATTCAAAGGAAGGAATGTATTCGGGCTTGGTTATTGACTATAGTAATGTATTCTAAATTAATACCTAATCAATAAATATGCACACATATATGATCAGTGCGGTGTAGGAAAATTACAATGGTATAGCACCAACGCTTAATGATTGTTTTGCGAGGGCACGGCCTAGGTACCTCAAGGCGGATAGCGGCGAGTCCTTGTCCAGTTTGTAGTAAAGGTTGTGCCGCCGATCTCGGACGCAAAGCCTCCATGTAAGATATTCGATTTGCTTTTCTGTGGACTGCGCGTACAAGGCACTGGATAATGGCGGCAGCGCGGGCACCGGTATCCAGTCGGGATCGTAAACTCCGGGCCACACGTTTGCCGGCTCTAGTTGCTCCAGCACCGGCGTCAGACTGGTCAACAATGAGCATCGTTGTATACCAATTTCCCCGCAATGTTTATTCATTGTCTTGCTTAAGTACCGAATGTCTGTGTATAAAGACACGTTGCCTAAATTATCGGCTACCACATCTAAGATGCGGATGTCCGGCCGCCAACCGGTGCCCACCTGGACGACCACAAAATCATTTAACGGAAGTTCCCCCACCACTGCCGTAGACATCCGCAACTTGGCATCCAGGTCGCTGAGGTCCTGCGCTTGTACGGCCATCGAGCACTGTCCAATGTACTCTTGGTGTACTTGTCCGGTGACGAGTAATAAGTGTTTGTGTAACAGTGGTTTCTGTACGACGGCCCTCTGTGACTTATGAACGTCTACAGTGGGAAATCCAAGGCCCACTATCGACGGAGAAGTCGTGACAGTCGACAAGGAAGTTGGTGGTTCTTCGCAACCTTCCGGGTCCAAGTGTGGCTGGTACTTGTACATGGGATCACTGGAGCGTTTATGGTGATGCACCGAATACCGTGGGACGCGTTTTCTCCTGTAACGCGCAACGCAATGGATTCACTGCTATATTTCTTTCCATGATACTTTTGGGATGAAGCGGGTCACCCTACTTACCAGAGTCGTAATTGAGAAAACTTAATTCCCCCAATCCCTAATTGGATTTTTCGGTAAATTTCGGATTTTTAAATCGCACTTTTGGACTTTTTAATTAATATTTTGTATTCATAATTTTTAACTAACCATAGTTACAACAATAACTTAATAAATCATAAAGTTTAATGATGTATATGTAAGGAAAACAATGTTGGATTTTTTTTTTCTGATTTTTAAAAGTTCTAGTTTTAGGTAGTATAATAAAGGTTGGTACCACTAGTGAGGCGGACGTGGAACATTACATCTTGTTAAAATTAATCTTAAAAAGCGATTTTGTAAAGATTCTAGGTCTAGTGAAAGACCATCTGTGTATGGTCACCATAATATAGAATTATAATCAAGTATTGTACAAACAAAACAACAGTAAAAAGTTTTGAGAGCAAATGTAATCTTTTAAATTATGATATTTACATTTAGCTATATTCAAATCTAACTTGTTTTTGGTACATTAATGACCTAATAAATAAAAATATAGTTCTGGTTTTTGTTTTGTATGTTGCTTATAACTTCAGCAGCAATTTATCAGTTTTAAGATTCAGCGAAAAAAATGCAATACTATTTAAACATTTTTTTTTAAATAGGGTAAATTTTGGAATGGGGAAGTAGGATGAAGTAGGAGAAGCGTCAGGTGTTTTGTGTGGCAGGAGGATGCCTATAATATTGAAAGGTAAATTGTATAGGACAGTGGTAAGATTAGCAATGTTATATGGGTCGGAATGTTGAGCAGTAGACAAAAAAACTGAACAGAGAATGAGTGTAGCGGAGATGAGATTGCTAAGATGGATGAGTGGAGTGACTAGGGAGGATAGATTGGGCGTGTGAGGCGTAGATGAATAAGAAGAAGATTTATTTATAAATTTTGTTTTAAATCAAAGACCAAATTTTATCATACAAAAAACAATTAAATTTAATCGGTTCAGTGGTTAAAAAATGTATGATACATTAATACTTTTGTTCACACACAGACAATAAAAACACAACAGTGTAAAATCAATACCTACCGTTTCACTATGCATCAAAACCTATAGCATCAATTTAAACCTGACCTAAATTTGTTTATTAGTTGTTTAACAATAATACCAATTATAGTATCTATTATCATAAACAAAAAATTGAAAACATTATCAAACCAAAATTCACATTACATTTTGTTATAAGTACAACAAATATTGAGTAAAATTATAAATATTATGATATCGCAGTAACTTAATTCATTTTAAACTTGTGAAAAAAAACTATATTTAAAGTTCTTAGGCTTTTTAGAACAATAATAAATATTGTACCTAGAACGAGTTGACTATTTTTTTAAAAGTTCTAAATCAGTTAAGCTGTCAGAAAACCTACCATAATATTAATTATTTAAATTTTTAATTAATATTATTTTATATATATATAAATTTATTTTTGTCGTAAATAAAAAATAATATAAATTTTGGCTTGGTAACTTTTTCAAACCCTGATTATAATTAAATTTAATCAATTAATAAATAACCCTTAATATGATAACTAAATAGCATTATTTTTTCTTAAAAAATTAATTTTTTAATTGAGTACCTAATAGTTTTGAGATTATTATGTTTTAAATAATATAAAAACTAAAGGCGTCATATTGTATTTTCCATTGAGAACTCATTGAGACTCAATAACCTAATTGGAAACTTCTGTCGGGAAGCACAATAACATTACCTCGAGCTACAAACTTTGATCTAATCTTTTACTTTTTGGCGAGAACTAACAATTTAGTTTTCTAAAGTAACAACTGTGACGTTAATAAGTAATCACTATTTGAACAATATAATTAGTATATGCCAATAAAATCATTACGAAAATTCCAGTTAGAAAAGTATCAGTCTCGATTAGAATATTGAGAACTCTAAGGTACAGAAATTGTTTTAGCTTCATTGCAAAAATCATATGGACAACTTTAGGTATATTTACATTTACAAGTTGCTGAAAATATTGATTACTGTCTATAATATGGTTTGAATTAAAGCCTAGAGGATGTTAACTTTCGTTAAAATTGATAATAAATACTACCGTGTATATATACATAACGATCATTTTTGTGAGTGACATGGTTTAAGCGTCGACAAAAGCTATCGCGCCAGCTTATATAATTAAAAAATTACCATAAATTAATTAGTTCAAGATTGCAAAGCCGGTGTATTAAATAATATGGTTCATATTGATATCCATTTTATATAATTATCTTATAAACTAATGCTACTTCTTACAGTGTATCCGAGATATTATTTAAAAAAAAAATTGATATAGAAAGAATAAGATTTTTGAATTTTAACATTTTGAACTGGGATATATAATACATATGTTTATTGATTTAACAAAATAATTGATCAAACTATAATGGGCCTCATTAAGCAAGTTCTTGGTCCATGAAGTCTTCTCTTTTACAATCGCAAATTCTAATAAACTAGAACACATTTCTTAAAATGATTAGTATTACAGAAATTAAAATACACAAAAAATGATAATATAAATACATATTGCACTATGAAGAATAGTTTAAAAATTATAACAAAATAGGCGTTTATTCTGCAGCTTGTTGCATGAAGCAATTAGTTAAATTGATTTTAAATACACTGTTATTTGAGAAATTATGTATTTCTTCAAAAAAGGCTAATTCAAAATACTTGGACAAAAATGGGTAAAAAGACTGCATGAATGTACTTTAGGGGTAATAATATTATTTAGTATACATCTGGTGTGGGCTATTGGTTTTGCTAGGGTATTCTTTTATAAAAACATGGTATGGTAAAATATGGTATTAAATATAAAACTAAAAGCATTAAAAACATTAGGTTTCATTAGCAGAAATTGTTATAATTTTTCAAATTTAATGTGCATTAGAACTCTGTATATTTGTTTAGTTCGTACAATTTTAGAATATGCCTCCATATTGTGGAATCCAGTCCAAAGCGGACTTACTAATGACTTAGAACGTGTCCAAGACTGTTTTTTGCGAACAGTAAGCTTTAAATTTAATATGCAAACTGAACATAGAAATTCAGTTCTGCATTTATTAAATCTCGATATGCTCACATATAGACGTAAGATAAATGATTTAATTTTTATACACAAGTTGCTTAATAATGTTATCGATAGTCCTGAACTCCTAAGTAAATTGTTATTCCATATTCCTTCCTACAACTCTCGCCTACATCCAACTTTTCATGTTAGTTTCCACCGCCAAAGTTATAGTTTTTTCACCCCTATTAACCGCATTTGTATTGCCTCTAATAACTAACCTCCCGCTTTTGATGTCTTTCATGACTCCCTTCTTGAATTAAAATTGGCTCTTACTCACATCTGATTTAGGCTCATTTATACTTAATCGTCCAATTTTTGTCATATTTATATATTTTGTTTGTTATCGTTGTTATCAATATGTTTTTCTTTATTGATACTGTTTATAATTTATAATTATTAATCTGTGATCTACTTACTTGAATGTTACACTTATGCCTTCGGGGCGTTAAATATATATTATTATTATTATAGTATTCTTTTATAGTTTTAAAGTTACAGCAGCTTTGTAAAAAGTTTTTTAACTGATGGCACATTAAATTAATCATACAGGTTCTTGGGTCAGTAATCGCGGTTTTTATTATAGATTAATCACAAAATATTGTTTTGGGCACTTATACCATAAGTAAGTGAGAATTCGATCAGTGCTTGCTACACCATTTTAATTTGGTTATTGCTTTAAAAAGGCTTTAGCTCCTTAAGGTATGCGAATAAGTTTTTTTTATTGTTGTTACTTATTCATTAAAATGTTCTACTCATTTTAAATAACAGCTTATTTCTATACTTAAGTATTTGCAGGAAAATTAATTTATAATTTATTATTACAGGAGCATGAGTTTATGTTAATGCATTTAGCCAAATGTAACAAATTTAGTCTATGTTTAAAAAATCATTATTGCGGTAAAATAATTGTTTTTTCGATATTTAAAAATAAGCTATTGTACAATAGCCACAGGGTAATAGGTTTAATATTAGACTAGATTTTTTGAAAAACTTCTTTTCAAGTGTCGCCACTTACAACTTGGACAGTATCATCGGTAAAACAAACTAGTTATTCATTTAGAGCCAGTTAATGTCATTTATTTGTGTGTTAAATAGCAGGTGAAATAATGCAGTAACTAGTGGAACTCCACACAATTAATTTAAATTGTTTAAAATATATAAATATATATTATTAAATTTACAAAATATTGTAAAATATTTTACGAATATTCAGTTCATTTGCTATAAAATATTAAACGTTTTACTCCATTAAGTATAAAATTAAATTGTATTGTTCGGTTCGTGTTTATTGAGGAAAGTGAAAAAGAAATTCTCTAGTTTATGGTTGAAGGTTAAAAAATCAATAGGTTATGAAGAAAACACGGGTTAAAGATAAACGGGTTATTGTTAGTCCAAATAGTAGTGCTAATGAATGACGGGATCAAGATGATGATAATAATACGATTTTTCTATTTATCAAAGTAATTAAATACAAAACGAAAAAAACATTTAAATTCATATTCGTTGTGCATATATTAGTAGTATTAACTATTATCCTTCATGAAAGGAGTCATAATTTTATTTTACCTCGAATACACTGCAAATTTAATGTAATAGGCACCAAAAGAGTTCAAGACATTTTTTTCAAATACGAGTGTCTAAATTATATATGCTGATAAAATATCTTTACTAGGAGTGTAGGAGTTATTCAAATTTTAAACAATTTATCAACGAATTGAATTGAATTATTTAATTTCAAAATACGCTTATATGTTAAAAAAATTAATGATTTAAAACAGCGAATAATTAATATTATTTATTCAATTAAATTTACGATTTTTATTTAAGAATATTGAATACAATGAATAATTAAAATAATCCAATTTTTGGTTTTTCCAATACACAATTTGAAATCAAACCCATATATCTTAGTATGTATGTTTTGAGACTTCTGAATATCTCTTGTCTTTGCAAACCTGCCTTTTTTAATCAGGTCCCATAGGAATAATTAGTACATTATATTAAAATACATATGTTGAGGTTTGTGTAAAAAAAAATCAAACCTCTACGAGGCTTAAATTTGACGTCTTATTTAGGGTAAATTTAATACGTTTTAGTTATTAATTTAACTTTCATTATAAATATTATATTGAAATTATGCCTTCTTAAGTCCAACATAGGCTCGTCCAACTTCAACATTGAATAGATAAATAATAAATACCAAATAATATAATGACTCTATTCATGATTTAATATGTATTCACAAATCATTCAATAATGATTATTATTAAAGAATTATTCATTATTCATCCGACCAAATCAACGAGTTATTCGTGAATAATCAAATTATTCGAGTTATTCAAAAAATTAATTATTCAATTCAATTCATCATTATTCGGGTACATCTAATTTTTAATTTCATGTATGGATTTTCGATATATACAAAAAAAATTGTAATTAAAATAAATAATGAACGAGCGCATTAAAAATGATAATTGTCTTTTTGTACTCGAGTAAAATAAAAATCACTTGTATTCTTTTGGTTCTCCTCAGTTAATTTAAGTAACACATTACGGTATTGTACTTACTGTGAATTCAACGCGGTCTGCTCGTCGACAAGAAAAACGCAAAAGCTGAAGACGACCCACAAGTTCGTCATTTGTCCGGCTGCAAGTCGAGTGTGTACCGGAAACAAAACAGGTTTTTATATCATTAGCAAACGACTAACTTCATATAGTTTCATCCATTAAATAATTATTTTTGTTATTATAAAATAGGAGGCAGAGATTGTCGAGAACCTGCGGCTGTGGCGACTGCACGCTGATGAGTATGAACCTAACCGGCGCGGTCTGCATAGAAGAGTAATTAACGGTGATGTGCAGCAAAGGTACATATACGCAAGGGATGATATCGAAGCGCTTTAGGGGTGGTGCGTATAATATAGGCCGGATTTAACAGGTGAACAGGCCACCGTATCATAGTAACAAACGTCAAAAACCTTTTAATAATACAAAATATTTACCCCGATAACATGTGGACGGGTGTGTGTCAATATTTATCATCTGTCTGTGTTGAGAAAACACCGGAAGTTATAGTTAGTGTTATTGGAATAATGTTTTGGAAAAATTAAAGCAATTCGCTAATTACTAAAATACTTTATTAGTAAAAGAGACGAGAATCAAAAGGGGAAAAGTGACATTTTTTTCAAAACAAGTTATTAATTATACAATATTTGTTAATAAAACCGGTTTTTATCTAATTTTGTTTTAGAATTTTTTGAAACAGGTATAAGAAAATTAATGAAAATAGAGGGTAAAAATCATTTTTTTTTTTTTAGGTCTCTTGTACATTATTTTTAAAATTAATCGTATACTTTTGGTTCTCACCATTTAAGTTCATCGACAATCGCATTTTATTGAAAATACTAACAATTTTTCTACTTAATCATAATACAAATATAGAAATTCGTTAAGTTTGAGCCGACAGAAGACAATTTATTTAAAAAAACTGCACAGTGTTAATGTCTAAATTCTTAGGGAAAAATTATATGATGTGATTCTGTCAAGAAAAGCGTTTTCTCTCGTTTTTTTTTAATCAAAGTACTTTAAGTTTAGTCATGAATCCTGAATTCTATAAATGTATTCAGAGCGACATTTCAACCACAGTGCTTTAAAACAGAAGAACAACTATTGAACATTCTGACAAAGTCATTTGCAAACCAAATTTAAGAAATTATGGTCAGCAAGGGAGTCATGAGAGAAGCTGGACCGATAAAAATTAGTCATTAGAGGGGTTATTGTGAAATGTTATGTTGAAATGTGTGTGTTAAAATTAACTATGTATTATTTATATTGTATTGTTTAACAAGTCTATAAATTATAAGCAAGCATTCTCTTCATGGTATAATTTATATAATCCTATATATTGCCATAATAAGCATAATAATAATAGTGGTGTGCTTTTTAAATTAACCAATAAAACGTGTTTAAACTTATGTAATGTCGAAAGTGATTATTATTCATTATACGACTATGTATAGGTAGATGTTTACTATAGGGATCGGCAATTAACTTGATTCATGTTCGTTAACTGATTAACAAGTCAATTTAGTTGCTCAGGATACTTAAAGGACGCCACAGCACCTGTGTGTGTATTAAGGAGTAAATCATAGGTAATTTTTCGCAAAATCTTAATTTAGGGCTTAAATTATTGTGTATTGCTTTACTAATATTAATTCATATGCAATTAGTTTCAATCAATTTTTCCAACAAACCCGAGTTCAACTTATAATCTTCAAACTGTATATTATTTATTTTTCTACGTTTATTATCTTATCTCTATACTATCGACTTAGTAGTATTTGAAATAGAAAAGTACTATTTTGTTCCAAAAATTGTTTAGGGTGACATGACGTCCTATAATGTATTTTGGTTATTATTTTAACCTTGATGTAAATGTATTATTTTTCTAATTAACAATCTTGTCGGCCTTTCTATTTTATACTTTAATAGTCCTGTACTGCATCGTTTTGTAGACATTTTATAATATAGGGACCTACGCAATCTATAGTCAAACTTTTAATAGGCGCTTTAACGAGGCGTTGAAGTTTGTAGAAACTTTCAAAGGGCTTCGCCGTTGTTACACAATGTTACTATTTTATTTTGGTATTACATAATAAACTGATATTTACATTAAAGTGTATAATATTACATCGGCGAGGCAAAATCGAAACATATGTTCATTTTTAAGCGTTTATTAAGAAAACTACTCTACCAGGTTGACGGGTCTATACAATTAAACGCTTTGTTTAAATTTATTTGGCTAGAGTTTAATCAAGCGATGAAATCTGACGCGATAATAATATATCAAAGAGGTGTGCTGTACAAACAAACTAGAAAATAAATTAAATTATTATACTGAGGTACAGCTTATTGATTTTTATGAAACTACTGAAGTACTATTATCCGATTTAGTGAACATAAGAATATCTTGATACCGACTGCCGAGAAAATAACATTTACCGAGTCCAGTAGCAGAAATAGTATTATAATGCTTAATGATAAAATAGAAACTTGATTGAATAATATTATTTAATTATACGAGTATAATAAGGTTTAAACTCTTTATTACAAATTTAGCTAAACTATAGCGTATTAATACGATCACCAACAAAGTTAATATCTTCTGAAGGGAAATACACTATACATATTTATATTTAATATTAGATCAGCACAACTGAGGACAATCTACACGATTGTTGTTTAAAGTAACGGAAGAAGCCAAATTTTGTACAAATAAAGAATAAGCCCCGTGACTAGTCTAAATTGCTTTCTAAAGTCTCTATCAAGCCGATTTCAAATGTATTAAAACGACCCGTTCAGTTATATTTATAATTATTAGTGAGAAACGTTATAGTTAATTTTGGAAAATAATATCATGATGTATACATTTTGAATAAAATGTATACATATTCTTTCTAAAGTAGGTTATTTAATAAGCAGTAGTAACATAGTTAGTAAAAGAGCACTGTGTCGTAGATCTGAAGAGTATAAAAATTAAATAAAAAATTAAATATAGATTATATAAATATAAGAACACAAATAAATAAATATGAATTTTAAACATTACTTAAAGTTTTCATTAAAGCTATAACTACATCTGTACACTGTTTTAAAATATCGTTTTCTGTCTTCAGAATAATTCAATAATTGGATAAGGTCTTCAATAAAATAGTGCTCATTAGGTCAAAAGAAGTGGGAAATGTATACGGTAACCAGCACTGTAACCTTATCGGTCTTTAAACGTTGTCGGTATATAATTAAAAATCGTTACTACGGTCGTGTCTACCAATGCTATACACTGGGGTTGTATATGAGTATCAGGAGAACGTATTATTACATAAACACAGCACCATTTTAGTAGCAAAATGTCTAACTAAATAAATGGCTCATGGCTGTGTTTTTCAAACTAGCATACTTTAACCAAATATAATCGGCTAAAAAAAGCTAATGATAACTATTTTGATATATAAGCCATTTTGTCTCTTTTCACACAAAAAAGAAATATTATAATACCTATTTAATTTCAATTTTTAAACAATTTGGCGAAAAAATCTATAATACATCGAGGCAACGTCTCGTGTCTATGAATATATTTTTAAAAAATGTAGAAATTATATTTATTAATATACTATTAAGCTAACTATATTTTATAAATACAAATGATATTAACTATCAATGCATAACAGATATTTGAATAGAGAAGAGAATAGTTTTTAGTACAAAATTAGTAAATATTAGGCTAGGTTGTTACAAGATTCGTCATTCAAGTAAGTGGTGCACTGTTAACAAAATGTTCCTTCGACTGGCGAAAAATAAAAACTGATAAGTCTGATGCTACTAGGACTCCGATGCTGAGCTGTTTCAATAGTATATTGGCCATCAAACAGTCCTTAAATAAACCGTTTACCGAAGTTCTTATGTTATTAATGGTAATAATTATTGTTCTAACCATTTGAGTCTAAAAATACCATCGACGGACCTGTACTCATGAGCTGAGCGTGCAATGTTTAAACGGTAACAGGCAAAACATAAAAATATATTCTGAACCAGATTAAGCCTTCTTGTATCGCAAACATTGTACGATAACAAATCCACAAAAACCATACTATAAGACTGATCAGTGTGGACCAAGACATTATAGAGCAGCAGGACATACAGGAAAACTAAAATTAGACGAGCATCGTCTAATGAACCCAAAACTAACATAAACTAAATCTGAAACTCTAGTGAGGCAACATCAAGCAGACCCAAATCTTACACTTGCATTACACAAGAGGCAACCAGTTAAACCAATAACGTGCCTCAACATTTCTCGTATATGATAGAATGACTGAGTTTTGCATTTATCGGTACTGAGAGATATCCCGACGGTATTACACCATGTTGCAAATTGATGTATAATACTTTAAAGAATTATACCAACGATTCTCAACCAAGGGGGTCCGCGACCCCCAAGGGAGGCATACAACATTTTATGAGATCATTAGACCATCATCATAAAGTGATATAGGATAAACAAATCTCAGCATCGTCGGGAAAAAGCAGTATTCTATACGGAAAAACTACTGAGTACTATACAGCCAATATCACGACGTTATAACATACCTAAGCAGAATGCGTTTTACTCGCTCCATAATGGTTATAGAAAAATACTACCTATAATAAAAACGAAGGATGACAAGATTATGGAGACAATGTCATATCTTTTTATCGATAAACTGAATATTTCACATTTAAAATCACATTTTTTTACTTTTTTCAAATACTTATAACTTTTTTCGAGTTGTTATTTTCCAAACCAGGTATGATTTTGTCTCCAAAATGTTGTTATCTTTTGATTTCATAATAGGTGTTTTTGCTCTAAGAAAACTATGGGCTAATAAAACACATTCTGTGTAACTATGTTTAGATGAAAAAAATTGAAAATCGCTGACAAAAAATAAATTAACTACCGAATATAGTTCTAATTACTAAAGTTATAATTAAACATTATAGTTTACGTAAGCTTTAAATTAAGATTTTGCAAAAATTGTCTATATCTTACTTCTTAATAAATAGGGGCTATCACGTCCTCTTAAATTACAGAGGTCCCAGAATACACGAAATTGACTAGACATTTTTCAATAAACTTTATATGACCTTCATATGACCTTTTGCGTTTAGAAAAATAAGTCTTTAGAACTATTGGCATAGTATTTTTTTCCATACTAATATATGAATATCCATATACGTTATCTCATTCAAGCATTTATGCATAATATGGACTCATTGGTTGATATTTTTTAGCTTACATTTCAAGTGACATCTAAATAAGCAGAGCTCGTGGGTGTGTGGTGGCTACCATCGCTTTTATTTTACTGTGTGAGACAAACTATACAAGTAACCAATTTTTAAAAATTAAAATCCATTGATAACCTATGTGTTATTACTTATTACTTACTATAAAATAGCAATTATTATTTGTACATTTAAATAACGCTTCAAACGTACCTATCGAGATATTTTTAAGATATGCACTAAATAAACAACTAACCTATATCATTTTGATCGGCCAAACGTTTCAGTTGGATTTCTTCTTAAACGCCAAACAACACTGATTTCCATTAGGTATACGCAAGCTTAATAATAATAAAAACACAGCTTAAACACTGATTCGTCGACATGGGCAGTGACCGACTTCGTGGGCTGTAGAATACTGTACATGAAGTTATATTTTCCCTTACAATATTATTTTCAAAGGGTCACCCTTTTGCAGGTGTAATAGAATAACACCCAAGCGTTGGTCGTAATAGGATTCCCTAAGCCGATTCCTTTGCGTACGCTCTAGTAAACATAAATACACAATTTAGATTACTGCGAATTACCATATATAGCTGTATAATAGTATAATACCGCAATTTTATTCATTATCCGACCGTTCACTAAGGATGCAAAACACACCACTAAAACCTAAATAATCAACCAGCGAAAGCCTTTGCACTGTAATAATTAACAGCTCTAAAACAAAGTGTTCGAGTATAAACACATTTTTTAGCTGCGTTTAATACCATTTGCTATGTTATTGATCTATGTTGTTCTACTGTTTTTAATACTTAACGCTTTCGAACCAAACACCAGCTTCTAGACAAACATTCATTTCAAAATTAGGTTCCTAACTTTTTAAGTAAAGAAAAACAAAACTATTGATTTACATATTTCATAAGTATATCTTCTATATAAAATTACAACGAAGTCATTTGAGTTATATGTTTTATTTTAGATAAATTATTAAATAGTCATTGTACATATTCGAAAATATTTTTTGAAATGTAGTGCTTGTTTGTGATTTACGTGTTACATGCTGGACATGTTTTTTTTGACTTTGAAGGACTTTTGAACTTATAATAACAATATCCAAGAAACAGACTTCCGTAGGTAGCGGCAACAATCTAAAAAACAATTATTCATTAGGTAGATTATAATTATTTTAAACACAAAACTTAGGCTTTTTAACGAAAGGGGTTGTTTAACATTTAATTTAGGCTCCAAAGAAAAATCAACTGAAATTTCGAAACCAATAAATAGTATATAGCAATTTTAAAAAGTATACATTTTTATTTTTAAATGCGTTGTGGTTGTATTTCTAGTTAAATTTCGTTTACTTTTTATCATATTATTCTTGAGTAAATATTTAAAAATTCTTGTGTTATGAGTTTTTTCTTAGAACAAGGGAGCAATCGTCATTTGCCCTACGACACCTCTTATCCCTGTCAATATTTATGTTGAAGTCAGGTCTGACTATATTTTTGAAGACATCAAAATTTAATTTATAAAATTAACCTTTTACAAATGTTCTGCCAAAGTAGCATTTCACATATTCGACACCGATTAATTCATAATTACTATTACGTAAAAACAGAATTATAAAAAAAAAAATATATACGAGGTGCATTAGATTTAATGTTATTAAATTTAGCTATATACAGAATTTGCAATACGTTTATAAAAGCCTCAAGATATTAATTTTGCAAAAAAAAAGATCGATTTTAACATGTAATTACTAACTATCTGATATCACGAGAAAAATATAACAAGGGATATTTTGTTATCTTTTATAAAAAGTGTTATTAAAATAGTACATTAATTAAATACAAATTTTAGAAGTACTCACGTTAACACGCCCTCTAGTTGTAATAGTATTGAAGTATCTATGTATGCCTCTCAACTTGGCAATTTCAGCGGGATCACCTTCTTCAGCCATATTAAAATTATTTTAATTAATTAAAAGTTATTTATAATCGATTAATATTATAGCAATAATGATTAAAGAATTTGTTGGTTCAGTTACTACAGAGACTGCGGCATCGTAAAACTCGATTTATTATGAACCAATATTATTAATATTATTTTTAAAATCATATTATAGCACTGAAAAATGCAATTTAATATTTCCTTAAAACTAACAAAAGACTCTTAACAATAGGGTATACGGTTGTTTTACTTTAGTTTTAATTTTTTTTATCATGGGCCACTCAATATCTCTCATAGGGTTTATAATAACAAATTAAAATGTTTTTTTCATATTATTTTTATACAATGTGATCTTAATTTTTCATAACATTTTTTGTTTTTACCCCTCTCCCAACTTAGTTTTTTTGACAGCAACTTTTGAATTTTTAATGGTAACGCATACATTTCATTAACTTTTTAAATTGAGAATAATGTACTAAAAATGTTGACTGGTCGATAACGAGTTTTAGATAACTATTTTCGAAGCTATTGAAGATTCTAGTTCAGGGCAGGAGGAAAGGTGGAGGGTAGTATTATTAACTTTTAAATTCTTATAACTTAAAAAATAGTTGGACAAGGCAGAATGCTGGTTCTGTGGGCACCCAAACGACAACGCCTTAATTAAGTTATTGTTCGTTATAAGCCGAAGGCCAATTTCTCAGGGAGGTAGAGGCCCCTTACGTATGTATATACTTTAATGTTATGTAACGATTATGCTGTTTGTTTAATAAACGCTGGTGGGTGAAATGACTAGCGTCAATACGAGTACCACCCCCAGTCCCCGATTCAAATGTAAAAAAAAAAGTTCCTATGATATATATGCTCTAAGGCATGCTGATATTTAAATAGATATCCATCCTCTTAATTTTTTTCATTAATTCAAGAACTATTGTCGAACAACTTATTTTAAATATTTATATGTACCTACTATGCCGTGTTACAGAATGGAATAGTAGTTTTTTTATTTTTTTATTAGTATACAGTATAATGTCGTAAAGAACAAAAATAATATACATTTAAAGAGAGCTGTACAATATAAATAATACCGCAGCTATAAAGTGTAAGTAAACATACTTGTTTTTCTGTTTTTCAGTGTGTATAGGTGCGCTCAGCGTCTAAAATACATGACGCATTCGGTAAATTATTGTTTGCACTGTTGAATAACATACATTTTATAAAGTCTAAATTGAACACGTAACGAAACAACACACGAAAACCAACATATCAAACACAGTTTAATAATATTTTGTTGAGCCACTATTTTTTGTTAGGAGAAATGGTATCGATAAAACGTTTATTAGTTGTAGCTAATTTAGTGCATCTATGGATCGATACAAGTTTTGGCAGTATTCTCCGAGACCAAATAAACGAGTACAATATGTTACGAGGTGTTGATACGGGTTACAAAAATGAAGACGAGGCGGTAAAATGGAATGAAATAAATCCTACGATCCTCGAACAATTAAAATGTAAAATAGTTAATGATCTTCGTTGCAGCTACATATTTAGTGGTTTGCATTATGTTAACTTGTCTAGATATTTGATTGAGAAAAAAGACGAGACAGTGTTCAATAAACTTAATAAAGACAAAGACCGTTTATGGTTTGATGATCCGAGCATATCTATGTTGACATCCATGTATAACTGTGGTCAAATCGCGTCAATGGAACCATTTTGGTGGATCTACATGTACACACTGTACTTTGGAATGATTGTGGATGGTCAAATTAAACATGACAATACGACCGTGTCGTCTACGTGCGAAGCCGTTGTCGAGATTCTTTCTGACTGTTTGTGTGAATGCAATCCAAACAATTCATACAATTCACAGTTTAAAGAGTCCAAAAGCTCCACAGATATACCAATACTCAATAAATTACCGAATAACGGTAATAATAATCTGAAACTTAGATCAGATTTCATATCGAACTTGGTACTTAACGTTAAGGAACAAATTACTGAAAACGAAAAATTTGCCAGCCCACATGATGGAAAACATTTGTTTGATTTTGACAACCTGAACTTGTACCCTGTGTTGACAAATCAGCCAGAAGTTATTTCACATTTAATGAACGACTTTGGCGAATTGAATGACTGGCAATCGACGTTAAACCTCATTCTAGATAATTACCGTACAACAATAAATGACAATCGTATCGAGAGCCGATTTATAGGCATCGGACTACTCCAAAGTAAGCTTATTTGTTTACTAAAAATTATAATGCTCCAGATCATTTTAAAACATATTAGCTATATTAACGACTTGTTACCGCCTGAGAATAGTTTAGTATTGTCCATTCTCACCTGTGAATTATACAGCACAATTACCACGATTAATCGCGCCAATAGTCTGATGTCCGTTCACCTATCTACCTTCGTGAAATATATGAACTTACATGACGACGATCGCTTTAAAGTATTAATCGTGCACTTTAATCACCCAGTAAAGAATTTTCTTTCCGTACAAGACAATAATAATGTTGTTGACAACATATATATGTATTTGAGAGACCTATCGGATGAATTGTACAGCTGTCAGCTTTCATACCCCAAAACCCTGGATGACCAATACGTGTCAAATTCATTAATACGGATCAATGCTCTTAATGAATACATTCAATCAAATGATAACAGTGACGTTATAATGGAAAATCTGCCACTCAAGGACAGTATACTCAGCGCCATGGTTTTTAATAAGTATATTCAGTCTACATTTCTTCAATTTATAAACTTCAAGGTCTTTCAATCGTGCATTTCATTCTCACAGAAATTAAAATCATAATGTTTTAATACTAACATCGAAGCTGACTACGGAGATACTCATATGTCTAAGTTCGAATCAATACGTATGGTGACCCATTTAATGTAAAACACTCATTTTCTGAGAAAACAATATTAAAACCTATAGACTGATCGTACCAAGACTAGAACACTGGTGCCTTACGTTAAATATACATTGTGTGTTATAATATTGAAAGTTGTAGTTTATATTTTGGCTTATTTCATAATATTTTATTGTTTTATTATTATTCTGATATATTATTTGTAATAAATATATCCTTTAAATTTTAAATTAACTTTTTAATTTATATATATAAATATGTTAATATATATATATATATATATATGTTCTTATAACTATAAGATATTTAAATATTAATTGTAAGTATTAATTATACGGTATACTTATTATTTTAGTTAATCGTAAACATATTTAAATTATTCAACGGGCTAAACGTTGTTTTTACCTAATTTATGATTTAAAAAAAAACAAATATAACGTGTTCAGTTCATTAATTAGTAAATTTTTACTAAAATATTTTTATAATAGACAAAACTAATAAAAAATAAAACTAGACCCAGGTCCAAGGCGCCTAAAATTTAAAAAAATACTCAGTTTGTGAAATAATTAAATCATTGACCCGCTTTATTAACTCAGAACTATACAATTTTGGAAATAGAACATATACATTCACATC